GTCAAACATTATAGAAAATGGTAGACTGAAGGGAAAGAGGTCGGGAAAAATACAGTATGCACGGTACAGTAATGGCGTCCATGTAGAATAAGGGAGAACACACCAGGACACATATTATGACTTGGACAGGGCAATGGAGCTCAGAATAATCCGCAGAAATGCGGAATAAATTCGAGCTCAACACACATTACACTGGTGTTTGCTCTTTTGGTTCTCCATGAAGGCCAGCAGGATTTATGGCATCAGTCAGCCGGCACAATTGTGACAGACAATTCTTGTACCGCAGGCTCTTCCTTGATCTCTTGGTTGCAGCTGTGCTGGGGACGCATTCTGCTGACACCAAACACCTCCAATGCCGTGGGTCTGTCGTGGTGAGATTCACTTGGTTGTTCCTCTTCAAGTTGGGTTGCAATCAAGGGTTGCAATCAAGTTGCTGCAAAGCTTTCTAGTTTCCAGTAGCCACACTTTGTTCTCTCAGTCTTGATCTTCAATCTGAAAATGCTTCCCGATGTTGCTCCGAGACTGGAGGGAGGTCACCATGAGGGTTGATTTTGCAGACACTACATGGGCATCCATGAAGCCCCGTTCCTGCACGCTGCCAGACCGGACTACTGTAGGGCTTAGTAAGTTGGACGGCTTGTCGTGCTGGCTCAGTAGACTTGGGTATTTCTGCAAGAGTCAAAAAGTTGGGTTGTATTGGATGAGAGCAAGCTGAGTGCAAGTATCACTGATGTATGCGCACAGTGCTCGAGCCTCGACAGCGGTGTTCAAATGCATATGCGTGCAACATGACGCAACAGATATGGTCACCAGGTGCCCACCCAACTAGATTATGTAATTTGTACATTCAATGGACATTGGACGGCAAGCTGTTTCCAGGACATCTACAGGAAGCTCGCCGGAAACCTGAATTGTCCTGCAGATTTCCCCGCCTGGGAAATCACGATCAACACACAGTGTTCAGAGCTGATTTGCGAGCAGAGCATCTGAGTCTATCTTCAAGACAGAGTGCACATCATCATTCCTGTCTGTTCTGACAACATCATCATTGCTGCAAAGTGCAAAACAGCTATTGAGCGTGTCAAGGACAACCTTTGTATGCACTTCAAGCTCAGGGACCTTGCGCCAACGCCTTGGCTCCTACGAGGCAAGATTGAGTGCGATAGGGCAACACATTTGCTATCAATTTTGCCTCTTCACATCCTGGAAAAATATGGTTTCACAAACTGCAACCCTGTGGGCACCCCAATGGCGCTTGGCCTTTGTCTCAGTGGAACCATGGCTTCCAAGACGTCCCTGAGGTTAGGGAGATGCAGAACATCCCATACAACCAGGCTGTAGGTTTGCTCTTCTACCTTGCTGTTGCAACTTGTCCAGACAATGCACGTACTGTGGGCAACCTGGCACGTTTCACGAAGAATTCTGACATGACACAGTGGAAAGTCGTCAAGCACCTCTTCCAGTATATCAAGGGTACCCTGCATTACAAGCTCACCTATCCCCCTTCATCCAATTCCGAGCATTTCCCCTCCTATGCCAACACTGACCATGCTGGCTGCCCACCCTGGCACTGGTCAATCCATGTCTGGCTGCCCGCCCTGGCACTGGTCAATCCACGTCTGGATACATCGTTATGGGTCTAGGTGTGATTTATTGGTTGAGTCGTCTTCAGACAATTGTGGTGCTGTCTACAATGGAGGCAGAGTTGGGTGCAGCGGTTTCTGCAGGCAAGGAAATCCTCTGGCTTTGCAATCTGCACAGAGCACTCAGTTTCAATGTCACCCTTGCCACCAAGCTTCATATTGACAATTTCTCCACGCTGCATGTTGCATAAAATCTCAAACACCATGAACACATAAAGCACCTCAACTTGCGCTTCCACTGGCTCAGGAACAAAGTAGCCAAAGGGTGGATTAAGATCATACACCTCTGCACTTCTGAAATGCCTGCTGACATCCTCACACAGTTGCTGGCTAAGCCAAAGGTGCTGGAGATGGTGAACATGCTTGCGCTGGGGACTTGCCAGGTCAGGTGGGAGTGTTGAGCTCAAATTTATTCTGCATGTCTGCAGACTATTCTGAGCTCCATTGCCCTGTCCAAGTCGTAAAATGTGTCATGGTATGTTCTCCTTTATTCCACATGGAGGCCATCACTATACCATGCATACTGTATTCTTTTTACACTTTGGGGATTTGAACCTTTGCACTCACTCGCTTTTCACTCCTTCATTGGGTTCAACTTTGTGGCTGTTTCTACTATAGACACGTGGCTGTATTACATAACACACACTGTAGAAAGTCCGCCTCGTCGAGCTCTATGTCCCTAGGGCTGTACAGAGCTCGACTTAGGCTTTTGGAATTGCTCTGAGGCACAATGACTGCAACACCAATGCAGGCTGATACAGAAATCAATTGATGTGAAGTGAAGTACAGGTGAGGATATCATTTGACTGCTCTTTGGAAGTCTGCTCATACCTTTTGTAAGGACACAGCCAACAGAGCTACATAGAACATCTCAGGAAAGTAAGGCGTCTTGTAGAATTGTAAGTACTTCTCCTTGACTCATCCAAGGCCAATCTAGAAGCAAAATGACAAGATAGCCTCACACTTCATTGTTAACAATGAGGCAAGCAATGTTACCAAATCATCCTTACACAGCCACTGTTTTATTTCTGTCCTTCCCCAGGCAATACCAAGGTTTGTGAAAGTGCACATCTTTGGTGTACAGCCTGAAAATAGCACAGTTGCTTTGGAAATAGCTTGATAAACTGATAACCAATACAGCTTTTCCTTGGTATACAAGTGTAAATCTATCATAACTGGGTATTTGACTGGTAAGAATCATGATTACCAAGCCATCTAGTCATAATGAATCAGAACACACACAGTAGAAACTCAGTAATAGTCCAACCTCAGAGTCCAGATAATGGATACAGTAATCAGCACTTTTATAGCATTGAACCATTGGTAATCAGATACCTCAGTTATTATCTAATGTAATGAAACTGCTAAAGCAATGTCCATTCAATGATCCAAAAGGCAGATAAGGAAATACAACAAATGCACATCTCGAACCTGGAAGATGCAGCCACTCAGTAATTGTAATCACCTCAGTTTTTATCAGCTCTGAGGCTGTTGAGCCTCTATCCCTAGCACATTTGTTTCAGGAATGGGTCTTTGTGACTTCTCCTGCTGTGCCAGTGATGTCACTACATATAGAATTCTGATATTGGGTGGTGGCAGAATATTATGACAGCTTGTCACACACAATGGTACATACAAAGTCAACAATGCTGATCGTCCCTTCCTGTGGACAACTTTTGATACCAACAAAGATTGGATGAAATGAGAAAGTATGCAGATATCTCCTGGTATTACCTATTCAGTATTGATCCATCATGCAAGAATGCTGTGCTTTCCCTGAGCAGGCACAGTTTGTCACTTCACCCAATATACAAACCATCATGATCCCCAAGGTAGGAAGGAATCATTCTTATGACTGGAGTGGATGAAATGCCTTAGCATGGGGCCCAATATGGAAGGACTTCATGTCAGATGAGCATCACTGTAGTGGTTATCTTGAATATCAGATTAGGCTGCAAACACGGATGCACAGTCATATTACATTGAAGCTTTCATTCTTCTGAAGTGACCAACAATTGGTACTGCATACACTGATTATATAGTGATAATCCAGCTCCAGTCAACTGCCCATATAGCAGCCAGATACTTTGATGGAAATGGACTATGTGGCGAAGTGATACCCATGATGACATCTGTAGTATAACACCTACCATTGTCAATATTCTAGTTATCTCCTGATTTTCTTGGGGCCATGGAAGAGCAAGCAACACTGAAAAGGGCAGTCCTTGACCAAAAGTAGCAATAATGGTCAGGGACTAATCTCCATTTGGAGTAACAGATCTCAGGGACTGGGTTCACTTTGGCATGTCCTCAGGTCTAAAAATTAGATCTGTGGACACGCTGAAGTAGGCACGTGATTTGGGCACTTAATACGCTCTCAACAAGCGATGTAACGTCAAATTTATACAGGCATTCACGATACAATCACTAACAAATTGTAATGGTGATAGTTTACTCATCTGATAGCCCTTCATTCACAGACTGTACAAATAGCGGGCATACTGAGTGGCTAGTTAAGCCACAAAATGCAAAACAAAGAAACTGCATGCACCTCTGCATCCGTGAAAAGATGCATTTGTACACCGCAGATGTGTCCTGTGTTGACAGGGCTTGTGCCCACATGGTTCACAGCCTATGCAATGACCTTTAGATACAATAGACAGCAAAACCCTTTACTGCATATGTTGCTTGTAGTAGGCTGTCTGCTCAATGAGGAACCTGTTTATGCTGCAGGAGTGCCATCAATATCTTGCATAGATCCTATCTAAGGAATCTGAACTGTAGGTCTAATAAAACATGCCCTGATCCAATATCTTAGGTTTGTATGGTTTGTATTTTTATTCAGCAATGTAGCAACAGTGCAACCTTCCCCGTATATGTCTAAGAATGTGATCACAATGTCTGTGGGTATGCTGTGTTGCTCATTTGAATCATTCATATGAAGTAAACAACCACAACAGTGTACAAAGAGGCATTTGAACATTTGTTTTTGTTTTGCACATTGTGCCATCAATAACAGACACTACAGCAAACCAATATCCACTACAGAGTGTATTATATGAGGCCTCCTGGTATTCAATACAGATTGCAGCTGTATGGTGAATCCTGTTTGGGACAATTGTTTGCAGCATTCTGCAACAGAGTCTGGGAGACTACACTGCAAGATGACTTGCTGACAGGTCAGTATTCTGAACTGTCAACAAGTGTGGCACAGGTGCTTGATGAGTGCTTATTGTGCAATGTAATCTCAAACAATACAAGCCTTCACAGTATGCATCAGTAACAAATGATATAAACATACTGAACCCATCTGAAAGCCCTTCATTCAGATCATGTATCACTAAGTGAATGCTATTGTCACATCCATGCCACCAAGTCTCGCAACTCCGGTCCTCCAATCTCTGGTTCTGTTTCTCCATGTCTGAACTCTGGTCTTATTGTGTATGCTTCATCCATCTTCCATTTCATGTTTCACCTCAGGACAATTATGTACCATGTGCTCACCTCCTTTTCTTACAATACAATAGTTATTGTTCAACTCCATGTGCTCACCTCAGAGTTCTGCTAACTCCGGACTACATTATTGTTGTGTTCCACATGCTATGGACCCTTATGACTCACAATTAGCTTACTCCATATAAACGCCCAAGCTGTAGTGAACTTATACCTCAGTTTGAGTATCTTGTTATACTTGTTAACACAACACTCTGAACTCTGGACTCTGGACTCTGTCTGTTCTGCACAACTCTGTCTCCATCCTTGACCTCTATCTCTGGAAATCCAAACTGCAGTCTTTGACCTCATGTTCAAGTCCAGTAAATCAAGAACCTCAGGCAAGTCTTTCAAGGTGTTGTCAATACCTTCACCATCGCCATCATTCTCTCCCATGCCCTCTGGAACTTCAGCCTTGTCACGTCCAGCCTTCCCTACAAGCACGTTCCTAACAGCTATGCATATACAGTGGCTAGGGGAGCCACCACATGCAACACAAAAAATATGTGCAAATAACCACAACCATGCCAACAGAGGCATTTGTGTGATTTTGTTATTTTGTGATTTGTGCCAAGTGCTGAAGTCACTGGGAAAGTAAGACTAGCTATAGACTATATAGTATGAGGCCTATCCATCAGAATATTTTGGAAATATTACAGTAGCCAATAGTAGTACAGTAACAGTGATGCTCGATACTCATGGCCTTGTGGCTGAATTTGAGGCTGCCACAACTCTGAACAGCACATGTGCACTTGATGGGCACTTAGCAAGTGATGCAAACCTGTCTGACAACTCCTCTCAAACTACCTTGTATGGACCCGAAGAAATGCAGAAAAATCACTGAATATTATCAACAACAGAGACAATGAGTTGCAACACTTCAATAGAGCAGGAAAACTCCCCCCGGGAGGGCTCGACGTCATCGAGTCGCAGGCAGACCTCTTCGTGGTCCAGGGGACAAGTAACCTCTCCGGAGGCAAAACCAACTGTACTGTAAACAACCTCTGGTGGATACCAGACTGGAGGTTGCGGGCTGGAATGCCATTCCACAACAGTCGCTAGTACTAGCCCGAGACACAACTGTGTCGACGAACCAATACACATGAACCGTGTACCTAGGAAGCCCTGCAATACAATTTGAGGCTCCCTAGACTGGCTAGAAACCTCCTTGTACAACCCTAGCTAGTGAGCCCCAACGTGGGATACTCCAACTCCTCCACTACATCCAAAATACGGAACAAGCATGCCATCCCCTGGCCCGAGCCTTGTGCCAAACAGCCTGTGACTTCCGGCAAGTGAATGATCACATCAGACCGGTTGGCTCACGAGCCATATGACCCAACCCCCAAGACGGGCTGAACTGAACACGCCTGACCACCCACACGACCCAATACCATGCGCTAGCGCCAACTCCGGAACCCCATGTGATGTTCAAGGACCCCCCTCCCTTTGTGAACCCAGACACGAACCCGTACGAGTTCGAATTGATGACTGGGAAGGAGATACAGCTCCTCGCCAAACTCCGGACGATGAGCAGATGGAGGTGATCACAGAGGGCTGAGGCTGGAACACATGTGAACGACTGTATGATCAGATAAGAACCGAGTCATGTGCTAGGAAATAGAGCCTGGTCTAACAAACCAATTGCGAAGCTACCATAACAACTAGAACGTGAACAACGTCTGGACCATCTGACAGAACACGAGAGGCATGGTGAGAAAGTTCCATATAGAACATGGCAACTCCTGACTGTGCTGTGCACCCCCTATGGGGAATGGAAAAGACGCTGATAGATCCCAAACTAAGGGAATGGAATAGCACCATAAGAGACTAAATGCTAGCACACCCGCCTCGCACTCCCGCCACGTCCGCCCGCGGTCAACCTCAAACGCCAGTCCAACCTAACGTCAACACAAGCCCATGACGCCACAACGGCAAAGAATCCAGGGCACGCCCCTCCCTGCTAGACCCAGATGTACGACTCAGGACAATGGACGACGGATGGGCGCGATGCGCCCCTGTACCTGTACGCCGTATGATCAAATTGCCTGTCATAATATGTCGGACAGCGATAGCAACCATCCAACCAAAGTCAAGAAGAAGCGAGGCGAAAGACCCTGATGATGCTGACGAACCTGCAAAACGGCGGGCATCGTGGACAACAAATGGCAGGCATCCTGTGACTGTGACAGAACCTAATCCACCGCCTACGCAGTAGACCCACAACCATTCAAAGAGGGCCTGAGCCCAACCAAGTTGGCGAGTTTTAATCACACAGACAACGAGGGCCTGACGCTCCTGTGAGCAGAGGATGACGAGAACAGGAACCTATCTGTCTACAACAAATGCCACATGACAGGGAAGCTTCCAAGACCAGCGCAGTTGACACCTGCCCTTCATGATGACCCAGGAAGCAACTGGCCGCACTAGGCCATAAAACCGACTGCCCTGACACAGGAAATCCCCACCCAACCAGCAGTATTCAGCCGCACCTAGCTAAACTCTACTGCCCGTAAAGCACCAACCCAGCTGACTCCAATTCTGCTATGCCTCGTATCTCTGCTGACAACGTCACCGCCTCCGCTCCCATCGAGCAGAGCCTGAATAACCTCCCTGCAAACACGCCCAGCGACAACGACCGCAGCAAAGAAGGGCGGGCCCCTTCTCCCACGTACACACAGATGGCTGCGCGCCCTCCGTCTCCACGCATGAGAGGTGGCGCTACTAAGGAAACGTTCGTAACTCCATACTCCTGATCGATTGCGTCTAACAGCAACGCAGTGCCATGGTAGACAACACACCTGCCCTGCCTCCCCCAATGCCACTCACCATTGGGAGCCCTGCTGAAGCCCCGTTCACGCGTACGTGCTTGACCTGGAATACGCACTGCGTGACCTCTCTCTAACACCCTAACGCCCAGAGAGGACCACGGCCTTGAGTGAAGATGACAACCTGGGATGGACCACATTCACTGCACCAACCAAATCCAAGAAGTCAAAACCCAAGAAGGGTAAGGGTAAAGCGAAGGAAGTCACCCCAGTCCCGCTGCAGAAAGGCCCGGTCTTGGGACTTGCAACGCCAGATGCGTCGCCGAAGGGAAGCAAACCTAGGAAGCATAGATGTACTGACTGCAGCAATGAGGGCCTAGTGACCGGCAAGCAGCAGGAGGCCCCTGTGAGCCTCTTGCTCTCGTCAAAGTCACCCCTAGTCTTTGGACGCAGCTCCCCGTCTCCTCTGTCATCTGCTAAAGCGGCCTCCCTGAGCGACCACAAACCCCACAATGAAGGAAGCGAGATGGACATTGACCCTGCGGAGGACGCGGGCCTCGATAGCTTTGGACGGCCTACCCTCTTCCTCCAGAATGCCTCTGCTGGCTGGGAGTCACCCCAGAACAGCTACTACGGCGACCTTGAACACCACGAGCCTGGACCAAGCTCACATCCATCGAAGGGACACAAACGTAGCGCTGCGAGGCATGACCTCGAGTCCATGATCGGTACAGAAGCACTTAAAAACGCATATAGTGCAACACGTCCTAACATAGCTCACTAGCAGGCAACTCCCCAGTTGCGCAGAGGCCCCCATCAGCCGCTACACCGCCATGAACGCCGAAGCAGCAACGGGGCAACTGCGCGAGGATGTCGACACCTGCCGCCCCGCCCCACACCCTAGGCAAGTTCCTTAAGAAGTGCACTGCCAACTGATCCCCGACACCATACTCGTCCCGTGCGCAGCAGATCTCTAGTGACGAACAGATGCTGCCGGCGAGCAACATCTCTGTGCAATCCGACTCTACCAAGCCGAAGGTGACCCCTCGTAAACCGGCTGTACACCACAACCACGGTCGCTACTCCATGGCTGCCATTGGCAACCCACCCGTTCAACACACGCCTTCCCCGAGCTCACCCCCTACAACATTATCCTGGCGGACCCAGACATCATGGTGCCCCCAGAAGGCCTGCTGAAGAAGACCCAGGGCGACCGAGTCAACTGGGAGAAGAAAGGGCTTGCCCCAAAGCAAGTGAAGGTGTGGAACAACCTGGGTAGAGACAACCCCTTCATTGTTGTCCAGTTCGGCGAACTCAGAGCTGAACATGCAGGCATGAACGAACGTGCAGTCTTCCTCTACAGCCTCCTCACCTGTCTCTCTGAGCGAACTGACATCCGTGTCAACCCTGGGCACAGTCCCTTGGAGGAGAAGGAGTACAACAACAACAAGGACGCCCCGCCCAACGTAGAGCCGTTCTGGATCGGTATCAAAAATCTACCTAAAGAGTGGTGCCTCGTGCTGGCACGCGCGGCCTGGCTCCATGCCGGTAACCACATCCTTAACTTCGTCCTCTGGCGCAATGACCTTCCCACCCTTTGTGCGGCCTTCAGATCTGTATTCCGCTTCAGAGCACTCTTGAAGGAGGAGTACGTAACCATTGTATGACAAGAGCTCCTCAGCTCGGAGCTACAGGAGATCACGGTCAACATCCTCCTACGTGACATCGGCAAAGGTGGGAGGCGGCGTGCGGTGCAGGATGACGCGTTTGGCGCAATCCTAGATTCAGTTGACGTTGAAGTACACAACTGCCGCATCACGCCACACACATCTGAGGATGTTGCATTCATTCACATCACCTCCCCTACTGCTGACTGGCAAGACTGGGTCCTCTTTAGAAACGCAATACAGGCCCATGGCTTCGGCTCACTCACTGCAGGACACCGCGTTGCGTTCAAGACTCGGGTCTTCTGCGGCTTCTGTCACTCAATCGGCCACCCAATAGGACGCTGCCCTGTCAAAGGGTTCTTCCTCCCCCAGAAGATGCAGTTGCAGAAGCAGCCGACAGCCCAGCCGTTGTCCTCTGGACGTGGAGAACACCAGGGAGGAAGAGGTCATGGCAATGGTCGCAGCTGCGGTGGCAGAGGTGGTAAGACACGTGGATACTAGGCTAGCACGATGACTAGTCTGAGACATATGAGGAAGGCTACCTAGAGCAGTGCAGCTACCTGTCTTCCCATACGCCCACCCATGCCTATAACACCACTTAGTCGTACATCGTTGAGCATGCCACCTGAATGCCTTACACTGTACTCAAATGCTATCCTATATGACGCACTCATCCGACGATGCCCAACACATGACTCTGGAATGCACTAAAATACCGTCAAAGCCGATGCAACTAGCGACAAGCCCACATCTACTGACCGCTTGCGGGACAGGAAAGCCATCACACATTGACTTCGACACTCACAAACACGACCGGGGCACTCTTAGACTTGCCCCGCCGAGAGGCTCAAGCAACACTTCTACAACACAAATGTGGAAGTTAGCATGTCACCTGCGGGGCTCAGGAGCAGCCCCCGCCTACCGTGGATCGTTGTAGCAGTAGGACTGAATAGCAACGGCGCCAAACAATACACACAACATAACTACGGATGATTCTATGGCAAACGGACAACAGCCCAATGGGAGGATAGGCGTGGATACCCCCCCTGCCCGTGGAAATGCCAATGACCCTCCCAAAGGGACGGACGGCAGGGCCACCCCCCGTGGCACACAAAGCGTGCTGGGTGCGGAGGGTAGTGAGCACACCCCCAGCAGCAGACCAAACACCGTACACAACCACCCACAAGCGGCCAGCAAGAAGGGCCGGAAAACAAAGGCTACCATGACCATTGCATCCTTGAATATGAACGGACAAGGCAGACTATCTGGAAACCTGAACAACAAGTGGAATGCGGTGAACCAGTTGTTACGAGAAGAAAAGATAGGTATAGTTGTGATACAGGAATCCCGCCTCGACAATGAAGCGGTCGATGTCATTCATACCATATATGGCCGCCATATGTGCATATTCATAGGGAACTCAGATAGTGATGGGACGCAAGGAACTGCATTCATACTGAACAGAGAGCTTGTAGACGTATCACAGGTGACGACGAAGAATATCATCCCTGGAAGAGCTCAGTCCATAACGACCCAATGGCACAAGATCAGGACATAACCATCCTTAACATATACGCCCCAAACAAGCCTACAAAGAACAAGGAGTTCTGGACAAGCCTCGTAGACTACTATGCTACACATCGCCAGCACAAACCAGACGTGATCATGGGCGACTTTAATATTACTGAGGATACGATCGACCGTCTGCCACCACGCAAAGACAGCGCAGGAGCATCGACAGCTCTACGTACGCTCCTAATGGACCTACAGCTTAGAGATGGCTGGAGGACATCAGAGCCAAGCCGGCGCGACTACATGTACCTGCAGTGTGCCTTGAACTCAAAGTCGCGAATTGACCGAATATATGTGATGGAAGACATTCTGAAATCCTCGCAACTATGGCTGATTGAACCAACAGCTGTCCCGACGGACCATAAACTTGTCCTAGCCAGGATAAGTACAGCCCAAGCCCCAAACGTTGGGGAAGGAAGATGGTCGATCCCACTTCACATGATAAATGACAACAACCTCCGGTGCGAGGTGAATAGGATAGGCAAACTGACAATCTGTAAAATCAAGCACTGCATTGGAAGCGGACCCCGCTGTGAGAACAACAACCCACAGCTTATATACAAAGAGTTCAAGGACAGCATTGTATTGCTGGCCCGCGACATGATGAAGAGGAAAGCCCCCAAATTAGACGCTGCAATAGACAGGCTGACAAAGGAGATGCACAGGATACAAAACTCACTGTCGTATATGGAAGATCCGAAGCTTCTCACTGAGGCTGAGGTGCTCCTTGACAGAATTGTCCAGTTACAGAGGAAGAGACACAAGCACATACGTGAGGCAACCTTGGCGAGGTATGCCCTGAATGCAGAATCAATCAGCAAGTACTGGTCCAGCGTGAACAAGGAAAAGAAACCGAGAGACGTTATATACTTGCTGCCAATGCCAGGAACCCTGACGACAGTTAATAGATTGGATAAAATGGCAGAACTTGCAAAGGACTGCCATGATAGGCTACAACAAGATGGACTATCAGAGAATGAAGCAGGCAGAACAGCCCAGATGCAAGATGCTGCCAATAAACTTGACAGTAGGCTTCAAGACCACGAGGCAGATGCACTGAGAGCGACGGCTAACAGAGACGATATAAAGGATGCCCTTAAGAAAGTGCAGCCGGGGAAAGCAAGTGGTCTAGATGGCATACCGTATGAGCTCTGGAAGTCGTTGAGCAACGTGGACAACCCATCAGAAAGGGATGACGACACCTTTGACAGCATCGACCTCCTACTACTAGTGTTCAGAGACATAGACACATGGCATCGTTGATATCTGCGCTCAGGCTTTGCTGATGGCTGGATGTGCCCAATCTATAAAAAACAAGACAGACGAGATATCAGTAACTATAGACCCATCACCATCCTGAACTCCAAACTACAAGCTCTATACAAGAATCCTGACATTGCGCCTTGCATCTGTTGTTAAGCAAATAATACACCCCAACCAACCGGGCTTCATTCCTGGAAGGAGGATTATGGACCAGACACAAACCTGCCGTACAATGGTCGACTATGCTGAAGCTAGGGAGGAAAACGGGGTCATAATCGCCTTGGATCAAGAAAAAGCATATGACAGAGTCAGGCATGACTACTTGTGGATAGTACTAGCCAAGGCGGGCTTACCTTCCAACTTCATAGATAAGATCAAGAACCTGTACAAACACGCGACAACAGTAGTGATTATCAGCGGGGAGTCCAGCTCACCCTTCCGTGTAACACGGGGAGTCTGACAAGGGAACCCCCTAGCACGTCTACTGTTTGATCTTGCAATAGAACCTCTTGCTGGCGCCCTCCGTCAGTCCGATCTAAAAGGATTCAAGATACCTGGCTTTGCTGAACGGTTAATCACCACCCTGTTCGCTGATGATACATCAGTGTTCCTGTGTCAAGACAATGGCTGGACAGACCTATGGCTCATACTAAACAGATGGTGCACAGCCTCAGGTGCACGCTTCAACACCAAGAAAACAAAAGTGATCCCGGTCGGGATGGAATAATATAGATTGATGGTACTGCAAACCAGAAGGATCAACCCTGACTCCATAACTGATGAACAAATACCTGAGGTAATACACATCGCCAGGGATGGCGAAGCTGTGAGAATCCTGGGTGCGTGGATTGGCAATGGGACAGATAACACCACAATATGGGTCCCGACAATAGAGAAAGTCCAGGCATTCCTAAACAGATGGAGCTACTGCAATCCATCGATGACTGGGAAACACCATATCATCCAAATGGGGCCTGGTGGTATGACCCAATACCTGACAACTGTTCAAGGGATGCCATAATCCGCAAAGACATCAATGACAAGGATGATGAGAAACTTCATATGGGGCAAAGGTAAAGTCCCAACTATCAGCCTAGAAACACTCCAACAGATGAAGACTAAGGGAGGACAAGACATACTTGATCTTGGCTCCAGGAATGATGCAATCAAATTGATGTGGCTGAAAAGGTACCTTCAGCTCGACAATGAATGTCCTTTGTGGGCCTACATAACGGATACCATCATTGCCAAGCATGTAAGCAAAGCAGCGGGAGCTATAAAGAACACAACACAACATGTTCATCCAGAACTGGAAGCCTGGGATGGATGCAAGCTCACCGCTACCCCGATACATTAAGAACATGCTTACAACGGCAAAGAGATACAATGCCAGCTTTGCGGCAATCAAATTAGACAAAGGCCTGAAAGGACAACTCCCTGTATGGTACCATATAAGCGTGAAGAAACAGCTGTGTCAGCTGGATAACACAAAATTGAGTAAATGCTTATGCCTTAACCACCGAGTTGCCACAGTGACTGATCTTGTACAAGCTTCAAGACACGAGGCACCAATAGAAGCGAACCATGATGGGGGAATTAAAAACTGTACATGCAACATATGCAATGAGGACCGGCGCAGAGGCTGTACGGACCCGCTGAAATGCAGAGAAGCAGCCAGACGGCTACTACTAAACATAGACGATAAATGGAATCCAACAGCAAGATCACCGGATGATAACTTAACACTCACGAGGAGACGCAAGGAGGCTAACGTGGAAGCTAAGGAGACAAAAGGAGCTGTGACCTTCAACCCGTCCGTGACTGAGCAAGGCGGCATAAAAGAAGCACTAAGAGTCTTTATTGATGAAGAGAACATAATGAACCCACCAGCAATCCAGCTACATAAAGGTATCTCAATCAGGGAAGAAAGATGTAAGGCGTACATACTTGTAAACCCAAAACCCAAGTCAGAAGAACACGCATCCGGACTGTGGCCAGAAGGGAAAGGCCTGCTCATAGTGAGATATATCAATGTATATAACCACCTGACTGAACTTGAACCACACCTAGTAGATGATACATACACAAGTGGAGAGCTGGCGGCGGCCATACATGCCATACAACTGGTACCAAAGGACGTACCCCTACATTTCATATGCGAGTCCGACTCACTAAGCATAGTCCTATGTAATGAGCTTGAAAGATGGGAAGATGTAGACTGGAAAGGTATTAACAATAGAGAAACCTGGAAAGCAATCACTAACGTACTGAGGCAATGTTGCACTATAACAACATTCCAGAAGGCCAACAGCAAAATAGAGTGGGACCTAATGGAAAGAGGCAGATTGGTTGCAAGACAACTGACAAGGATAGGAACACTTCACATGGTGACACCGTTAACCAATCCAAGCTTCAACCTCTCAGGCGTGAAGGTACAGAATATATCCCAACGATTAGCATATAGAATCATCAGGAGCAAGAAGACAACTCAAAGGAAAGCCACACAACAGAACCTAGATGTGATTCTTGAGGTCCTACAAAGGCAAGACGGACATGAGACATCTGAACAAGAAATATGGATCAGCCTCAAGTCTAAGGACCTCCGGAAGAACGTAGCTGACTTCCTGTGGAAGTGTGTGCCCAATGCACATAGATGTGGAGTATTCTGGAAGAACATACCAGGATACAAAGACCGAGTTAACTGCACATACTGTGGAGAACCTGAGACAATGAAACATATTATGATTGAATGCCAAGCACCTGGACGGGACGTAGTATGGGACTTAGTGGGAAGCATTTGGAGCAGGAAGCAGGCGGATTGGACCCGCCCGTGCTACGAAGAGATCCTAGCGGTTGGACTACAGCAGTGGTACACCCAAAGATGAAGAGACGACCCCTAGCCGAGAGGTTCTGGAGAATCCTAGTATCAGAATCGGCCTATATAATCATGATCTGGTGCCTACGATGCGAACGAACAATAGGACACGCACCTGACCAGAATTGGGCCCACACAACAAAAGAAATCTATGCATGATGGTTGATGATGATGAACAGACACCTCTACTTAGAAGTGGCAATGACGCACCACAGATATTGTAGGCTTGCTCTGAAGAAGGACACGGTCCTTGGAACATGGAGAGGCACCTTAGCTGATGAACATGCCCTCCCCGACGATTGGACAGGCGTGAATAGGGTTTTAGTGGGTATAGCACCCTTCGTAAGCGACGCTCATGGCATAGGATGATGGAGCCCCACACTGGCAAGTTATGGCTGTGCGTAAAGGCATTTTCTTCCCTGGATTGCACAATCGGGGGCACCCGCTCACTGGCTGGTCTCATGGGTCTGACCAATTGTCAGATGCCATGGATCGCAAGAGCCCTCCAAAAAAAAAGCAGGAAAACTCTAGTTCATGTCCCCTTCAATACATTCACAGTGGTTGCTGTTGTATCATCAGCCTGGTGTTATGTAAGCTGTCTGTGCAGCTCAGACACTCCTGCAGCATGCAAGCATGTGTCATACATGTAGTGTTTAGCTAGAGGGCCCCCAGATGAGGTCTGTATGTGTGCTTCCCTTGCACATTGCTATGTGGAGTAGGCCACCTGCCCAATAAGGAAACCACAGCTGATGCACCACAAAGCTTATAAGGATGGGTAAAATTCTGATGATATAATGGAACACTAGACAGCTACAGGTGGTCATCATCAAAAGCACAGGTCAGTAAAAGACATGATACACAAGCACACTAGTGGTCAAATTGCCCATTATTGCTCGTCTTTGCCCAGTTAGAGAAGCCACTGTAATGTATGTAGCCATTTGACTTCATGAGCACACTGTTCTGACCATGCAGTAGGTATCTTGAGCATCAACAAGCACTTTGACTTCTGCAGAGGCACATGTGAATTTTTTTGTTGTGCATTTTCTGGCCAAACCGGCTGCTGCAGGTGCTCAGTAATATTACTGTATACTCTTTGAATGAAGGGCTATGAGATGGGTATATTATATCTACCATGCTTAGTTACTGATTGACTCTATAGACAGCCAACAGAGTGTGAGTGCCAGCCACTGCAGCCAGCCAGCAAGCAAATCACATGATGAAAGCCACCAGTTGCCACATTGGGCGCCACTGGAAGGTGTGTATCTGGGCATCAAAAAGTCACGTGGACTCCTTCCATATCAGGCTCCACTGGAAGTGTTTCACCCCCACCAGTCATAAGAACAATACCTTTGTACCTCAGGGGCCATCATACAGTGTGTCTCATCTGAACTGAGTTTTCAGCAGCTTCACCAACACTGGGTGTGCCCTTTGTCAAGGAAGTAGCTTTACTTGCCAGCAGTGCATGTTCTTCAGACAAACTTTGATTCCTGCTTGCACATGTTAGAGTGACACATCTAAGGCTGAAACTGTGGCTTTCCACCATCATAAAACACAACCAAAGCATTGAACTCACAAAGATAGCAAAACATCTGGAGGAAAATGCGAGTCACAGATATATCTTGGTGGCTATGGGGCTGATCATACAAACACAGTTTGAGGACAACCACATCCTCAAAAATCTCAGAGCCAGTTTGCTGCAGCATTTCAATAAGCCTTTCCACCATCCAGATCTAACAAATCAGATGGCTACTCTGAAGATGTTTAACCAATGGCGCTTCTGATTCTGAATCCAAGGATGGTGCTCTGCCGGCGCCCCCTGCAACGGCGGCGTACTGTATACGGCTGCTCAGGGATGGGATATCCTAGAGGAACCAACACAGGCAAGGGGTGCAGACGTTCGCAACATGATGTCATTGCTGGCGGCTGACGTTAATCACTCACATCTCCTGGATATTGCCCTTGAGATTGAGGCCAGCCATGTTCGTCTACAAGGGGCCCAGCTACGTGACAACAAGCCGCTCCTTGACCTCTCCAACCGATGCCAGACAAGCTTGAATCTCAGCACGGTAGCGAGTTTTTGGGCGATGATCAATCAGATACGTTTAGCCTGCAGAATTTCAGAGTAAGTCATGTGTGGGTTCTTGTTGACCCTTAGGTTGATCTTATGCCTTCTAGTATGATTGCAGCACACCCTGCAGATGCAGACAAAAAACTAACTGTGGCTGCCATATACCGCTCTACGTATGCGGGCTACCAGCGGAAGCCACCCGCACCATGGACGTTTCAAGATTGGAATACTGCCAGGACAAAGTTCATGAGACTTGCAGCTGGTGATAAGTCTCTTTGAGCTTTCAATGACTTTTATGTACATATTGCTCATCATTTATACAGGTTCTGTTGGTGCTCTGGTCTTAGTGGCCCATAAAGAACTCAGAGTTAAGATTGGAAGTCGTGATGGCCACATTGCTGAAGACCTGGCCAATCTCATGTGCCACCCTCAAGGTAAGTAGCAATTGTGTTCTGTGTAGGTATAGCTCAGTGTTCGTTTCGTTAGACACTCCAGAGGGGCGCAAAGTCATCAAAACTGTCATTCCTGCCGTGGCCCTGTTGCTTTGTAACCTCACCCTGCGTCTGTCAGATGTGGTACCTGCAACAGGACCAGCCAACACCCATGTAGGAAAGCTCTGCAGCAATCTTGATGCTTCGGATGATTTGTTTGATCAAATCAGAAAAAGGTGAGTTCGCTTGTTCAGTCTTGAACTTGTTCAAGCTGACGAGTCTCAATTTAGTGGGTTTCGTCTGGTGCCCCGCTGCAAGGAGACCTGGGCCAGTTGCTACAACATAACCCTGCCAGATGACATGGCTGGGTTGTCGCCGCTAACCCAGCTGACAGATCTCACTGAGCTTATGTCCCAACTGTCCAGACCCATCCTGTCGCCCCTCTCTGTCTCCTTGCCCCCCCTCCTCTTGCCAGGCTGCCAGCAAGTCATATCTACCTCCTACAATGCTCGCCACCAGGACAACATCAAGTACACCGCACCGCGTGGTGAAGACAATGTTGCATGGACTGAACAAGAGAGGTGCGTATGTCCCTCTGCTAGTAGGCACACATGCATGGTGCATGATGCTGCATTTGGAAATCTCCGACTCGTCGGGTATAGTACCGTGAATGCACACTTGGATGGTCATGAGCAAGTCACTGGCAGTTCATCATTGTCCATGACACGCGCGTTGGGTACTTACTACCTACTACATGTTATTGTTGCATATAATAAGGCAAGCTAGAGAGTGCATTTGGGAGCTAGATACAACTTGAACATTACAACGTATTATACATTTGAAGGTTCTGGTGCTAAAAGTCCAAGTTGGCCTCAGCCTCGTCATCACCATCGGTGTCAGTGTCCACGCCCACCGCATCCGAGTCCATATCGCTATCAACATCCTGCTCCTTGCGCCCGCGACCCAACACTCAAAGGTCCTCCGGCACCGCAGGTACAACGATCGCTCCCAGCTCATCAAGAAGCGGTCGGACGGCGCACGTACCAAGGGGCACCCCGAGGTTTCTGACCCTCCAGCTTGCTCGCATGATTTGGCATTGGGCGCGCGACCCCACTGGCCAAGTCCAGGATGTGTCAATGAAGTCGAATTTCATTGAACACATGGGCGCCGCGAAAGCTCTCTGACCAGTGGCGTATGCATGCGCGAAGGATGTTAGGGTCACCATGGACCGCTTGATGACCGGCACGGACTGCAGAGGCAGCGCGAGGCGGAGAGGGAACACGGGGGAGAGAGAGTGCGGTACGAAGGTTTCAGCCGTAGGATCGTAGATGTCGAGGGTAAAGTGAGGATTTTCGGGTGATGGAGCGTACCCAACGGCTCCAATGTACCTGTTCAGTGTGCGCATGGCCTGGTGGAGGAGCGGCTGCTCTGCCCCGTGGCCGTTGATGACGATGGCCTTGCCATTGGGATCAATCTCCCCCAGGAGGGGGATCGACACGGGGCCGTAGCCGTCCTAGGGCCAGAACACGACCCAGATGAGCATCAAAAGTGATACAGTACTCACCTGTATGTACACCAAGCCTTCTACAATCGCGGTGCATCCTTGTGCAGCCGGGCTATCCTCCAGGGACCTATTGAGGAGGGATTGCAGAGACAGCAGCAGGCTCTTGTAGAAGGCTGGCACGGTGGACATGCAGATCCACCCGCCAAACTTCGCTGGTGGGTTGCTGAGCCTCGCCGCCTGCGCACGTGCCTCCCCGAGGGTCTCTATTGAGGGTTGGATTCGACTGCGCTGCACCGGGCAGCCAGTCAAATCATAAGCTAGGCACTTCACACGATCTGAGCGATCAAACAATCCTTGACGGAGGGAGCAACTCACATATTCAAAGATCTGTCCATAACGGCCGCGCTCGAAGCAAACGACAGTGACATGGCGGAGCTTGCCCCACAGCTTGTATATCCCGGACAGCTTCGCAATGTCCTCGTAGCGGGCTGAGCTGACCACCACCAAGATATCGATGAGACGCTTGTCTACGGCAGACATTGAGGCAGCAGCGGAGAGCAGAGGTGTGTTGTGGAGGGTTGAGGGACGCGTGGAGAGTTGAGGGATGCGGATACAGGCTGCTAGGAGCTGTTTGGATGTGTTTGTCCACTCTCCCACCCCAAGCACCGAGTTGGTCCGGAACCTACAATTTGGGCGGAGCGCGCAAACATGAAGATATACAGTACTCTACCAAAGTGTTTGGTATGCATATAAGCCAGTCCAATTATTTACATGGAATTGATTGGCTGTCTCTAACACCGTATTGGAGGACCAGTCATCCGGTACAGTGCCCGATGGTCCATCTGGGAAGCACGGCGCAAGTTGGCATGATTGACGTATTTGAGTTAACGGTATGATTTTTCCTTGCGGAAGTCCCTTCGACGTCAAAGGGGGTTTACTGACGGTATACATCAAATGTGTAGGATCGGGGCTTGATGCAAAACACGAGTACCACTCGACGTACGCGAGAGGACCGCTGGGCCACCACGACGGGGCAGTTTGGCCCCTAAATCGCTCGGACAGAGTCTTTGGGAGGGCAAAAATAATCTTGACCCTTGCAGCCCTGGTACCTATGCCGTAGGTTTAATGGCTCGTCCAATCGAATAAAAATCCATTACTTACCTATCACACCGGTGGACTCTGCGTCACCCTTGTCAAGAACAATAACTGTGTCAAAACGAGCCTTCTGATGCTTTGTGGGATGTGCTGGGATTGCCTTTACGGCGTCCAGCTCTTCTCTTCCATCTGAAAGCTCGATTGGTTTGAATTTGAATTGGTGGTAAATGTCGACCCTTTCAAAAGGGAGGAACGTTTGCGCCAGATCCGCTCAACCGAGACGTAGTTCCGGAGGCTGGATGTTGTTGATAAACTGGACCAACGCAGCGGTGAATCCAGGAGCACCGTGTTTGTCCTGAATTTGACCGACATGCTGGTGAGGGCTGGGTGCGTATTTTGCTATCTTGACAGAGGTACCTGCATCCGCAGCGGGCAAAATTCCACCCGGACATGGGTTCTCCGTGCTTGCCTCCTCCGAGTCTGCATCCGCCGTGTCAACCTCCGCATCCTCCTCCTCCTCCAGCTCCTCCTCAACCTGATGTTCCTTCTGGAACACCTTGTACAACATCATCTTCTCCTGACGCGTAACCCAACGCATCATCTGCGGAAACTCATCGCGATGATTCGTGGCTCGCCAGGCATCTTTAGCGAGGTCAATATGAAGTCTTTCGAACATCTCCGTGTTGTAGTTGTCTGTCCAGCGCACAGTATGATCTCTGCACTGTCTTTCATTGGGACCCATGGACGTGTCCAGTGTGGGAGAGTGTAACGGGCCTAAATGGGGGGTTAGAAAGACCTGCCCGATATGGACTATCTTATCTCACATGTTTGGTTCTGTTTGTCTCATGCCTCGTATGGCGCGCCAGCACGCTTACTATACTCTAGACTACTCATTATCACTGCCTACTTGGATGCACTATCGTAAACTTCTCTAACGAATAGAGATTGGGTACAACGCATTCCACGGTGTGAAATTGAGTCGTTACACCCTTGTAGCTCACTTGTTCGTAGGTATCGAGAATTCGGTGTTGGTTGTACTCAGGACAGCATATCTCTGGCGGCGGGCTTAGGCTGCGCAAGCGTTAAGACGCGCTTGATGGGCCTTCGAGGGGATGGCCATTGGCGGTACAGCCTGTTTGCGTGAATGACATAGTTTACCTTCCATGTACGCAACAAATACGCAATGAATATGTTCTAGTGCACAACACGCAAAGCCGGAGATGAACGGAAGCAACAGAAGCAAGGGTATGTACGTACGGACACGCGGAAGCGGTTCATATGGGCGCTATGTGTGCCCCCAACCCCAAGTCCAAGCCTTCATCGCAACCCAGATCAGTTCAATGGCAACCAGCGATCTGCACGCCGGGATGACCAGCGCTGTCCATGAATGGATATCCAACATGATTGGCTGTATGGGTCGGTTGTTCGATCAGCTCGACATGGTTTACACAAACCAGGAGCGGCTGCTCCAGGGGATCCAGCCCGATGTTAGTGTCGATGCCCGACTGGGCTTTGAACGGGTTTCATTAGGAACCATTGAGACTTTGGTGTCTCAATCGGTGCCATCCGCAACTCGCAAGGTGAGTACGTTTCTTGTCCGTATTGTTGCAACTCAAATTGACACCTTTTGTAAGTTTGCCTCACAATATGGCAGGGGTGCTGCGCCCCGCACGTTTCATATCCTCATCGTCTTGCATGAGAAGAGGTCAAAAATGCGGCCTGAGCCCACGCCCATTACAAGGGATCGCTGGGCGGCATCCATCCACAACCCCCCACACCATTGGGTGCATGGACCACTCGTCACGGCAGGACATCCGTACCATTGCCGTGGTCAACGGCAACGTTGGAAGAAAGGCTCGGAGACCTCCTGCAAGGAGCCGAGTTGTTGCCGTCAGTGGCACTCGACGGCTGCGAAATATACGGCCCAGTTGAAGCCCATATCTTCTTCTTCGGGCCTCACCAATTCCGCCTTATTCAGGCCGGGATGACACTCCATCATCTCAGGGAGGTGTTCATGTATCTGGTAAGTAAAACAGTAATGTAATCAGAAATCGCGTTATGCTGATGAACCTGGAGCCCCTTCGCATAGGGGGCTTAGTAGATCAGGTTGTTGGGGAGTTTGCCCTCCACGTCCAACAACAAATGGACCATGTGTTCACGTTGATGAGGGGGGTAACCTCCCCAGAACCCCTCTGCATCCTGCTGGAAGCTCCCAGGGTCCTGAAACCCCTGGAAGGCTCTTTCTAGGGCCTCCTTAAGGCTGAATTGGGATTCTGTTGCAGTGATGAAGGGCCCACACCATCCTTTGATGCCTTTGTTGAAGCTCATCCTGGAACCTCAGTGATTAGTTATTCATTTTGCCATACTTGGAGCTGCTCACTGATCCCAAGATATGCCAATGGATGTGCCTAGTGAGGATGAGGCCAAGGAGTGTAACCAGAGCTAGACCAATGGTGCCAGGTCAGAGAGCAACTTGAATGAAGAAAAAGACTCACTGTGGCACATCCTCAGTGTGGCATTATTTGGTCCTTGCCTAATATGGTGAAAGTGGGACTCTTCTGAGAACTTTATCATCCAACACAAAGGTAAATCCCATTTATTGTGTGTGTCTCCTCACTCATGGTGTCTTCATCCAGTGACAACACATGGACATAATGGGTACCCTTATACAGTGTGGTGTCATGATCATTGCTCATGTCATGCTGCTCCTGGTAGAGAGGGAATGCCTCTGGCAACTGTAACCTTGTACAATACAAAAGTTTGCAGTGTTACAATCCCTGAGGTACAACTATATTGTTCTTATGACTGGAGGGGATGAAACACCTTACAGTGGTGCCTGATATGGAAAGAGTCCATGTGACTTTTCGAGGCCTAGGTAAGCAGAGATATGATACTAAGAACCTGAAATTTGAAACTCCCAGACAACACAACTTGCACCAACAGATACAAATAAACACTGTGGCTGGCTGCTCTGTCCTGGGGTGAGGGACCATGAGACACCTTCCAGTAGTGCCCAATATGGCAACTGGTGGCTTTTATCATGTGACTTGCTGGCTGGCTGCTGCCAGTGCTGACACTTTGTTGGCTGTCTATAGTATGAATCATAACAAATTATAGTAGACATAGTATACCCATCTGATAGCCCTTTATTCAAACAGTATACAGTAATATTACTGAGCTCTTACAGTGGCTGCTTGGGCCAGAAAGTGCAAAAGAAAAAAATCCACATATGCCTCTGCAGGAGTCAAAGTGCCTGTTAATGTTCAAGATAGTCACTGAATGATCAGGACAGTGTATCCATGTGGTTGAATGACTTTGTACATGTCAGTTGCTTCTGTAATAGGTAAAATATGAGCAATAATAGGCAATTTAACCCCTAATGTGCATGTTGTTGCTTGTGCATAATGTCTATTGCTGACCTGTGTGATTCATGATGACCACCTACATCTGTCTAGTGTTCATTATATTATCAGAGTTTTACACATTTTTACAAGCCTATAACAAGCCCATTTTGCCTGCATCAGCAGTGGTTTCCTCATGGGGCAGGTGGCTTACTCCATATGGCAATGTGCAAGGAAAGCACACATACAGACCTCCTTTGTGGCCCTCTAGCTAAACCCTACATGTATGACACATGCTTGCATGCTGCAGGAGTGTGTGGGCTGCACAGACATTGACTAGCTCCTAACAAAATGCTTCTATAGCACCAGGCTGATGATACAGCAGCAACCACTGTAAATGTATTGAAGGTGTGCCATGAACTACAGCCTTCCTGCTCTATTGCAGTGTTGCAACTCACTATCTCTGTCTTTGATCATATTCAGTAATTTCTCTGAATTATTTTGGGTCCATACAAGCTAGTTTAAGAGAAGTAACAGGCATACATTGCCCACTAAGCGCCCATTAAGCACCTGCGTGCCATTCAGAGTTGTGGCAGCCTCACATTTTGAGGTTGCCACAACTCTGAACAGCAGGAGAGAGATGCCAGGCTGCACTCCTTGGCTGATAAGCCCATTTCCTTGCCTTGTTCAGGTAGGCTGCCGAGGTTTTGGGCTGAGTTTCAATCTCAGCCACAAGGCCGTTAGTGGCATGTTACTATACTGCTATAGGCCGGTAAAAACTGTAAAATCCTCAAAATATCCTGACTGATAGGTCTCATACTATAGAGTCTATTGCTAGTCTTACCTTCTCATGTACTTCAGCACCAAGGGCACAAATCACAAAATAATAAAAAATCACAAATGCCTCTGTTGATGTGGATGTGGTTCTTTGCACATTGAATCTTTGCACATTGAATATCATCTCCAAGAATGCAATGGTACATCCATAAGCACTCAAGCATCTGACACCTGCTATTTGGAGCACCTTTGTGTCCTATGGTGTATATTATGATCTACTTGCTGCTGCCTCTGGTATATACCTTTGTAGATGCAGAGGCACATGCAGGTTTTTTTTGTTGCAGTTTGTGGCTTAACTAGCCACTGTGTGTATCCACTATCCATATTGTATACTCTGTGAATGCAGGGCTGTCAAATGAGCATACTATCACCAGTACAGTGTAGGCCTGTATAGATTTGAGGTTACATTGCTTATTATTATTAAGTGCCCATTAAGTGCCCGTGTCACATGGCCATTTTGGTGTGTCCACAGGTTAAAAATTAGACCTGCAGACATGCCAAAGTGACCCCAGTCCCTGATGTCTCCCACTCCAAATGGGTATTAGTCCCTGACCATTACTCCTACTTTTGGTCAAGGACTGCTATTTTGAGTACTGCTGCTCTTCCATGACCTCAATATGATCTCAAAATACCCAGAATATTCACAATAGTAGGTGTTATATTATAGATGTGATCATGAGTGTTAATTCACCATATGGTTCACTGCTGATGACACCAATTGCACAACAACCAAGCAAAATCCCAAATAAATTTGTTTCATCTCCCACTGATGCACATAGCATGCTCATGGACATTCCATCAAAGTATCCAACTACTATATGGGCCAGATGCATTCACCTGGGTTGAGTTGGTGGTCTGCCGGTTGAAATGAACTCAATATCATTATAAAATCAGGGTATTCAGTATCAATTGTTGTAGTGGTCACTTCAGTCACTTCAACCAATCTACAAAACATCACATAAGCAGCACTGTAGTGGCAATCTCAATGATTGGATTGGGCTGCAAACAAACACACAGTCATATTACTTGCATAGAAGCTGTCATTGTTCTGCTGATAGCTAATCAGTTTTCTGGTATAGTGTGATTTATATCCATACTTTCCTGAGTCAAGAACTTCACGCAGCCCACACTAGTTCTGGATCTCATCATGGGGATACCTCTGTGCAGCATCCAATGAAAAACAAATGATGGTTCACTGACTTCATTACAGGCATTCCAGTGTCTATTCTATCTGTGCTATACCAGGCAAAATAGAGCATACTTGCATGTTGGATCAAAACTATATAGGTACCACCAGAAGATATCTGCACAACTTCTCACTCCATCCAACCTCTGTATATCAAGGGCGTCAACAGAGGGCCAAGATCAAAGGGGGGGAAGGGGAGCTGCTCACAGGCAAGAGTTGAACCATGGGCATCAGAAATGGTGACATAATGATATCAATAACTCAGCATTATTTACTTTATACCACCATGCATGGCATCAGCCACTTTCATGATATTTTGCCATCACTCAATATCATCAGATCTAGTGACACTACTGGCACAGTAGAAGTCACAAAGACCTATTCCTGAAATAAATGTGTTAGGGATGGAGGCTCAATAGCCTCAGAGCTGATAGAAACTGAGGTGGTTACATTATTGAGTGACTGCAGCTTTGAGGGTTTGTGATGTGCATTGTGTATCTGCTTATCTTCCTTTTGTACCATTGAATGAACATTACTGTAGCACTGTCATTATACTAATACTGAGGTATTTAATTACCAATGTTTTAATGCTATAAAGTGCTTAGTACTGTATCTATTATCTGGACTACTGTGTTTCTATTGTATTCTTACTCATTATGACCAAATGGCTCCAGTACTGATACAAGGGCTATTGTATGCTTGGTGAGTGATGCTTATGATCAATCAATTACTGAGTTACAGTAGTTTTGTATCAGTTGTCAAATGAAAGTCTATTGGTTATCAGGCAGTACACCAAAAATGTGTACTTTCACATACTTTGGTAAGACCTTGGTAATCACAGAAATGAAACAGTGTATTAGGATAATTTGGTAACATAGCTTGCCTCATTGTCAATAATGAAGTGTGAGGCTATGTTGTTATTTTCCCCCTAAAATGGACTTGTGAAGTGGTGTCAATAAGTCAATGACAAGTACTTACAATTCTTCAAGTCTCTTTGATTTCCTGAGATCTTCTATGCAGCTCTATTGGCCATGTCCCTTGCTAAAGGTCAAAGGATACCCTCACCTGCTTTTTTGCATCAATTGATTTCTGTATCAAGCCTTGGACTTATTGTTTCTGTGGCATTACTGTGATAAAACTATCTTAGCCTGACCTGGTCAGCAATGCACTTGACACTATCAGGCAGCTCTCCTAGCAGCATTCTGGTACTTGCTATAGTAATCCCCATTTTCTAGCACTGCTGTGAAGCTTGGTCAATGCCATGGACTGTCACAGTCAAGCAAGGCCTTTGAGCTTATGTTGAACTTCTATTATGTGGCTTAAACCATAAACTATGAATAGGCCATTCTCTTGGAGATACCCTCTTAAAACTATTCATCCATAATGAGGTTCATCATTCTCTATTCTGATCTCTATCAATCCAGGCAATGGTTACAGGTCATTATGAGCATAAGGCTATTATTTCAAGTTGAATGGCAGTTCTACAACACTTGTATAACAACAACAATCAAAGTCTCACCCTTTTGGGTATTGGTTGTGAATCTGATATGCCTTGCTTTGGTAAACACATTACCAAGCATAACTGGAGATTTCATGGTTTATCACTGCTTTGGATAGCTAACACAAACCTTTGTTACTGAAGATAATATCCATATTGACTGTATATGAACTCTGTGATCAGCTGTCTACAATTCAACAGAAACATAATAGAATGGAGCTCAAAAATGGTAGGGAAATGGAGGGAAATCAAGGGAACTCCATTTACTGACATCATCACTCATACTGTGTAGCTTCTCTTAGGCACCTGTGCAGACATAAATGGCTACAGAAATCATATACATATTTGAAAGTCATTGATTAGCTGGTGTACAACAATTGAATTATAGCAATCATTGACACTAAGAAATGCAATATAAATCAATCTGCTTGCGTCAGGGTTGCACATGACAAATAATCATTGTAGTCACTACTTGCATAAAAACTGGTATGGTTCTGTTTCAAATTGTAGACAGCTAATCACCGAGTTTATTTCCGAGTTGATATTAATAGCAACCTCGGTAATAGAGATTTGTATTGCGTATACAAAGCAGTAACAAACAGTAAAAACCTCGGTAATCTTTGGCAATTCCATTACTGAGACAGCACAAAGTTGAGCTGTCATGAGGATACCAAATGACAACAAATACTAAAGAGGGTGGGACTTTAGTCAGTGCTGCTAAGTATGCAGTACTGCTCTTCAACTGGGAAGAGTAAGCTAATAATGGGCTTAAGTTGGCAATGAACTGAGATTATTGCTAAGATTTAGAGCTTTTTGAGAATAGAGGATGAAGTCTGAATACAGAGGATTAGTGTTCAGAGGTTGATACCAGGGGAATGGGCTTTTTTGGACTTGAAGTCACACAACAGAAGTTGAATGGAAGTCTGAACAACTGGCTTTGAATGTACAGTGACAATGGCAAGTTACTGAACTGTATGTAGCAGTGCAAGGTGTATGCTCAGGAGGGGCTCACTAAGGCAATTCCCAGCACACAGCTATGAGGTTTGCTTGTTAGTGTCAAGTGAGTTGCTAGTTAGGCTAACCATTTGATTCATAGTAATTCCACTGAGACGTGCTAGTATGGAATGAGCTGACACAAAGATCTACTGATGTTGGTAACAAAGTACAGTATGAGATGATGACTAAGCACCTTCTCTTACTGAACCCAACTCCTGAAGTCAGTCAATGAGTTACTTAAACCTTACTAGTAGCACAAGGTCTGTACCAGGTAAGGTTTCACAGCCGCAGGTCTTAGAGCACATTGGCAAGAACTCAGCAAGAGTGGTTGAGTGGCTAGTATGGCTCACTTAGCACCTGGGGCAAAGTAAGTCTTTGAGGGGCACACAGGGTGAGTTTCAGTGAAGAGTACAGTCATTAACCCACCGGTGGGTCAGTATCGTCTGATGGGCCACCTTCCCAATCCGGCGACGCCACACCACATTAGGCAATTGACGCTCCACGCAATCTGGCCGCACGCGCAGTCGGACGACCTTGGTTCATTGCGGACACCTGGACCTCACAATTGTAGGATGTTGATACAGTACGAAGTAGCATACAATATATACAGAATAACAATACAATCTATTCATATTTTTTTTGGTGGAGTGTTGCGCCTGTGGGCGCCAGGTGTGGCGGTCGAGACGTCGACCCCAGTGACCCCGCTAGTGTTCGAGGGATTGGAACCTCGAGATTTATGTACTTTTAGCATAGTTGGCATGAGTTAAGCATATCTTATATTTTCCTGTGTATTTCACCGTTGAGGAAATGCATTTACGCACTGAGTGTGGGGCTCGTTACTTGAGTGCAGTCGTTTGGGCATACCATCATTGCACCTACTAATCTCCGGTATGCCCCCATAGCCCCCTTGACCGTTTACGCTCTATACCCACTAAAACCTCAACATGACCTTTCGCCCAATCATATGGTAGGTATGCTTCATTTCGTAGCACCCCTCTCCATGTCTGTTTGACTATCTCTGGTCTTATCGCCTTCTTTCCGTATTTCGTTGTGTTCGTCATGTTACAATCTATAGCTAGTCTGTCGTTTATCGCTTGTAGCCATCTGTTTGTGATCTCGTCTTCTGAGTGTCGGCGGTCTCCTTCTGCTTGTATGACCTGTTCGTTCCGGAGTTTCCATATTAGGTACACTGATTCTGAGATTACGGTGCGGTGTAATCTTGCTTCTCCCTTGAGTATCTTCCCCTTCTTTGTCTTGAACTCTGTGCTTCCGCATCCTAGTATTCCGCCTAGTAGCGGTTTATTCCATGTCTTCTGCTTCATCTTCCATAGCTTCCCTGCAAGTTCCCATATTATCTCTTGTCCGGGAGCTTCACAGTCGGTGAGTATGTGATCGATTGACTCTTCTACTCCACAGATCTTACACTCATGTCTCTCCTGTAGTTCGTCCGAGTAGCTTGGTCGCAGCCAGTTCGACCCTACCATGTACACATCATGCGTGGACATCCATAGAAAGTATCTTATCTCTCTTTGTAAGTCCTTGTTTCGCATGCCCTTCCACGCTTGCGCTTCTGACAGCGGTTTTTTATAGTATACTTGCACATAGTCTGTGATCTTGATCATGTTCGTCTCCGTTCTGCGTCGCTGCTGGTATGTGTTCATCTTGCGTTCCCTTATACCTCTGTATGCTACCTTCTGTGTTAGCGTCGCGAGTTTCGCTCTGGTTAGCGATAGTTCAGACGGTATGCTCAGGTCTATTTTGTCTGCTTGTCGCTTCTTGGCGCCCTTCCCTGCGAGTGCGTCTGCTCTTTCATTCCTCCTGTGTCCATTGTGACCTCTTACCCATTTTAGTCGTGTTAGGTGTGGTCTTGCGCGGAGCGCTGCGATCATTGCGCGTATCAACGGTGCATTCGCCTTTCCAATGTATCCGTTATCTTCGTGTTCTACTCTGTACTTTGTTGCTTCTGTGATTACATGGTTGGAGTCGCTCTCGACGTCCAGCTTCCTGTTGTATGGGGTTTTCTTTCCTGCCACCGTTGACGCAGTTAGTTCTGCTGTTTGGTTTGTTTGTCTGATATCTGTTGGCAGCCGTAGAGCGAAGTTTAGGTCGCTTCATTCTTGACGAAGCCTCCTGCGCCCGCCTGCATTTCCTTGTCCTTGTTCTGGATACATGACCCGTCTGTTGCGAATGTGATAGCGGTTCTCGGTGTTGGCTCACTTATAGGTTTGTATGTCTCGTTGGAGGTGTCTCCTGTTGTGAATATTCTGAATACATCGGCCATTGTTCCTTTCGTTGTTAGTCTGTGATCGAACATCTCCCATTGGCCTTCATCTTGTTTCTTCTTTCGGTTGGGTCTCTGCATGGCTATCTGCTGGTTGTTGTCTTCCCTCTCATTGTCATCATTGCCGCCATCTGAGCCGTCCTCTCTTGTCTGTTCTTCATTGTCATGATCTGACATTTCATCTCTTAGGTCGTCCTGGTTCTCTTTGCTTTCCTCCTCATTGTCGTCATCTATCTCTGTCTTGCGTCTGTTCTCTTCGTCTTCCGGTTTTGCCATCTGTGGATTCCACTTCTCCGGTAGTAGACCCATGATGGTATGTGCCTTCTTTATGCATGTGCTCGGGTTCAGGCAATGTGTCATCAATCTTATGTCCTCGCAGTCGTTGCAGGGACATCTTCTATGGTGTTCATGTTCGTTGTTTGTATGTATGTCCGCGATCGCCTCCATGTCTCCTACCGATGTGACGTTGTGGTTCTCTCTTAGACATTTACTGACTCTTCCGTTATGTAGGCGTATTATCTTAGGGTCGGCTTCACCGTGTAGCCATATCAGCATCTCTTGTATTATGTCTCTTGAGAAGGCTAGCCCTTCTCTACGTATCCCGTATGTATTGGCCGTCTTGATCATTCTCTGTAGCCTCTTTGGTAGTGCTGACCGTTTGGTTCTCCATGATTGTAGGAACATGTTCACTCGCAGTTCATCCGGTGTGCTTCTTTCCGCTTCCGGTATCGTGTTTGCAATTATTGCATCCACAATATGTGCCCATAGTGGATGTTCGTCATTGAGTTTCAGGTATTCTTTCATCCAGATTAGCTCTATTGCTTCATTTCGTGCTTCTAGATCTAATACACCCCGTCCTCCTACTTCTATTGGAGCTCTCAGTGTTTCTGCCCTCACTGGGCTCTGTGTTTTCTCTGCCCATAGGAACGTGCGTATTCTTCTCTGAAGCCGCTTCTCGATGTGTGCTGGCATGCCTTGCACTTGGGTTCGATATTGTGTGATCCCTCCTATGCACATTTGAATGATGTGTTTCCTGCCTTCCATTGTCGGGTGTCGTTTCTCCCATCAGTTCAGCGTCTTGTCTATCTTTTCTAATGTTGGTGTCCATACAGATGTTTGATCAATTCTGTTCCCATACCGCGCACCTAGGATTTGCGTTGCTTTGCCTTCATTTGCGATGTGCATGTAGTCAGGTATTTGTTTGTTCCCCTCATTGATACGTCTGGTCCGTATGACATCTCTTCTGTACTCTTCTTGTCCCACTGGTATGATCTCTGTCTTTTCTTTGTTGAACTTCGCTCCTGACGCTATGCACCATGTGTCTAGGTGTCCTAGGAGGTCTGTGATCTTGTCGTCTTTCGACAGGTAAGTTGTCGTGTTGTCTGCGAACAGCGTTGCGATCAAGTGTTCGGCTACTCCAGGTACTCTGAAGCCGATGAGGGTTGAATCTCGTAGTGATGCAGCAAGCGGTTCGATCGCTAGGTCAAAGAGCAGACAGGATAGGGGGTCGCCCTGTCTTACTCCTCAGGTCACTCTGTACGCGCTGCTCATGAATCCATTAATCATTACCTTGGTTTCCGCAATTTCATACAGTGTTCTGACTGATCGGATGAATCGTTCCGGTATGTTGAACCTTTCTAGTGTCTTCCATAAGTAGTCGTGGGTGATCTCATTGTAGGCCTTCTCCTGGTCTAAGGCGACTATCACTCTGTCCCTGAGTTGGTCCTCTGACAGCCTGAGGTCGGCCATGGCCGCATATTCCATCACCATGTGGGTGAGTTGCGTCTGTTCTGAGATTTGTCTTCCCAGTATGAATCCAGCCTGTGTTTTATGGATGATTGTTGGCGCTGCATTTGCCAGCTTCAGGGTTAGTGCTTTCATGTATAGTTTGTAGTCGGTATTCAGCAGTGTTATAGGTCTATAGTTTGCGATGTCGGTTCAATCTGGTTTGATCTTTCTTTTTGAAGATCGGGCACATCCATCCTTTGGCAAAGTTTGTGCTCGGGTCTACCCCGTTCTTCTGTATGTCATTAAAAGCTGCTTTGAGTATCTTGATGATGTCAAAGGCGTCCTCATTCTTGTCGTCTTTCTCTTTCTCACATTGTTTGTAGATGTCGGCCCAGAACTCGTATGTAAGTCCGTTTATTCCTGCGGCACTGTCTTTCTTCGAGTGTTTGAGTGCCTCTTTAATCTCGTCTTCCGTGATCGGTTGTTCTAGCTCTTCGCGTTGTTCCTCTGTAGGCTTTGCGGTTATGTGGCTCAGTACCTCTTTGGTGCATTGTTCTCTCTTTGCCGTGTCAGGTTCTATCCCCGCGCTTTGTAGGTTGTTGTGGTAGTCCTTTGCTAGCTCTGTCATCTTCTCCGAGTTTTTCTCGTATGCTATGCTGTTGTTGTAGGTCTGTTTTCTTAGCATGCTTATTATATCTCTAGGTTTGGTCTCTTTCCCAAGCCGGCACCAGCCTTTACATATTGTCTCTCCCTCAATCCTGTTCTTAATCTTAACATCTGTCCGGACATAGTTGTGTCTTTGTTTCTCTGTGAGGTCGCTCACTTTGCGTTTGCGTTCTTCTTCTGGTGTGTCGCTCTTATTGATCGCTTCTTCTAGGGCTTTCTTTGTTGCTTCTATGTTTCATATGAGGGTGGGTATTTTTGCCCGTTGTCGTTCAATCGCTTTGTCTCTCACGTCGCTCTTAAAGCTGTGTAGGATGCGTTGCGGGTTCTCATCTGCAAATCTCCAGCCGCCAAGTTCAATCAGTTCTGTCATTGCTTGTTTCCCCCGTTCTCTGATGTACTCCTGTATGACTTCGTCTTTGATTATGTATGACAGTACTAGTAGTAGGTCTGGTTTTGGTATACGTCTGTTGCAGGGTGATTCATAGTAGGCTTTGATGTCTTCCCATAGGTATTCATTGTCTGTTGGGTCGTTTGGTGCGTATATTCCAAGTATGTTTCCCATTGTGTCGTTCTTCATGCTTATCTGGACTTGCAAGGCTCTGCCCGCTTTAACGATGTGCGTCTTTACGTTTGTCGTCTGTATGACGTCTTTGTTCAAGACTATTGCGACACCGCCTTTCCCCGTTGGGTTAACTTCATCGGCGGAGCTGTGTATGCTCAGGCGTTGTCCGAAGACCGTCTCAATCATTGCTCGTCTTGTGTCGTCCATGTGAGTTTCTTGTACTACTAGGACCACGATTCTCTTCTCTCTCATCAGCTGGTTCACGTGCATCCATTTGTTCTCTTGGCTTAGCGGGTTCTCTCTGCCAAAGCCTCTAAGGTTGAGATGCTATTGTTATAGCAGTGCGGTGTCTGTTCCGCTTCTTCCGTCTCTTTCTTCTTCTTGGTTCACCTTCATTTGTACGGTTGTCTTCTCCTTGTTCAGGCATGTGATCATCGTTCTGTTGACTGCTGTTCGGGGTAGCATTTCTGGCTTGCGAGCGGCGCTCTTCTCGTTCGCGCTCGCGTTGTCGTTGCCTTTGTCTTTGGTTCCGGTTTAGCTCAGGTCTCATCTCATTGTCTGGATCTTCGTTTTCCTTGTTGGGGGTGCTCCCGTTCTCGTTTGGGGTCTCTCCTGTCGGTGCGTGTTGGGACAGGGGTTCTCCTGCATTGTCGACATTCTGTCGATTGAGCATGTTCTGTGCTTCTCTGGCTCTTTGCACAGAGAGGGTGGGACTATCTCTGTCTCGGTCTGAGTGACTTAGAGCATCCGCTCCAGAGTCATCATGTCGTACGATGATGCTTTCGTGTCGTGCACCGTCATGGTGTTGGGGTCGTCGTTGTTCCTCGTCTGCCTCAGTGTGGTCGGGTTCTCGACTCTCTGATCAGACTCCCAACGGACATCTCCCGGGGGTCCACCTTCCATGACCCCGTCCCCATCCCGGGTGGGCCGGCCGGTGGTTGAGCTCGGCCCGCCTCTGGGGTCGGGGACTGCGCGCTTACCTGTACCACCTGTACCGATTTGTTCTTGCCGTTGCTGGGGTTGTTCTCTTCTTGTTGATGTGTTCGTAGCGTGTTTGGGTGGCCCTTCGTCAGACTTGCCAGGCCTCGCGAAGTTGCTGTTTAGGCTGCCGGGGTTAGTTTCTGCAGGTTCGGGATGCTCTGGACTTTTTGAGCCCGGTACATGGTCCAGGGCATCTCGATTGTTTGTATGAGATGGCGAGGCGTCCCGCAGAGTAGCCTGCCTGCCCGTTGGGGTTGTTTTCGTAGTGGGATGTTTGGTTCAGTTCTCAGGCCATCCCTATCTAGACACTTCACGTGTTATTATCAAGGTCATATACTACTGTCGTAGAGAGAGCGTTGTTCCTATGTACAGTGTGTGTTTGTGATCTGCGTGGGTACTACCTCTTCCGTCACCCGCGTCCTCTAGCTCTCCCTCCGTGGTTGCCTCCGCGACTGCCTCCACGACCTCCTCTGCGGCCTCTGCCTCGGCTCGTGCCTCCTCGAGTGTTGGTGCTGACCTGTTCCTCAGCTTCTCTCGCCCTCTTGACTCGGTGTTCCAGCCGTTCCGCCCCGTCGTACTTCGGGCCGTACCAGCCCTCTGTCTGGTGGAAGGGGCAGTCCCAGGTAGGGTGAGTGTCAGCCTTACAGAGCTGGCAGTCCACTCCGATGTTGATCTCGAGTTGGTTGAGGCCGATCCAGTACTTGCCTCTTCGGATGAGGCGGAGGTACGTTTGATGGTCGTTGTGGTCAGTCGTGATGGGTCTCCCTCGGAGCTGAGCTATGGGCGCAGGGTTTCCCTGGGCATCGCGGTTATTGAAGATCGTGACCGTGAAGGTGCTTGTTGCGCGTACGACTCGCTGCGGCGCGGAGCCTGGGATCCCGTGTTTCGCCATGACTGCGTCGACGTGCTGGCAGAACTTCGCGTTCTTCCAGAGCGCGACTTTGACCTTTTCGAGGATCGCGCCGGTCGCGTTGGGCGTCACGCTGTCGCCGCCAAAATTGCAGATGGCCCATGAGCAGACGGTGGGATCTATCGGAATGACGCTGAAGGTTAGGTCTGGGGTGATAGCGAAGGTCTGTTGGTGCAGGAGGTACTCGCGGAGCCTCTGAGATCCCCTGGCTAGGAACAGCGGCCAGGGTTTCCCGAAGCGATCCTTCGCATCCTTCCCTGGGGCTTGGACGGGTACAGTGACAGACAGGTCATCCATGTCCGGGTTTGCTTCCTCGTCCTCGTCCTCTTCTCTCATCTTGCCCTCCTCGAGGGGCCCAAAGGGCTGCCGCCGGAAGCAGAGCTGCTTCAAGAAGTCGGTGATGTCTTTCTTGACGTAGGGGTGGGCTAAGAAGTACGCATTGCCCGTCCCATACGGGAGGATGGCGCAGTAGTCGTCCACACTGGGCTCGATTTGCGACCACTGCTCCGGGTGGAGGTTGCCTACGAGGACCTCGTGGGAGATGACGATCTTGGGGAAGCTCGCATCGGTGTAGGCAACCCCAGAGGTCGGTTCACCGAGTAGGAGGGTGCCCTGTCGGGATCGCTGCTCATGTGGGTTTTTGTGGGTCGCTGTCGGCGGGGCGAGTGGGTCCGGCCACTGGAAGGGAGCCATGGGGGCACTGGCTGCGCGCTGCGGCAGGTTACGAAGTTCGCGCGGGTTGAAGACGACGTCCTTGTCATGCTCGGCTGTGTGCTCGCGGTCGGGTTCCGTAGCTACCTGGGTACTCATTCGTCCAGACACAGTTCTGTAGCGTTTGGCCGCTCGGTCGAGCACGCTCGGCGTCAACGGTTGGGGAGAGAGTGGCTGCGACAGGTTGGCTAGGGCTCCAATGGTGGGGTGCGAGCGGTGGGTCAGGGAGGCCGACGTCAGTTTTTAGCGGGCTTACATCGTGTTGTCCGCGTTTTTTGCCAGGTGTCTTCTGGCGAGGTTGCATTCATCTCAGCGTGTTGCGGCTATGTCGGGTTTATGGCTCGGTTGTCTTTGCCGTCGCTACATTGCTTCATGTGCGTGTTGTTTGTGGAGCTCGGTGCGTTCCAGGCGTGTATCATCCTTTGCCTTGCCATTACCTTGTCTTGTTCGCACGGTCTCTGCGCCTTTCGGCTCTGATGTGTCCTCTGCTTACGTGTCTCTGGCATACATGTCACAGGCGTCAGCCCGGGGTCGTCGCCATTGGTGTCAGTGCCCATTCCGCTGTCCAGGTAGGGTTGGAGGTTGTTTAGGTTGTCATTGAGAGCTCTGGGTGTGTTCTATGTTGCCCCTCAAGGGTGCAAGCGTTGGCTTTCTGTTTCTGTTTTTACACGAGGTTTCTACTTTAGTAGGATCTGTCTTTCCTCGTCGTTTGGGCGACGTTGCGCTCCTTGGGTTCTGCACTAGACCCAGTCTTCCCTCTGCTACGATAGACAGAACGGGACAGCTGTTGGCTTCCTTGCTTTGCAAGTACTAGTCCCTTGGGCCACGTAGAGGCCAGCCGCTGGACACCGTCATGGTGGTCCTTGTCCCGAGAGCAATCTATTCATATTCATCCGCGTCCAAACTTGAAGACTGGTTGTCAGAACGAGTCAGCCAGAGTGCCGCTGAGCTGTCTCGTGTAGCCAAGAATACTGAGGAACAGCAATGTTGACCATAGCTGCATGTCCGCGAGGCAGACATAAAGGTGAGAGTCAATAGTCGCGCCGAGCGCCTGTGCTGTTGTACCCTTGGGTGGGGTGACAACCAGAGTGCTACCGCTCTGTAAGGCCTATTTTACTGTCTCATAGTGAGGCCGATGTTTAGATATGATTTTCTCTGGAATAAAGTACACAATAAACTCCATACATCCGTTGAGCTGAGGTCCAGTCGAACAGTGCATCCTGCACGCGCGCGGCCAGATTGTGTGGAGTGTCAGTTGCCTAATGCGGTGTGGCGTTGCCGGATTGGGAAGGTGGCCCATCAGACAATACTAACCCACCGGTGGGTTAATGACTGTAGATGATAGAGCAATGATGTCCTTGACCATGCTCAGGAACGGCCTTTTATGCCATTACCAAGGACACAGCCAATGGAGCTACATGGAAGAAATTAGACAATCAAGGAGTCATAGAATTGTATAGTACATGTCCTTGACTCATTTACACTGCTTACCAAGGCAGTTCTAGGCAAACAATAGGATCATAACCTTACACCTCATTGTTTCCAACAAGCCCAGCTATGTTACCAAATCATCCTAGTACACCCACAGTACAACCACTGTTTCAGGACTGTGATTCCCAAGGCATTATTGAGGCATGCAAGAGTCTGCATTGTTGGTGTACAGCCTAAGGATAGCACAGCCATTCCTTTGTATACCAATACAAAACCATTATAACTCAGTAATTGATTGGTAATAACCATCATTTACTGAGCATACAATAGCTCATGTATCAGTACTGAAGCACACTAGAAACTCGGTAATAGTCCATTTAGTAGATACAATAACAAGCACTTCTAAAGCATTAAAACATTGGTAATCAATACCTTGGTAACAAAACAATGAAAGTGCTGCATTGATGTCCATTCAATGGTGCAAAAGGAAAAATGAGGAAAGTAAGATAAGCACATAACAAACCTTTAATGATGCAGCCACTTGGTAATAGTAGACACTTCTAACAAGTTTCTGTGTGCTCTGAGGCTATCAAGCCCCTATCCCTAACACCCATGTCCACAATATCTCCTTCAATTACATTGCTGTTGTCCCTTGTAGGCACACTGCCATCAATGTTCAAATGCAAAAACAAGGAGGACAGGTACATCACTTGGGTCCAAGGTGGTACCTCTATCACAATGCCAGCTTCCCAGATCACTGGCCATGATCTGTGCTTAGAATTGAACTTAGCTGTAAAGAAAATGAATAAGCAGTTAGCTTAGGACTCAGTGCAAAACTTACAGTCTGGAAGCACATACACCATAAGGACAGATACCAACAGGATTTTTTGCATCTGCATGAGGCATACAATGAACATTTGAGAATATGCCATTGAGGCAGAAATCCCAAAATCCACCAAAAGTGGATAGAACCCTGTGTTCTCTGCATGCCACTTAGTGGATTTCTAGAACCTGTGGTAGATAGCTGGAAACACAGCCTCCACTATACTCTCAATGAATTCACTGCAAACAGATGTGAGTTGATAAAGATGTATGAATATTATGGCCTACTTAAGCTTCATGCACAGCTCATCACAGAGGAGGGCATCTACTCACTCTTCATTCTTCTTGTGCCAAGTTGTTAAGGTAACATGCTGTGAATGTTGAGCTCAACATAGGCTATCAGACACTGGGCTAGACTGGCACCAATGACCTTTAATGCATGGCAAATGTGGACCACATAGATTTGCGGAAGCATTCTGTATCATGCAGTGCATCACTGATAAGCATGTGAATGAAGGCTTCCACATTGAGAAAGGGGGCTGGAAACCCATGATAAGGGAATAATTGTTTGTGGTAATCCACTACCATCAGAGTAGATTCCGGTCTGCAAAAAGTTTGAGATTATAAAACTAAATTGTGTACATTGGACCCACCCATTGCCTGTGTAAGGCAGTGGTAGGAGCTTGGATACCTCAACCCTACTACATGAGGGGGTTCTGGGCCAGGGTTTTGGGCAGCGTGTTAGCATCTTCCTTGGAGAGGGTCCATGGTGACAGGTTCATTCAAATTCCTTTGCTGTATTGTGCCACCACTTATTATATTCCCAATTAGGATGTTATTACACTATAGCACCCCGGTATATCCTTACTAGGCTGTACACATCATTACCCTATGTTCAGGATGACCTGTGACAGTATGGCGTACGGTCTATAGCAAAAATAAGTACACCCACATAATAATACACCCATACATATCATTGTTTGCGCGCGCCACCCACATCATTATTCGCGCCACCCACATAACTCTTTGCGCGCGCGGCCACCCACATAATTCTTCGCGCGCGCGGCCACCCACATAATTCTTCGCGCGCGCGGCCACCCACATAATTCTTCGTGCGGCCTTGGCACCCATCGTGCTTGTAGCTCGCTCTCGCCTCGCACATCCAATACAATGATAGGTAAGTAATACATTGATGACTATACTACGCTGACTATAGTAGTACTACAGTCGGCATAGGCTCGACGCGCCACAGTCGCGCCGTTGCGCTGTCCCCGCGTCGCGTCGCGTCGTGTCCCGTCGCGTCCCCGGGCCCCGTCGCGTGCGTCCCGTCCGTCCGTCACTCGCGTCCGTCACCGTGCTCGACGCGCTACAGTCGCGCCGTCGCGCTGTCCCCGTGTCGCGGCCGCCGTCGCGCCCCTACTGCGCCCGCCCTTGGTCCGCCCGCACTCGACGCGCTACCATCGGCGTGCCTCCACTCCCGCACACCGTCGCGTCCGTCACTACCCTCGCCACCATCCCCGCCTCGCGTCGCCTCGCTGCCACTGTGTCGGGCCCCGCCCCGCTGCGCTGTCGCTGCCACTTGCCGCCACTGTCCCCGCGTCGCGCTGTCGCCGCCACCTGCTGCCACTGTCCCCACCCGTCGTGCTTGTAGCCGCTTTCGCTTCGTCATCATTGCTAGTCGCAGCAGGTAAGTGACATATTGATTACTATACAACACTAACTACGTACTACGATCGGCACAGGTGTCACGCTCGAGGCTGCTGGTCACACCGGGGAACACCGAGTGTTGCGTTCGATGGCATGTTCAGCGCGCTCAACACCGAGGCTCCCGATCTTCCCTAGGCCCGCATCGGGAATGGGTGTGTGCCAGCACCCGGCGCGCTGCCTTTGTCGACCTGTGTTCCTAGTCCTGCGGAGGTACGCACCCTCCACCGCTTCCATTCTCGCGTTGTACTCATTCCACGCCGCTCAGAGGTCTGTGCCGTGCGGTACGTCAGTCTGCTCTCACACCTCTGACTCTCTTGCACCCCGCTAGGCACTACCATCGAGGCGTCTGTCCGCACCTCCATCCACCTTACCATCCTCAAGCACGCTGCTCGCATCACCGTCGTCAAGGTGCCCCATTTATCCTCTCCCGCTACCCTCATGGAGGTGCACGACTGTACCACCGGTGTCGATCTGCGTGAGTCGCATTCGCGTCCCTGCGCCATGCGCGCATTGTGTCTGCGGGCTCTTGTTGCGGTCGGATGTTCCTCTGATGCCTGGCCGCCCCTGCTGCCCTCTCTCCAGCGAGTGCAGCCTGGCAGCCGCGCCTCGTTGTCATCACATGTGTCTCGTTGCAGCGCGAATGATCTGAGGTGGGCCTGCACCAGGCGAGACACACTCCTTGCGCGGCCGACATGCCCAATTACGTAGTATGTGCCGCATGCGCCTCCGATTCCGGCGAGGTCAAGTATTGACTCAACCACTTGACCTAGATCGGGATGATGATGCCCAAGAGCATCTTCACAAAGCCAGGCTCATCCTTGCACTCTCGCCCTCGAGGCTTGCACGCTCTTCTCTTCCTGTCCCTCGCCCTTATTCTTGCGCTTTCCATCACCCTCTCACTTTCCCTCGTGCTCTCATACTTGTCGTCGCCCTCGCGCTCTCACAGTCTAACCCTTGCTCTCATGTGCTTATCCTCATACTCATCCTCGTGTGCGTAGCAAGGAAAACCTAAATACCTGTGTCGTTTACAGTCTTTGTCTCCTTGTTGCCGCACAACTATTGTGTGGTTCTGGACGAAATCTGCTGCTCATTGCACTCTCTGGACATGTAATGCAGCTTGCCTCTACTCTAGGGCATAGGCAGATGAGTACCTCGTCACTGCGCTCGTCACTGTGCCATGGACGAGCACTGGAGCACGAGGGAGCCACGCACGAAGACTCCCACAACGACTCTACCTGAGTCGGATTGAATAAGACATAAGTATTGATATCGACTTGTCGGCACTGCAAGGACTCACCGAAAGGCAGAGCCAAGCCTACTAGGCGTAAAAGGCATAATCACGCCTGAACTGATCTGCGACAGACTGGATGATGACATCCTCCTTCGACCAATCAGTCGAGTCGTGCTTCATCGCAAACGTCACCTGAAAGTGACAAGAGTAACAGAGTCCTGAGCGTCGGCCCATGTCATCACAAATGAAGCTCAGGAGCTCGTGATCAGACATCGCAGCATCTGGGTGAAGCAGCTTGGATGCGAGTGCTTGATACCACGTCGCTGTCCATCTGGAGCCACATTGGGTCGGCGAATTGCAACTTGCACCTTGGATGTGCCGAGGAGGGCTCCAGGCAAGAGCTTTCCGGTGACGATCGATGCGGAGCCACAGTACGAAGATTCGCATGGCATCGGTAGGAGCCTTGAAGTATGCGAAATGCTCCGAGTCCCATTCGCGAGGCCCCAGGCCGAGAACCAGTTTGAGGGCAGGGACAAGCCAGGGCTCAACTCCATAGGCGAGACAGCATGCAATTTTGGCGATTGGTCCCCATTCGGGATCGCCAGAAAGCGGGACAGCTTCCAACTTCTCGATTGCAAAGAACCTTGCTCGGGTCATGTCCCACATTGTTGCGAGCTGGAGTATACCGACGAGTTGTCGTGTGGAGGGAGAAAATGGCTGTTGGGACTCTCCATCTGGCCTAAGTCAACGTGTTAGATGATCATGGCAACTTCAAGCAGCATTGAAACGAAGGCATACAGAACTGCGCCGCCCAGATAATCAATCAGAGCCTCGAATGCAATCACATCAATACCCCAGAGGTAGAGCGGAGATGCCTCTGAAGTGCCCTCGGTCCGATGAGAAACACCAGCTGGCAATTCGAACATCCCACTGAAGACAGTAGAGTGGTTGGCGAAAGTGCCTGTGTACAGCCTGTACAGCGTCTTCCCGACCTAGACAATGTTGCATGTCAGTAGTATACAAGGGCCCAGAAGTCATATGCACTCACACCGATGAACAGATTGCCGTCGGGAACCCAGAAGCGGGATGAGCGAGTCATGGTCATGGTCATCTCTGTGCGCAATTTGATTGTGACCTTGCATGAATGCATTCAGAGTATGAGCATCTAGACTAACTGTACAGATGCAGCACTCACAGCTTCTGTGTTTCCCTTGCCGACAGTAGCGATCATGGCCAAGTCGCTACTCGTGCTCCTCGAGTTCGAGCCTTGTACCTGTGTCATGTGGACCAAGGTTCCCGCAGACAAAGCAGGCGAAGACATGAACGGCTGGTGTGATGCCATGAGAAGCTGCAAGACTGGTCCCGAGTGCAAAGCAGTGACGAGAGACAGGACACGACGAGCTGCAGAGCGAGCAGCCATCGCCTGTGGCACTATCGGCCATCGCCGAGGTGTTACAGCGTCGGCCTGCACATTGATGACAAACAGATGTCCTCACAGAGCTTCGCTCAACCATGCCACATTAAAAACTTGTTTGATTATGATAAGTAGAATATTACGAGGTACGAAACGATCATCTGAACGAGACAAGGGTATTCCAAGTCAACGAGTACGAGTAGAGTGTCTGCAATCAGTGGAGTGCTCTAGGAGTGAAAGGATGAACGAAGGATGGCCTACAAATGCCAATGTACTTCAATACTACAAGAGAATGACAGAGCGAAGTGCGAAGAACATCAATCTACTCGCCGAACAACAGAAGTCTGATTAAAATGGATATATGTGAAAGCCATGCTGAGATGCTTCATTCGTTGCAGAGTAGGGTGCAGACGATCCTCTAGCAGTCGGATAGTGGGCTTCAGTCAGTTTTGCACTCGATCTGGCTGATTGAAATACCTTATACCTTGCCGATGAGCCTAAGCCCAAGGGTCGCCAGCAATCACATCCCGAGTGATGAGTACTTGTGGCTGAGTTGCTGTTGCAGAGCGAGTGATCCGAGTTGCTTGCACAGGTGATGGACTTTGCTGTGTGAATGGGGGCTCGCCCAAGGTATTACCTGGATCCTCGTCGGACGAGCTGATCTCGATTGGGCCCTGCAATGTCCCAGTCGCAGCTGAGCTAGTTGAGCCCGAAGCGACTCCAGAGCCAGCTGTCAATTAAGAATCAACATTGCGACATCCGAAAGTGGGCAGCAATTTCCTTACCAGCCGACGTCGATGCCCTTGGCTCTTTCAGGGTGAAGCTCGAGAAACTGCTCTCCATGTTATCGACAGCTCTCTTGAGCTTACCTGCAAGTGGATAAGTCAGTATATGGGCATCGTCGCCACACAAGACTCAGTCCAAGACACCTACGACTACTCTTTAGCTGAGACAATGGTTCGTCATCACCCCACTCGCTAGCTGATTCTGTTGCAGTATCTGGAAAAGGCACGAGGTTGGAACAAACCCCAGCGAGCAGTTAACATTGGAGGAAACTCACTGTCGTCGTCACCCAACTCTGACCCAGCATCGCTACCCAACTCTGACCCAGCATCACTACCCAACTCTGACCCAGCATCGCTACCTTCACTCTCAGGCTCACTGGTCGCACTGGCCTTGGCTTCCTCCTCGTTGCCATCTTCCACCACAGGGACATTGGGAGCAACATCCTGAGGGCGACACCACGACTTCCAGACCTTGGTCGGTACTGGCCGAGGTGTCACTGAACATTACATAGTGAGCACAGTGAGCGACTCGGACAATCAGACCATAGGGGCGACGTACCAAAGCACCAGGTTCGCTCAATCCAACTGCCATTGCGATTGTGAACAGCAGTGCAGAGGTCGACAAAGCTGAGGGGCTTCATGTCGTCAAGGAACACGACTGCCAGCCTCCGACCAGTCTTCTCAACCAGTTTCCAGTGGTGCGTCGTCTCCTCATAGGTCCCCTCTGCTTTCAGCCAGTCGTAGTAAGCAGGGAACAAAGACTTAAGGAGGTCGTCCACATCAAACCAGTCGGTGTTGGGCTTGATGAAGAGTTCGCCACCATCTGGAGCACCTGACTTAGCAAGTCCACATCGTTTGAACATCTTCATGTCGCTCGCAGAGAGCTTGTTGATGCGAATCTCGCCCTCGTTCTGCAGCAGATCAGAGATGAGAACCCATCGGCAACGACAACAAAGCGATGAAAGACACACATTTAACCCATGTGGCAGCAACAAGACTCGGCCAATGGGGTAGGGCTTTGCAACTGACTTTGCTGATGACGAAGACAAAGCCTAATGGCCGATTAGTGAGGCAATGTTGAAGAGGGTCTGTAGCATACCTTTTGACCAGCAGTCGCAGATCCTGAAGCTGGCAGCTGAGCCTGTTATGACATGAGAAGCTGAAGACACAATAGCAGGCAGCTCACATACCTTTGCCTTGGACGAGCCAGAGCTCTTGGCGACACCCTTCCCTTTCTGTTTGAGACCAGCATTCGTCTCAAGTCGAGCAGTCTTGAACGATGCCTTCGGGCCCTTCGGAGCAGGTGCCTTTGCCGAGTATCGCTGCCGCTTGGGGTGGTGAGCGATCAACTCGTCGACAAGACTCTCTGTGTCGATAGGGGAGGTAGCCCTCCTCTTGTGCCGCTTAGACGAGGAGCTTGCCATGTGAGCGAAGAGCCTGATTGAAGACGACAGTACAGGGGAAGGGTGCAGAAGCATGAGAGATGGCGACAGCTTTGAATTTATACTCACCTGAGCGAAGCCACGACTCGGGTGATACCCTCTTCACATCGGCAAATATTGCCTCAAGGTGATCGGCAACATGTAACATCCCAGCCAAGCCGAGCTGGCTCCAGAGACTGCACTGCATTGCCAAACACGAGGTGGCCGACCGAAGGTAGGGCTGAGAGGATTGAGCTTCTGTTGGTGTCGGCCTACTACCCCGAGATAGATTCGTGTAAGTAAAGTAATCATACATCGTCAGTGTTCATGCTATGATCAGAACCAGACGAGCTCGATGAGTCGCTCTCCGATGAGCTTGATGAGCCACTCTCCGATGAGCTGCTCCCCTTGCTGAGGATTTGGGTTAGAACCCAAACAGCCCTACACCATGCCTCGGCTCGGGGCAACCACAGCTCGTGAGGCAGCTCAACCCGAAGAGGTGGCTTTCTCTTCCCAACAACAAGATTCTCGTGCGTTGGATACCCATCCTGTTCCCACTCCTCTTCGCGAATGTTCATGTGCCGAGGAACAAAGCCAGTGTCAGTGACGCTGTCCAAGGTTACCCAGAAGGCATCCTCGTCTTCCTGTGATTCAAAGGGATTCTTGTGGCGAGCAACCTTGATAGCAGCATGTCGGATGTTCGATGCCTGGTTGGCGATGATCTGGGCGACTAGGTTATCGCCACCAGGTTCAGCTAGGGAAGTACCACCTTCACTAGGAATGCTGCTGCTATCGTCTTCGTCTTCAGGACCAGTTGAGCCCTCCTCTCTACCATCTGAGTCGGTTGCTGACTCCTCGCTGCCAGATTCATCGGCCCATGCTCCACCTACATCTACTTCCTCGTCGCTGGCCTCTGCATCGCTATCGAGGTCACCCTCCAGTGGCTCGTCTTCATCGTCTGTATCGTTCGAATGACCTGCACCAGTCTGGCCTCACCTGCGACCCCTCGGGGCCCCCTCTACACCGAGATACTCGGTGAGGATATCAGGGTCAATGTCGGCATATTCGTCCTCGTACATCCCAACGGTGACTTTGGCCAAGTGCCGAATATCCTGCAAAGTACAGTCAGATGCTTGTCCCTGTGCTAATCATGAGCATACCGATGGGGTTTGGTTTCGATGCTTCCCTGACAACTTATGCAGGTTCCAGTTCTGGACCCAGTTATCGGCATCGGTGTCGATGTCGCTGAGGAAAAGCTCATGCAAGAGCCACAGATGTGCAGGATTGCCTGCATCGAGACCATGCATGCCTTCAAGACGAGTGAAGAAGACTCACCATCGCCGGACAAAGCCTTCGCCAACGTCGACCCAGATTCGCTCGATCTTCTGGTTTCGGGTTGAGCTGTATGCGAGCTCAACAGTAGTAATGTGGGACACACAGGTAGTACTTACGATCCAAACATGAAGGATGCTCGGTTTGGGCCCCTCCTCATGATCATATATGACGACACCAAAATATTCTCGCCACCACGATCGCCGCGAACCCGAAGTGGCAAGCCATGGATTTGGACAGCTTCATCGAAGCGAATCAGGACAGTCTCCGGTCGGTTGTTGTTTGCTGCTCGCATCATGACGACCTGCATGTCGAGTCGGAATCAGCAACGGGCTGCAATGATGATAGAGGAGAAGGCGAACCTCATCATCGCAACCATCAATACCACCATGGAAGACAATACCCCATCGTATGAGCTTGTGGTGCCCGTCGATATGCCAGAGGTGGTTTGGGCGAGGAACAGAGTAAACTCGGCGAGCGACAGCTTTCTTGTGCCGAAGGGCAGCACCTATCGCATCTACGCGGTGTAGTGAGTCGATGATTCGCTGCCTCTGAATTCGGAGCCATTGCGTGCGAAAATATGAATGGACGTGCCGGATGCCAGCATTCGGTCGCTCGACCTTGAAGGCGCGCACAAGTTGGTCTACCTGCTCGTCGCTGAGAGGAGCATACGAGATGCTGATATCATACTTTCGCATGTAGCGAGAGACAGTGGTCCAATGAACACCAAGGGCATTTGCAGCCTGCTGGATGGTGATGCTCCGATATGGTGCAAACGTCTCTTCAAGCCACGACTTCGAGATCACCTTCTTTGGGCGACCACGGCGACCTGTCCGGGTAATAGTCACAGGGTTGGCAACAACAACATTGTGTCGCTCCCTGGCCAATCCGTCAATGAAACCTGAATCGGCCAGACAAGGAGCCTGGGAGCTCACCGCTCCGTGTCAGCGTCGATGGCTGTCTGAACAGCCGATCGCATCCTCCCAATCTCAGCACATGCAGCCTCAATCCACTCCCATCCTCCTCCGCGCCGAAGCTCTGGTGCCATTGCCTTGACCAGCGGTACGACTTGTCGGTCTAGGGTATCCATGCAAACACTCAGTCGCACCCGATCAGCTTCATCCTGAAGCAGCAGGATCGCGATGTGGCCACACAGGTGGGACAGCCGCGTGTAAGCTGCCAGTACGCTGTCGGACCAAGTAATGAGAACTCCGCTTTGATGTTGCGGGAGGTGAGGAAAGGTTGACTGCGACATGAAGGGTGCAGCAGGTGGGCAGCGGCGGGCGATCGACCAGGCCCAAGGCATGCCACCATTCAGTATTTGCACCTGTTTTGGTGGCCCGGCAGTAACCACTCTGCCAGGCAACTGCGCGCACCGCAAACGACATTGTATTCGCTTTCAAAACTATACAGGGACAAGTCACAATCCAGCAAAACCCCGCGCAGCGGCTTGCAACCGCCATTGCAGGTGCGAATGCCCGGCCTGCGCAGCCGAGCAGGCAAGCGGGCGGTGTGGCGTGCGGGCAGCAGGACACGAGGGCAGTGGAACGTGCGGCCAGCGAGGCATGCGGACAAGGGCATGCGCAAACGAGGGGCGACTAGGCGAGGGCATGCACGGTGCGCGCAGGGCCTGCGAAGCGCCCGCGCGGCGGCCTGCGCAAGTGCCAGCAGGCGGCGGCGCGGCGAGCAAAAGGGCGGGCGGTGCCGGAAATGCGGCGCGGGCGCAGCTGATGCGCGCATGCTCGGTGCGCGCAGGGCCTGTGAAGCGCCCGCGCGGCGGCCTGCGCAAGCGCCAGCAGGCTGCGGCGGCGGCGTGGCAAGCAAAAGGGCGGGTGGTGCCGGAAATGTGGCGCAGGCGCAGCAGATGCGAGGGAGATGCGCGCAGCGCAAAACAGGGGATGGTGGTGAGGCCTGAGGCCTGGGCCGAGCTGGCGCGCGCAGCTGCCGCACCAGTCGTCGCTGCTGGGCTGCTCGTGTTCGAGACTGCAGTGCTACCAATAGCCTGAGCCGCGCTTGAGGCAGTGCATGGCGCGGAAGGCCCGGCCACGCTTGCCACAATGTTTGCCCACTTGCTGCCGGGTATAGCTGCGCAGCCGAAGGCTAGCCCTCAGGGATGCGCCGGTGGTCGCGGCGAGAGGTAGCACACTCGATGCGGTTCTGCACCTGGTCGAGGCTACTGCGCGCCCGGCTCGTGGTGTGCGCGGGCGCGTCCGAGCCGGCCTTGCCCGCACCCAGGTCCCAGAGCAAAGATCGCGCAAGCCCATTGACCGTGGCGCACTGCGCTTTTGCCTTCGCAATGCTCGGCGCGTTGTAGCTCGCGCAATCCCCATTGGACAAGTCGCGGGAGTACAGTGTGGCGGAGGTATGATTCTTGCTGGCAGGCGCGCCCGAGAGTGGGAGGGTGCTCTTCTTCGCGAGCGCACCGAACCCGGTGCGGAGCTCCACGAGAAGGCTTGTGAGGCCCGCGGCGAGCGCGGGCGCGCTTGCGCACTCGATGTCGACGCCAAGCCTGAAGTTCTCGATGCCAGGCGTTGCGGTGGGGGCAAAAGCGGAGCGGGGCGGCGGGTCCGCAGCCAAGTTGAAGTAGCCTGCCTGCAAGTGGGTGCAGCCGCGGGCAGAGAGAAGCAACTTGAGGTTTCGGTTTGCGAGCTTGAGCAGGTGCATCTGAGAGGCGCATCAATGTGAGTTCAGGCAAATCTATCGCAGGAGGAAAAATGCGCACCTGCTTCAGGCGCTTAAGCAGGTTGTTTCCAGCCTCACCCCTCGAGTCTCCCAAGATTTCTGCCCATCAGCGAATGAGCCTGCGAGCGTGTATACTTCGGTACGCGGCGGCTCGCCCGCGAGCGCATGCAGATTATGCGCGAGGTCGCTCGGCGCGATGTTCGTTGGCTGGAAGTTTGCGCCCCTGCAGCCGCCCTCAGTGGCGCGCACGAATGTGATGCGGCAGATACGCACCAGTCCGCGAAGTGCACAGCTTGCACGTATCCGCTGCCAGCGCGCTTGTTGATCGTCTGCGGCTCCGGGTCGGCCCTCGCCCACTCGCGCAGCGCGGATTTGCAGTCTGCGGGGTGTTGCCTCACTTGTGCCGCCCCGGCACACCAGAAGGTGTTGAGTGCAAGCAGCGTGGAGAGGAACATTGAGCGAGCCGCATTGGGCGAGGTCGAGGGCGAGGTGCCAGAGGCGGGAAAGGGAAAGGGATGGCGGCATCCGGATCTGGCGAGTCGGTATTGGGCACGAGCATGGGCGCCGATGCCGGGCGACCTCACCTACGGGGCTTATAAGCTTGCCCGCTGGTTTCCGTGCTTGCGTTCGCAGTGTGGTTGGTGTAAAGCAGCTAGCAGGGAGATAGCAGTGCGGTCGCCTAGATTGGTTGGGCGGGAGAACACCCTTTGCCAGCACTTTGCGGATGCGACCACGAGAGCCCTACCCCTACGCAAACATCAACGCAAAAGCACCAGCGGAGGGGTCTCAGCCAACGAGAAGGCGAGCAGTGCCAGATGTGGTGAGACCTGGGAGTGCTTCCTTTGGTGAACCGCGGATGTGACCACGAGAGCCTTACCCCTACGCAAACATCGACGCAGGTTCACCGCCAGAAGTCCTCCAGGCTGTTCGTGAGTTGGCACTGCTGCACCTGAGCGACTCAGAGTGAGGGTTGGGTACGTTGCGCGGCCTGGCTGCGCGAGAACCGCCGCCTTGCCAACGGGATCATGTGACTACCCAAGCGCACCTGCTCTCCGATGAGCCGGGTAAATACCTAGTCTCTAGAGTCTACAAGCTAGAGGCGTTCTACACTCGGCAGCGCAGAATTGGACTCGACCACGTATGCGAGCCAATTGATATTTTTGCTGCATCCTTGAGGCTTGGCGTAGTACTGCTTGATGATAACTGAACCCGTTGTTGAGCAGATACGAATGGCAGGACTGGTATAACAACAGAAGATTTTAAATACAGAAGCTTCTAACTACTTCATACAGCGCAGCACATAGGATTCATAGTACAAAGCTGCAGCGGCAGAGTTCGTGAGTTCAGGCAAGCAACTAGACCGCAGTATACCGAACATGGCATTTCTTCTTTCTTGGGCCACTCGTTACCGTTATAGTTGTTCGCGTCGGCCGCGCCGCCTCAAGCAGGTCCGCATACGCGTCGGCAGCTGCATTGACCTCCGCGTCGGCATCCGCGCCAGTGCCGGCATTGGCATCAGCATCATCCGCAGCGCCCATGTCTTCAGAGCGCGGGTTTCCACCGGCAGCAGCGAGGCCGGAGAAGGACGACGTCAGAGTTGGGAATGGCAGGGCGGTGCCGGGGTTGCAGAGGTAGGGTACGAAGATGGAGATGCGGAGGTCCAGCAGCAGTTTGCCCGAGCTCGGCGAGCATCTGCGCGCGCCAGTTGATGCAGCCTACGAAGCGGTGCAGTGAGTGCGCAGCAAACGCCCCGCGCGCGGGTGGACTTACTGCAAGACTGAATGCACGAAACGAACTCGACGCGCCTCGTCTGCTCGCCTCCAGATTGGCGGAACTTTGCGCATCGCGCGGCGATAGCGCCCAGACGGGGCAATGCGAAGGTCGCTCCGGGGCCGCCTGCGATCAATGTCGCATTCTCGCGCCGCCCCAAGTCCGCGCTGAATTCATACGGGCCACCGAGCAGCACCTGCGCGGGGACCCCAAGCTTCTCGCCCTTCTTGCTGCCGCAGAGGCGCCTTTGCTCGTCCATCTCAGCGCGCGCGCCTAATCTCCCTTCGCTTTCGCTGCGAGCGAGGCTGCGTGTGGCGGCATGCACAAGGCGGGCGGGGGCTCGGTCATGGTAGTAAGCAGGTGCGGACCGGAGATACGCCTGGAGAAGAAGACTCGCAGTCTTCCCGGCGGAGCTTGTGCAGCGGAGTGGGTGAGAGCGAGAGCACAAGGTGAGGGCGATAGGTAGCATGAGTGGGGGTGAGTATAAGGACGCAGGCGTAGGCGCGAGGCGGCCGAGCGCGAGCGCGAGAGTGCCAGCGAGAGCACAAGGGCGCAAGGGTGAGGGCGCGGGAAAGAATGCGGCGGTGAGTGCGAGCGCGCCTTATTCACCCGATGCATGGAGCAGGGACTGGGTGGCTGTGGTGGTAGAGAGCGAGCATGGAGAGTGGTCGTGGACATGAGGAGAGCGAGGCAACTCACAGTGATTACCTGGACCCATGATCCTTCCTCTCTTGCAGCTCTCCTAGTCGGGAACTTACTGCGCGCCACCTCGTCGGATGATATTCCGCGCTTGCTGGGCCGCTCCGCGCGCGAATTATTCGCCGGGAGCTGCTATGCTTGCGGAAGGGCGACTTGCGCGCGCGCGGCGCATTCGCGCAGCGCGCTTGGTCGAGTTGGGGTGCAGGGGGCCCGCTCGTCAGGTGCTGATGAGGTCTTAAACTTGAAGTCTGGTGGGGACGCGCGCCGCGCAAGTGCGCGAAGTCCCGTGCCGCTTCGCAGCGGACTTACGCGACTGCATGGCAGTGCGTTCGGCGCGTTGAGCGATCCTAGTTCCTCGAGTCAGCAAGGACGCAGTGAGAGGCCGCACTCACCCGCAGAGCCGCGTGTCGACGGGAATCGACGCGTCAAGGGACCATGCGAGCAAGGGAGGGATGAAAGCAGGATGGTCGACGCGGGAGTCGCGTGCAGACACCCAGAGAGCCGCGCGGCGGCACGCTCAACGTGTTTGGGCGCGCACGCCGTAGCTCGGTTCTCACGGGTGAATGGGCGTGTCTGGCGCGCGGGGCCTGGTAAGTTATGATATGTGGTCTGCATCCCGGGCAAGTCTGCCGCCCGAGCCCGACTCTGCCCACCTCTCCACTATGGCCTCGCTCTCTGCCTCACTAGCTGCCGTCGGAATGGCCACAGAAGCGGATCTCGAAGCGGCCGTGAACCATCTCACGCGGGATCGAGCCAGGCGTGGAGCCTCAGTGGAGGCGCGGCATATGTTGTAGTAGGTAGATATGATGGAGCGCGGCGTGATCGAGCATCTTGAAGCACGAACCATCGGTCGAACAGGACGTAGGGTACGGCGGAGAGTACGTCGAGACACGCGTCTCGAGTGCAGCTCTGAGTGAACTCGCAACAAGGAAAGGCATTGGGCAGCGAAGGAAATGCGCAGGAAAGGATTGCAGGCGGCCGTCGCAGAGAACTGCGCACAGCGCGCGATCCGATGTATTGGTTGGGGCTGGGGAAGTTTGCCGTACGACGTGCGGTGGCTGGGCGTGTTGTGGTGCAGTGTTTGGGCAGTACGAATGGCAGGCAGAATGCGAGGGAAGGCACATGTGAGGTGGGTGAGGGCCGGCTCTAAGTTGTGAGACCGCGGGACAGGCGCGGCTGCGGGCTGCCGGCGGTGAGCGAGAATGCCTTGAATGGCATCTCCTTCGGTGGTGTACAAGCTATCGCGGCATAGGTCGTAGTACTTCGAAGCTTCGCCATGCTCGTCGAGAGGTCCTCCCTACTCTCGCCCATGCTGCCGAACTCGGCGCACTCGAGCATCAGCCGGATGAACACGCGTGGATTCAGGCGGTGCAGCGTCGCGATGGCCTCATCCCAGAGTAGCCACTGTATTTGCGCAGCTGTGAGGTCGTCGCTGAGCGAGCCCTGGGCGAGGTCGCAGAACATGATGTGCAGTTCGCGGACTTCATGCGAGAACTTGCTGGGTAGAACCCCCAATGCACCCTCTTTGTGCAGGATGCTAGCCACGCGGAGCTGCACAATTGATAGTCTCTTGAGTTTCGTGAAATCAAGAGCGGAAGCTACCACGAGCCGAATTATGTCAGTGATTAGTCTCCTGCCAAAGGTCTCGCACTTACGTGCACGTCTCATCGTATTTCAGCTGACTCCGCGAGAGTTATATCTTGCAGGTCGAGCTTGACCATCCCCGTGAAGTCGTCGAGGAACTCCTGGAGCATACGCCGCCCCTCAAATTACACTGTCTGCAGCACGAGCGCCCGAATGCACGGTGCAAGGGTGCGTACACTCGCTCTGACCTTCGGCGGCATCGCAAGGTAGAGTCGAAGCCAGTCATACCAAGGGTTCCCTTCTAGACCGCGCGGGATGCCCGCCGCCCAGATTGCATTGAACAAGTGCAGCGCCTCAGACCTAGAAACTCCGGGAGCAAGGGCGGCAGCTTGTCGTCGAGCCAGCGCGCCTGCGTTGCAGCGTCGGTCGGGCTCCGCGTGGAAGGACGCGGTCCGGCCGAGGTTCACGATGCTGAGGAGGCGCAGCGGGTGTGCGGTGTACGGCGCGGTGAGGTTCGCGAGCGTGTCGCAGTCCTGCTCGCAATGCAGGTGCACCTCGGCGTTCCGGAAAACGTGCACGTGCGCGCAGCTGAACCAGGCGTGGCAGGTCAGGCTACGCGCTTCTAGGGCGGCGCAGTCGTTCCACATATGGTCGATGGCGCGATCCCACAACTCGAGTGATAAACACGGAGGCAACATGGCGAGCCTCAAGGCTAAGTCGCCCAAGGTGTGGGTTGGTCAGCATGTTGGCAGTCACAGAGCGACTGAAGCATTTGCGACTCACATGAAGGTTGTTTGGGATCAACAGACTAGGCTGGAGACGACGCTAGAGAAGAATAGCGAAACTCCGTAGGTCGGCTATGAAAGCGGTGATGAGTGCAAGTCATTCTGTGAAAGGATTACTCAACGAGGAAGCTGTATCAACAGCCTGTGTCGATGCACTACACCTGGACAGTCTGCTCGGGGACAATGGAATCGCTGAGGGCGACCGAGTGGCAGACAGTCAGGCGAAAGACAGGCTCAAGGAGGCGTCTGATAGCACCAACATTGTGCCAGTCTGAAGCGAAATGGACAAAGGACTGCAAGTGGACAAAGGAGACTCACAATTCGTGACAAAGGCATGGCCGAACACATGTCGATCGAACGTAAGACCGTGAAGACGCACGTCGTACAAGAGAGGCAATGGATTCAATAGTACTAGAGACTGCGAATATTGTAGTATGCCTACATCAACACATTATTAGCTATGATACTGCGCACGTCCCCCAACCTACATCATGAGCTCGTTGATTTTGTGTCGTGAAAGCAGAAGAAAGTCTAGTCGAAGTCCATCTCAGAGGGTCCCTGCGACTCCTTCGGAGCCTCGCCCTCCTGTGGAGGCTGCTGAGCATTCGGAGTCTCTGTACCGCTCTTCGGCGTCTCAGTGCCCGAGGGGGTCTCCGTCTTTGGCGACAAGTTGGGCTTAGGCCGCGTAAGGATCGGCATCGCGAAGTAGATGATGTTGTCCTTCTTCTTGAAGACGTCCGCGGCGGTGAGGACGGGGTCGGCGCCCTTGGGGCGCTCGGACTGGCGCGCGATCTGGTCCTCGAGCCACTGCTGGATCGTCGCGCAAGGCGTCTCGACGACGGCTTGCCTGTCCTTGTCGTCGATGTGCGCGTCCTTCTTGTCCGAGGACGTCGCCTCGGACATGTACCGGTTGATCGTCTCGCGCAGCTGGCTTACCACCATCGACCGCTGCTTCGCCTCCTTGTACCGGCTCGTGATCGGGCCCCCGAGCTCCTTGAGCGCGCCGCGCCGCTCGACGTGCGCGGACTTGGTCGCGTCCTCACCCTCCTCGCTGTAGAGCCAGTCCGCGGCATCCTGTGGAGCCGATGCCTTGAGGAGCGCCTCCTTCTCCTGCGCCTTGACGTAGGCGACATAGCGCTCATTGAAACGACCGCGCATGATGTACACGTACTCCTCAAGAGCGTTTTTGCGGTCCTATAGGTAAGGTATTAGCATCGGCCCAAGAGCCTCACACATGTATGATGTCAGCATGCATGCCTCAGTGCCCATGCCAAGCTTGTCAGCCGCGTACATCTCGGCCTCCTGCTCCCTTCAACTTCTCAACGACAGAGGGGTCAACCAAAGGGAACATTGACCTTGTTGGAGACCTTCTTCTTCGGCTGCTGATCCGCACCCTCGGCGTCGACCTGCGTCGGCTCGTCCGCCTCCTCAACGACCTCGAGGTACGCTTGCTCAAAGGAAATGGCGCCGCGCAGGTTCAGACGCGTGTGCACGCGGACGGTCGAGTGGTCGCCGTTCGCGTTCGGGCCAGTGGGCAGTGTCGGAGGCGATCATTGAGATTCCAAGTGGCCGGACGGCGGCTCGGACACCGGTTGCGCCCTTGCTTCCTCACGATCCCAGTCGTGGTTCCTCTCATGGCGTGAGTACGGCGACGTCATGGACGAGTCAATACCGGCGATGTGTCGCAGGGATTGCGATTGCGGGTAGGAGTGGTTGACAGGGAGGGTATCCGAGTGGTGGAGAGCAATTGGGGCCGGGGCCGCGCCCATTGAGGGTGCCGTGGTAGTGGGAGGATGGATGGATTGCCGCGGGTGGCTGGTGATGGTGGGAACGACCCATGGCGAGCAGCCCGTCCATGGTGCCGCGCCGCTCGACGCGCTTCATCTTTCTTCGGCATCTGCGCATCGCGCGCTGCTAGTTGCAGTGGGAAGGGGCCAGATGGTCGACTAGGAACGGTGGTGCACGCGCAGCATGAACATTTGCTGCGAAGGGTGGTGAGTAAGCAACTGAGAGTGCGGGCGACCTACGAGGGCACCCTGTCGATGATGGTCATCACCGGTCGTGGCCTCGAGGATCATTCCGCCGACGCTCATGGTGGGTCGGACGATCGGAAGCATCGACATAATGGACTTTAGACTGAGTCACCGTGGTCATGATGGTGGGTGCGCTAGGAAGCGGCAGGCTCGCTAGCTGCAGGATGGTCGGGCCTCGGGAGAGGCAGAAGGCTAGACAAGGTTGTCAGGCGGTGGCGGACAACTTGAAGAAGGCGCGAGGGCAGGCTCACCGATACACTGTATTGCCGCGCGTGACCAGTCGATTTACGCTCGCTACGCATGCACTTTGCCAGAGAAGAACTGCCTCGGTAGGTGAGGCTCGAGAGAAGGTTAGGTTACAGCTCGAGGGACGTGAAGTCTGGGGTGGCTCAGGATGAGCCGCGCCGCACTACTCTGAAGCGCTCAGCGCTCAGCGCTCGGACTCGCCTGCGGACACCGTACGGGCCCAGCGCTGCGCTCCTGCACGCACCTTGCACCAAAGCGACAATGGCCCACAAAGCGCGACGAGCTGGCAAGCGCGAGCGAAAGAAAACATTCACTGTTCTCATTGCAAAGATCGCCACCGATCACCACGCCTTGTCTCTGCTTGCCCGCTCTGGCGATCCTCGTCCCCGCCTGGAGTTTGAGGCCATTCTCTACGCTCTCCTCGACTCTACCGGCCGACCTTCCCCTGCGGGCGACCTCTTCTCTGGCTTCATCCAATGGTGCGACAGTGCCACTCAACTTCCCGATGTGCTATCGCAGGCACTTGTTGACCGAAAGCGGAGTGTGGAGATACAGTACTGTATTCGGATGGAGTTTGTCGCGAGCATGGGATTGAAGCGTATGAAGGAGGCAGCTAAAGCGCAGTGGCTTTCCGAGAATGCCCATGTCGTCGTCTTGGATTGCCTTCGCGAGGCGTACCCCGAGTATCACCAGTGGATTGCTGAGACACCCGAGATAGAGCAGCAATGGGGGCATCGTATTCGGAAGGGCAAGAAAGCTGACAAGCGGCACAAGCGGCACCCGCTTGTCCTTGAGGACCCCTCGCGACTTCGGTATGTCGTAAAGGAGGACGAGAGCGTTGTCTTCCGGGACAAGGAAACGGGGGATATCATCATGATGGTAATCCGCGACTTTTGCAAGGACCCTCGGGCCCTCAAGTTCGTGGATTGCAATGCTGCAGAGTCGGTTGACCTGAGGAAGTCAGTGAGGGTGAGTCGCCGCACAATCATCACTCCAGACGCGCGCTCACTGTTCATGGCAGTTGGAGGATCCGGGGAAGCTTGTTCTCCTCGGTTATACAGCTGGTTCCCGGAGCCACCCTCTGTTCGACTGGGCCCGAAACCTGCGCTCGAAGAAGCACACCCCTGAATTCCTGAAGGATCTCGACTTCCGACTCTCGTCTGCGTTCGCCTTGTTCTGGAACCTACTCCAGGTGCGCGTACCGAAAGAGGTGCTTGCACCCTTCGAGTCGTACCTTGCCGACAATTCGATGTGCCGGATGGATGGGAATTCGGGAAAGAGTACGGATTCACGTGGGATCTACATGGTGGATTTGGGCGATAAATATATTGAGTTCAACGATGCTGAGCTCGCACCGCCGTCAGGTGTCGCAGGCTGCAACTATGCTCGGTAAGTGCTTTGCTTTGACTTGCTTCTGAATCACCCTCACACATCTGTCAGGGCGATTCACAGGGAGAAACAGGCCCAGAAGTGGGCCTTCTCGTGGACTACCTCTCGTCGGAAGGGCATGACAGGTGGTAGCTTCTATGAGGCTGTTTATGGCATCAAGGTACTTCAAGCCCCTAACACGATGGTCGCCTGGATGCCCGAGCATGACCATGGCACAAGTTTGCTCGATTGGAGTCCAAACCGCAAGGACGATATCCCACCATTCGCCCAGACTGGTATCGCCCTTGTGACCAGCACTCGCCTCGCTAGCGCCTGGGAAAAGTACCGGAATACCCAGGACTTTGCACAGGCTGAGAAGGAGTGGGTAGGCACTATGGAGGCTGATGTTGACGAGAAGTGTGGGCGCGAGGGATGCACGTTCTGCTATGATGATCGTCCTCTATGTACTGACCAAGAGTGCCCGATTTGCATGTAATGGTCGTGGCATAGATTAGCACACTCGAATCATTGCAAATGGTTGTATATTGATCTAGCTATTGTACAGTATACATGTGATGGCATGGGCACAGCCCTCGAGTCGTCCTGAGCCTGGGCCTGAGAAACACTTACCTGGAACCCCACGCGCAAGCCCGCCTCGTCGTACCACCCCAGCGCCTCCGCCGCGTCCACGGAGAAGCAGCAGTCGACCTCGAGCACGCCTGCGCAGAGCCTCGCGCCCTGGCACTGCACCTTGAGTCGCGCCGCCATTTTGCATGTCGCCAGGGCCGCGGGAGGTCGGCAGATTGTCACTAGAGCCAGAAGGGAGCCCTCAGTCGAGGGGTGAGATGCGAGGGCAGAGGATTGAAGGAGCCGGGGAGGATGGAAACCGCGGTCTTGTACCGCAAAGGCGCCATGTCATAGGGTGCCGCTAGCTGAGCATCTCACCTGAGTGAGTAACACGATCGACGATCGCAATCCGCGCGTCATAGGTCGGAAGCTCGCAGCGAGATCGCAACCGAAAGTGCGTACGTCAGTCGCTGAGTCCGACGATGGCGGGGCACCCAACTTCGATCGAGAGCGCAGGCCAAGGCAGCACTCGGGTTCCGTAAGGGCGAGACTTGTGATTGAATGCGCAGCATAGGGCCTGCGCAATGCCCCGCGTATATTATCCGTCGCAGCGGCGTAGCGACAGCAGCTGTGGGCGTAGCGTAGCAGGGACCGTGGCGGTTGGGGCTGACGCGAGCGCGGCGATACGTGGCAACGTGCAGCGAAGCGTAGGTGGTCGGCGACGGCGAATAGCGTGGCGGGATGGTGGCAGGAACAGTGAGGGACGCGTCGCGGGGACAGTGGCAGCAGGTGGCGGCGACAGCGCGGTGGGGCGGGGCCCGACACAGTGGCAGCGAGGCGGGGATGGTGGCGAGGGTAGTGACGGACGCGGCGGTGTGCGGGAGTGGAGGCACGTCGGCGGTGGCGCGTCGAGCGCGGGCGGACCAAGGGCGGGCGCAGTAGGGGCGCGACGGCGGCCGCGACACGGGGACAGCGCGACGGCGCGACTGTAGCGCGTCGAGCACGGTGACGGACGCGAGTGACGGACGGACGGGACGCACGCGACGGGGCCCGGGGACGTGACGGGACACGACGCGACGCGACGCGGGGACAGCGCAACGGCGCGACTGTGGCGCGTCGAGCCTATGCCGACTGTAGTACTACTATAGTCAGCGTAGTATAGTCATCAATGTATCACTTACCTACTATTGTCTTGGATGCGCGAGGCGAGAGCGAGCTACAAGCACGATGGGTGAGGCCGCACGAAGAATTATGTGGGTGGCCGCGTGCGCGAAAAATTATGTGGGTGGCCGCGCGCGCAAAGAGTTATGTGGGAGGCCGCGCGCGCGATTAGTTATGTGGGTGGCGCGAATACTGATGTGGGTGGCGCGCGCAAACAATGATATGTATGGGTGTATTATTATGTGGGTGTACTTATTTTTGCTATAGACCGTACGCCATATGACAGTGGGTCTGATTGTTTGTTGGCCGCAGCATGCCTGAGAGCTATCATGATGGCCTGATTTGAGCCTCTGTGCAGTCTGAGCACTTAAAGCTCAATGCTGTGTACAGGATGTTGTTACATGATATGGCACCATATCTAGTGGATGCAATGTTGAAAGCAACCAAGGAAGGACACAGTGCATGAGTAAATACCAAGACTAAAACATGGCAAATGCATAGTGTAGATGTGTGGATGAATTCTGAGCTCAACAAATAGTGCTACTATCTCCATAAGTTGGACACTGGTCTTGTTGTTATTGTTGTTGTTGTTTCCCTTTATTGTCACTGAGGGCGGAGCCCTATGTAGACATAATCTGTACGTAGTTCAGTCCATAGTCCGTCAATTGAATCGCGGTGTATGCTCAACAGAGGGTGCCGAGATAGAGTATAGTATGGTACAGTAATGGTGATCAGGGTATAGTATGGGGTATAGTGAGAGTCTTGTCACAGCAGTCATATATGCGTGTCGAGGCAATCGGGTTTGTTCGCCTTACAAGGAGAGCACACCGTATGTGGTCGTGAAATGCATCAGGAAAAAACATTCTGTCTTAAGTGGTCTTGTGGAGAGCAATAAGTGTCATCAAGTGTCATTATGTGCCACAAGTGCTTAAGGTAAGTCGATTTCTTCATTTGTCTTAATTGAGTTCCATTAAGTAACCAAAGTAAACACTCATTCCAAGCAAGAATAATGTTTTTTCATCCTTACTGGGGTAACTTCTCTCATGATTCTGCTGTGTTTGTGCATATGCTGTCATAACAGGCATCCCAGATGCAAAAATGTTGCCCAAAATAATCTGCCATTTCCCAGAATTGAACCCCTGACCTGCTACACTAATTTCTCACACTCTCAGCACAAACTTCTGACCACTACACCATAGGTCCCTGTGCTTGTTCCCTTGCACAATAAGCTATATTGACTATCTTTCTGGACTTAGAGAAATCTGCAATTGCTGCCCCCTGTTAGCCCAGCCCCTGTGCATCCCTGGGCTCTCAGACTGGCCTCATTTCTTCTTGGCACTATCTGTTGCCTTGCAGACCTTGTGTAGACTCACAATTTGCTCAAGGCCAGGCTTCTTGTCTCACTTTGTATGCTTAAATGTTCTTTTTCTGTCTTTCACCCTTAACAGGCCAAATATGTCCAAATCCTTGACAATATGACTTTGACCACATTGAGCAATCTGACATCTCATCATGCATATTTATTAGTTAAGAGGTCATTTGCCAACTAATGTGTACTTATGCATCTTAATCTGTAGTACTGAAGTTGCATATCCTCCAACTTGGGGACAAGACAAATTTCTCAAAGGTGCTATAGTTCACTTCAGCGGTCTTCATGCACATAGTGCACTTAATTGAGGAACACAAGTTATGAAAGATTGAATAAGATTAGGTGCTCTTCATTCAAGACTGCTGAAGTTAGAAGTGTTTTTCCTGATGCTGACCTGTAGCATGGATGTAACGGAACAATGAGCCCATCACCTTTGGCTCGGTCAGGAGGTGACAGAGCGATCCCACTACGGCTGGTCCAAGGTCGTGTGCGAGTCTGGTGTGGTGGTCATCGTGCGCCAGGCATTCGAGGAGGAAGTGATAGACCATCTCGCAGGCGGTATCGCAGTTCAGGCAGATGGGTGAGTCGGTTCATTGAATGCGGTGGAGGTGCTGTTGTAGTGGGGCATGTTCTGTTCATAACTGGAAGAGTATGCTCGCATGTTGTTGCGGTAGCTGCTCGACTAGCTTCCCGTACTTTTGTGAGGGCAGGTCGGGGTTGATCCTGTCCATCCTCTCTGTCCTAGGGGAGGCTTGCCATTCCACTCTTGCCTGTTTGTGCCAGGGTTGCTCGTTCAGCATCTGCCATACTTTCAAGAGGCTGGCTGGTAGGCCGTTCTGCAGCCATCTTGGTAGTTGGTTCTCCTCGCTCCCTGGACACTGGTCTACAAACCTCCAAAGTCCCACAAACAAACAAGTATGATAACTTGGTATACAGCTAAATACAAGGAAATGCAAATGAATCACCATGCCCATCACGTCAAATTGTAATGGCCCTCTCCTATGGGGCTTCATACTCTCAATGATGTCATCCCAGTCCATGCCAACACAAGGTCCTGGACTGGTTGATTGCATCCCACTTTGCACCCTTGTGGAACATGTCATGATCATGAACTTTGTTGCAGACCTGAATGATTGAGCTACCTCTCACAGCGGACAAGTCGGCTTTTAACAAATCGGAACATTGGTCTTACATAGCAAGGGTCAGTAGTTTTCTAAGCGGCCATGTACGGTTATGTAACATGGCGCTTAAATATGGAATGTTCACTGCATGTAAGAAATTCCGTACATAGGTATTAAAAGATGTTATGTTTGGCTACAGTACATTGACCACATGTATCCTGCATGTTAGCAACACGTACATTGAGACTAAATACTGTATGGTCAGAGAATGGTAGTCACTCTAGCATTGTCAGCACAGTTATAATGTTAGAATCTCGTGCATTGCGGGAACAAGGGCGCACAACCGGAATGTAATCACAATGTAAGAGGGGCTGCACACATTAAAAATGTAATGACAATGTAAGACATACATTTCAAATGTAATGACAATGTAAGCACAATGTTAGAGGGGCCTTCTTACATTGCGATTACATTTTGAATGTGCGCCCTTTGTTCCCGCAATGCACGAGATTCTAACATTATAACCGTGCTGACAATGCTAGAGTGACTACCATTCTCTGACCATACAGTATTTAGTCTCAATGTACGTGTTGCTAACATGCAGGATACATGTGGTCAATGTACTGTAGCCAAACATAACATCTTTTAATACCTATGTACGAAATTTCTTACATGCGGTGAACATTCCATATTTAAGCGCCATGATACGTAACCGTACATGGCCGCTTAGAAAACTACTGACCCTTGCTATGTAAGACCAATGTTCCGATTTGTTAAAAGCCGACTTGTCCGCTGTGTCTGGAGAGGACATTCCTTGACCGTTGATATACTGCATGCTGGCAAGGACTTGAGGTCCAAAGGGCAGTCTGATGTCCAAATTTCTGGATGCTGGAGAGCAATCAGATAGGATAGGATGCACAAGTGTTTATGATTAGTAGGGGTTCAGCCATGTTGATTGCAGTACGATGAGATGCAATATGAACACAAAAGCATTACATAGCAGTACAGAACAAGTGATCAAATCCCTGTAGATGCGCTGAGTAAACATCTAGCACGTTGTGCGACTTAAATTATACATGATCTCTGGACCTACTGCAACACGGAGATACTACTTTTGTACAAACAACAGCCAAGTACAACTTAACCATCCATGCTAAACAGGTCATCGTCGTCGCCAGTGAGCACTGGACCGCTGAGAGGGCTGAGTGACCCTTGCGGATTGTAGAGCCGCCCGCTCGGGTTACGTGCACCATTGCCAACGTTGCCTTGTGGACCACCTGTCAAATATTGCGTGAGAACTAGAAGACGCGGTCAACGGGGTACATACGTGTTGCGGCAGCAGAATAGGATAGACGCGAAAAGACGGTCTCTAGGCCTCCTAAGGAAGCCGCATTGCTTGCCGTAGAGGCCTGTGCGCTGAAGTGCACGAGGGACTCCAACGCACTCGCGGCGCCAGGCGATGTACTATGCCACTCGCCCGACGAGCTTTGCGCGTGTCCAAACGCCTTCGTCCCTGGTGAGTACCCGCCCACCTGACTGAACGCTCCCGGCGTAGACGGCGACGCGATGACCGGCGGCGGCAGGGCATGAATCCTCGAATATCCTGCTGCCAAGCCTTGAGGCAGACTTTGGCCGGGTGCGTGCGCTTGCAATGGTCTGGTAGACAGTGAGTGTGCATTTACGAACATGGTTGTTTGAAGCGTACCCATCGTTGCCTGGCTGCGCAGGGTGGCGCTGCTGTCCATAGAAAACATCCGACGACGGACTGCCCATAGGGGGACGATTACCTAGTGCGCTGGTACGGGGTGGTGACAACGCTCCCGAAGCGAAGTTGGGTACGTGCGTGCCAGAGAAATTGGCATGGGGCGGCCCGTTGTTACTGGTCGCGTGCAGTGCTGACAGTCCGCCACCGAGTAGATTGGTACGTTGCTGCACCTTCGAATTGAGGTAATGGTGATGAATACCAGGAAGGAATGCCGCGGAAGCGTTGGATGGTGACAGCATGTCCTCGCTTGATCTGCCCGCAAGGCCAGAATTGGACGTGAATGAGCTGGGCGTACCGTTACCGAGGCCACCGCTGGCCACGCTCATTCCGGCAGCGCCTGCTAGATCAGACGCGCCCGCACCAGCACCTCCGTTGTCCGCCCATATTGATTTGATATCCTGTAGCAAAGACGGCGCCGGGACGGATCGAGAATATCTGTGATGTTGGCCTTCCAATGACGGCCGTTGTCCCCCAGCTCCATCACGATCTGAACCCATCATATTCGGACGGGCGCCATTCGTGCGAGACAGCCTCCTCGATCTCTCTTCAGGCGTTAGTAGATCCGTCAAGGAACTGGGAAGGAATTCTTCCAGATCCTCGTCCTCGACCACAACCTCGCCAACTACACCTCCGTCCAGTCTCCGAGATGGACGGTCATTCGACCAGGTCATCATTGTCCCCAAGGATGCTGAGAGCCCAGAGCGATTCGCGAACGCATTAGACGCATCCTCTTCTCCCTGGATCGCAAACACGGTGCGAGACCCTGGCGCCGAGAAGGGAGAAGTAGATAGACCGGCGGCATGAGGAGACGTACCCGGCGAGAAACCGTTGAGGCGAGCAGGACGGCCAACAGACTCGGAGGAGCGGGGAGGCGAGCCGATCGGCCCAAAGTCGACAGGCGGTGAACCATGCGCGTCTCCCATTCGTCGGGGGGCGGAGGGAGTACTCGTCGGAAGGGTACCAAACACGTTAGTATCCGCGTTGTCCAAAGGTTCGACCGGGGCGGACTCGGCTTCAGTCGAGGGGGGAGGAGATACCGTAGTCGAGGCATCAGGCGCCGGCGCTGCGGGCGGTTTGCCCTGAGCAGGTGCGCTCGGCAGCTTGTTGCTTTCGTCGGGCAGACCGAAGGAGGCGAAATCGGTGTCCTTGACAGGCGGTGCAGGAGTCGAGGGCGACAAGGTGGCCTTCAAAGGCATGGGAATGCCTGACCGCGAGCTGCCTGCCAGAGCTCGAGTCGGCGCGGTCGAGCCTGAGAGCAGACCAGCATGATTCTGGGCAGCGCCGGGAGCGCCGCCCCGCGCACCGCTCTTCTGACCACGTCTGCCACCCTCGCGGCCGCCGCTCGAGCTGCCGCCTGCTTGTGCGGCAAGCTGGGCAGCCTTCTTGTTCTTCCTGTCCATGGACATGCTCTGCCCGGGCAGGATATGGGCGAGGGCACACTTGTGTCCGAACTTGCAGTTACCCTTGACGAACCACGAGCAGACCTCCTTGTGCTGCCCAGGTTCGAGGACAGCATGGGAGAAGGGGCACGAAGAGCCTGCAGTGCACGAGCCGACTTTGAAAAATTTGCACGGGACATGGGAGAGGTCCTTGGCTGCGCACGAGTACAAACGGGTGCTTAATGCTCGACGGGGGCGCATATTGACAACCAGGACGTACTCTTCGCCGCGCTCTTCGCCTTTCCGCCCTTGTCTCTTTCCCGGTCCTTCTCGCGCTCGACCTCTCTAACGGGCTCTGGGGTGCCGTCGACGTCGGATCTGTTGTCTGCTGCCGGCATGAGGGGCGTGCGGTGCGATGGAGGGCGATGCAGGAGGAGCGGGATGGGACAAGGCGGGCTGGACGGTCCTGGGGACGAACGGCAGGCGGCGGTGGTCGTCCAAACGCGGCCTCCTCCCCCACGTGGTGCAATTTTAGGGCGGGACCCGATCCTTTCGGGACGCGAAACAAATGCGAAATGATATTGGATATGATATTGTCAATGATAATTAACAGACGCCCGGCCGCCCCTCTCCCTCCTCCGAGTCTCTCGCGCACGCATCCCGCCACCACCGCTCCCCGCCATGGCCGACGCCGACGACCGCGTCGCGGCCAGCAACTTCGTCGTTGGCTCAAACTACCAGATACTCGATGTGATCGGCGAAGGTGCATACGGCATCGTCTGGTGCGTTGCTGCCGCCCTCGTACCCGCCATCCTAGACAGACCCCGCACGATGCTCCAGCTCGGCCCTCCACGTCCCGTCCCAGCGCAAGGTCGCCATAAAGCGCATAACGCCCTTTGATCACTCCATGTTCTGCCTCCGCACCCTCCGCGAGATCAAGCTCCTCCGCCACTTCCATCACGAGAACATCATCTCCATACTGGATATCCTCCGCCCGCCCAGTCTCGAGGAGTTCAAAGAAGTGTACCTCGTGCAGGAGCTCATGGAGACAGATCTCCATCGTGTCATCCGCACCCAAGAACTCAGCGACGATCACTGCCAATACTTCATTTACCAGGTAAACGCATGCTTCGCCTCGCATGTGCACCCTTGGTCTCGACACACTAACGATCGTATTGATCCAGACGCTTCGAGCGCTGAAGGCGTTGCACTCGGCCGATGTGCTCCACCGAGATCTCAAACCATCCAACCTGCTGCTGAACGCCAATTGCGACCTGAAGGTCAGATCACTCACTACAGTAATGTCCGAGTGAAGCCGTCTAAGCTGCCGTTCCTCTAGCTTTGTGACTTTGGCCTTGCCCGTTCCGCGCGCCCACCGCCAAATTTCGCAAACGACAGCAGCACATTCATGACGGAGTACGTCGCGACACGGTGCGTCTGACGATCGGCTGCTGGGGGTCCCCTTGACAACGCGTACTCGTGTCAGATGGTACCGTGCACCAGAGGTGATGCTCACCTTCAAGGAATATACACGAGCCATCGACATCTGGAGCGTCGGCTGTGTCCTCGCGGAAATGCTGAGCGGAAAGCCTCTTTTCCCTGGCAGAGATTGTACGTGATCTAAACCATTCGTGGTGTTGCATGTTCATGACGTGTTTTCCATCGACACTACAGACCATCATCAACTTTCTATTATACTTGACGTGCTCGGCACGCCCTCGCTCGACGATTTCTATGCCATCACCTCTCCGCGTTCAAGAGAGTATATCCGTGCGCTACCCTTCAGGAAGAAGAAGCCCTTCAGCGTGCTATTCCCGAACGCGAATCCATTGGTGAGAGTCTGAGCCTATGACCCACCTGGCTCGGTTAACGGCGGCGACAGGCACTGGATCTCATGGACAAATGCCTTACATTCAGTCCAAAACGCCGGATTGAGGTGGACGAGGCGTTGAAACATCCATATTTGGAGGTACGCCGCACATCGCAGCGAAATGTCATGCAATTCGTCATCTGTTTATAATAGGCCTACCACGACGCGCAAGATGAGCCGACGGCAGAGCCACTTGACCCATCGTTCTTCGACTTCGACTATGGAGAAGCCCTCGGCAAGGAGGAGCTGAAAGGTGCGTGCGGGGACCCTTGCACCACGCGCAACGGCACTGACCTCGAATTGCCAGTTCTTATCTACGAAGAGGTTACGCGGCCACGACCGCCGCGGTAGCCAAATGTTGCTTGAGCTTAAGTGTCAGTGTAAGATGTGCTTGGAGACGCGGATACCCCTGCAGCAGGCCGAAAAGTAGCACGGCCGTTAATGTGTACATGTATGTATGACGGCGCAAACTAATCATCATCGTCGCCCGCACTCAATGAATATACTTCCGTGATCGGAGGTGTGCACGTGGCGTGTGATCGCGAAGTTGGCTATGACGTCGGCCATGTCGCCGACGCTCGAGCGATGTTCAGCCATGCACACCTCCCTCTGTTCACTCCCGACATGGCTGACAAGTTCAAACAGGTATATCTCGATAGAAACATACACAGCCCGCATTGACGAACACATACCAGATTGGCATCATAGGCGCGGGCTCAATGGGCTCGGGCATGACCATGCTCTTCGCGGAGAACGGGCTCCAAGTCGGCGTCTTCGACGTCAAGCCCCAGAACATCGACAACCTCGCTCAAAATCTCGTCAGCGGCCTCGACCGCAGCATCCACGAGCGCGTGCACTCCTTCAAGGAGTACACGCCCTTCCTCGAGTTCCTCGGCGGTAAGAGCACGCCCAAGCTCTTCGTCTTCAGCATCCCGCACGGCAGCCCCGCAGACAAGGTCATAGAAGACATCGACGAGTATCTGACCGACGGAGACATCATCCTCGATGGCGGAAATGAGTGGTATGAAAACGCAAGGCGCCGCCAGAAAGCGCTGCAGCCTCGCGGCGTGTCGTACCTGTCCATGGGCGTGTCCGGAGGGTACCAGGCTGCGCGTCGCGGGCCGTCCATCTCCCCGAGCGGCGACAAAAAGGCGCTTGACTCTGTCTTGCCGCTGCTCGAGAAGTTCGCGGCGAAGGATCCAAAGACGGGACTTCCCTGCGTTGCGAACCTCGGACCGTCGAGCTGCGGGCACTATGTCAAGATGGCGCACAACGGCATCGAGCAGGGCATCCTCGGTGTCGTCAACGAGGCTTGGGAGCTGCTGTACAAGTGCATGCATATCCCGTTGGACGAGATTGCAAAGACCTGGGACAAATGGGGAAGTGAAGGCGAACTGGTGCGTTGTGTGCATTTTCCTCCACGCGAGGGATTGACTTCGCATTCAAGAAACGAAACTACCTCGTTAACATCGGCGCGGAAATCTGCGGCAGACACCATCCAAACGGTCCGCCAAGCCATGTCGTGAATGAAGTGCAAGACAAGGTTGTCCAGGACGCTGATGAAAGCGAAGGTAGAGCAGGCGTGCATGCAGCCAATGCAAACGCACTGATGAGTATAAAGGTACCGGCTTCTGGACGGTCGTTGAGGCAGCCAATCGACATGTCTCCGCGCCCACGATAGCGGCCGCCCACTTCTTCCGTATTGCGTCCGCCGACCGAGCCCAGCGGATGCAAGTGGTCGAGAACCTCGGACAGGGTTTGGGCGCTGCAAGGAAGCAGCAAGTGGATGATGCCTTCCGGACACAGTTCGTGGAGGATCTTCGACTAGCGGTGTACTGCGGCTGCCTGGCGTCGTTCGCGCAGGGCCTGAACCTTATTGCTCGGGCGAGCGAGGACGAAGGCTGGGGAGTGAATCTGGGGACGTGTATGCAGATCTGGAGAGAGGGGTGCATCATCCGCTCGGAGTACATCGCCGACATTCTGCAGCCCGTTCTCGAGCAGTCTGGCGGAGTCACGAACGTTCTGACGCTGCCCGTCGTCGGCGAGGAGGTCCGACGCACAATGCCTGCGCTGAGGAGAGTGGTCGGGCTGGGCCTGGAGTGGAATGCTCACATGTGAGTCTGGCTAGCTGGATTGCCGGGAGGAGGGCTGACTCGGATCCGGACCGGGTGTGATCGACCCCAGACCGGCACTGAGCGCGAGTCTGGAGTACTTCAAGTATTGTGCGGGGAAGCACCTGCCAAGCCAGTTCATGGAGGCGGAGATGGACTACTTTGGGGCGCACTCATATGACCTCAAGTCGGAGGGGCCTGGGGAGGTTCAGAAGGGTGCGTGTTCTGGATGTGTGTTGATGCATGGGCCGGCTTCTGACCATAGCCGGCAGGGAAACATCACTTTGAGTGGAAGCCGGCGTAGGGTCGACGGCGGAAGTAGAGCGGACAGCGAGCGTAGCAGCAGATGGAATGCAAATGTGTACTATAGTCTATAGACTCAGAGTAGCGGATGTGTTGTACACGGTGGCTGCTGGAATCATGTGAAAGGCGGTTATGGCGGCCATGTGACCTGCGTCCTGTCCATTTCACCGCGACCCCGCGCAGGCCAGTCCGCCGTCCTGCTCTCCCATGTTCCGCATCACCCCCGCCCTCTGGGAGAGGATCCACCACTATGCCTCCTTTCCCCAGACTGGAGGTCCGTCGCCCGCCACCCCGTCTCCGCCGTGAAACTCATTGTGTCCCAGTCTCTCTCCAGCAGATGGTCCTCTTCGGACAGAATCCGAGTCAGGGAACGCTCTTCGGAGCGAGTCAGTTCTTGCTCGGTGAGTGCGTTGTTTCGCGCCCTTCATACAGCAGCTCATCCGCACTGTACAGAGGAGCTCCCCGTGCGCCTCGCACACCGCGTAAAGGAGCTCGACCAGTTGCCCCACAACCTCAGCGCGATGCCTTCCATCAACAGGGTAAAGGAGTGGTATGCTCAGTCTTTTGAGGTGCGTCCTACGTCATTCCGTGCTGGCTGCAGGGCTTACATGATCCTTTACAGGAACTCATCTCGTTCCCGACACCAAAGCTACCCCGGCATATCCGCGACGCGCTCTCGGCATCAAACTCCGAGACTGTCCTCCCGGAGTCCACGCCAAATCCCTCCCTCCCCTTTTTTGTCGACGACTACGGAGGGCCTACGGGCACAGGACTGGGGCTTGCGTCGGGGACGAAGGTCGGCAACTCGAATGGGCAGAAGCACAAGATGCGTATTCCAATGGAGCGGAGGTACGTCTCCTGCTCCACTCACCGGAACAACCATCGACTTTCGCGCACAGATACTACGCGAACACATCGAAGGTTGAGTGGCCACCCGAAGTCCAGGAATTCAACCGCAGATTCACCAAGACGCTGGAGTACATCAAGCGGCGGCACGACCCAACAGTCACAACCGTCGCTCAGGGTGTCCTCGAGTGGAAACGAAGTCAGAATGCGCGCAATATCAATCTCGACGTGCAACATTGGCTCGATCGGTTCTACCTTTCTCGAATAGGAATCCGGTTCCTCATCGGACAACGTGCGAGGTTCGCGTTCTGGCCCTGCATCTGTGCTCATAGCGTTACAGACATTGCCTTGAACACACTGCAACCACACCCGGATTACGTTGGGATTATCTGCACAAGAGCGGTGAGTGTCACACAGCGGGATCCGGCTCAGCTGTTGACCCTGCGATCAGAATGTACACGACATTGTGCAAGAAGCGATCGAGAACGCCCGGTATGTCTTCCGTGTCACACGACAGCCGGGTGCTGATCCAGCACTTAGCTTTGTCTGCGAGGAACACTATGCCATGTTCAAAGGACCGCCGGTGCAATTAATCTGTCCGAAAGACCTGCACTTTGCCTACGTCCCGGGCCATCTGTCGCACATCTGCTTCGAGCTGCTGAAGAACTCGCTCCGGGCGGTCGTCGAGCGCCTGGGGCCTGAGCACGAAGACAGCTTCCCGCCGATCAAGGTCATCGTCGTCGAGGGCAAGGAAGACATCACCATCAAGATCTCCGACGAGGGCGGCGGCATCCCGCGCAGCGCGATCCCGCTCATCTGGACATATATGTACACCACCATGGAGGCGCAGAACATCGACCAGGACTTCCAGGCTAGTGACTTCAAGGCGCCCATGGCGGGCTTCGGATATGGCCTACCGCTGTCGAGATTGGTATGTACCCCACCCGTCTATCGAGCCCGCGGCGCGCCACTGACCGTACCGCCCCGATCGTCTTGCAGTACGCACGATACTTCGGCGGTGACCTGCGCCTCATTTCGATGGACGGCTTCGGTACCGATGTCTACATCCATCTCAACCGGCTGTCCAGCAATCGGGAACCCCTGCCCTGAGCGCGGCGCACGCACTCTCACAAGGCTTACCATATTCACCCATATTCGTCCATTGCATTGCATTGCATCGTCGTCACGCTGTACCAACTTACTGAAGCATGTACCATACGTCCGCCACGTCCACTCACGCATTCCTCCGTTCATGATGATATCTGATCATTGTTCATGCATGCATATCCCCGTGCAAAGTACAATCCGAACATTTCTTGTGTATGCGATAGCAGTATGAAAGCAAGTGCGACAACATGCGTGAAAGCGAAAGTACAGTAAAAATCAAGTCGGTTCGTCGTCCGCAGAGCCATCCCACCGCCGTTTCATAGGCAGCCTAGTGTAGGACGCGACCTGTGATGATGGAACCCGTTGACGGACAGTATCGTAAGAATATGAGGGATGCCATCCTTGCTGCTGATCCATGGACGAGGGCCCGGCGTACGACGGACCCATGTCAGACAGCTGCGGCAAGGGCGCCATCGTCATGTGCGAGTGCGAGTAAGAGGTGGACGCCTGCGAAGGGACCGCCACGGGCATTGAGGCGGCCTGCTGGTGCTCCTGCCGGTGCCGCTTGCGCTGCTGCTGCATCGCGCCGTCAACGGCCATCTCGAGCGACTCGACCTCCTCTCGCAGCCGCTCGTTCGCGAACTTGAGCTGCTGCAGCTCGTACTGCCAGCTGCTCTCGCGCCGCGCGATGAGCTCGTCGAACACGTTCTCTGCGCCGGAATGGATGAGGCGCGCGCCAGGCATCGTCGCGAGGGCGTCGACGTCGAGGCGGCGCACCTGGCAGACGACGGGGCGTGGTGGCGGCGAGCCGCGAGGGAGATGGTGCGTCGCCCGTTCATCCGGTGGGCGGTAGAAAGTGACGCGGACGAGGATCTGCGTCCCATCCTTGCGCTTCATGTCGCAGTTGACCGCACGCGACTCCGGCAACATGTGCTCCCCGCCAGCCTGCGCCGCGCGTCCGCTCACCAACGCGAGGGCCTCCCCCAGCGCGCGCTGCGCCTCCGGCGGCGCAACCCCGCCGATGAAATCGCTGACCATCCGCCCGATGACCTCTGTCGCGCCCCAGCCGAGGACGTCCGCAACCGCGTGCGCGGCAAAGAGCCACGTCCCGCCCGTGCTGACGAGCCCCCAGAACTCGTGCTGCTCCTCCACTCGCGTCTCCTCGCCGCTCTCGGGGTCGCGCTTGACCACTGTCGTGGCAGGCGCGAGACCGCCCGCGCGCGCGACAGGGCCCCATTCGAGCTGCGGCATGCTGCGGACGCGGCCAGAAAGGATGATCGCCTTGCGGGCCTTGCCTGGCTCCGCGTGCAGCCGCCCGCGGCACTCGAGCCAAACGAGGTCGCCGCGCTTGGTGCGTATCCGGAAGAGCAGGTCTACCTTCCTGCGGCCTGCGCGCAGGGTGACGGCGGCGGGAGTGCCGGGGCCGGGGGTGACGGAGCTGTCCTTGAGCTCGCGCGTGAGCGGGACGACGTCTGCGCGGTGACAGAACTCTGCGAGGGAGCGGCCGACGAGCTCGGAGGGCTCGTAGCCGAGCACGTCGCGCACGGACGGCGAGACATACAGGAAGACGCCCTTGAGGGACACGACGTGGACAAAGTCGGGGGAGGCGGCGAGGAGGAGTAGGTTGAGTGGCTTGTTGCTGTCGTATGGGTCTACTGGCTGTTCGGTCGCGGAGGACGATGCCGTGGTGACCGGCGCCACGCTTGCACTTGAGTGGACCACGCCGCTGCCGGAGCTCCCGGGCAGCGCGGAAGGCAAGGTGCCCAGAAAGTCGGCATCGGAGAGGAGGGTGAGCAGGTCGTGAGACACGCCAGACATGGCCGCGGAGGCAGTCCGCCAGTTGCGCTGCACGGGGGCGTGGGGAGGGCTGAACGGTGCCCTGCGCGAGTAGTCGACCATGTAGGAGCCGTCGCGGAGCTTTTGCAAGATGGCGCTGGGCTGTTCGGCGAGGTCGACCTGGAAGCCGACATAGTAGGCGATCTCGTCCTGGTCGTCGGGGACAGGGATGATGGAGACGAGGTTGATGAAGGCCTGGCCGCCCTTGCGATAGTTGATGATGCTCGTCTGGTACTCTTTGTGGCTGGCGCAGGCGAGCTTGAGTGCGTGGGCGGCCTCGGGCGCGGTGTGGCGGCGGGGCTCGCCGCGCTGGACTCTGCCGTCCGGTGCTTGGAGGAAGCGGCAGTTGCGGCCGAGGACGTCGTGCTCGGAGTAGCCTGTGAGGTTGCAGAAAGAGGGCGAGGCGTAGACGAGCGGGTAGTCGAAGCGGCGGGCGTCGACGACGACGAAGGAGCAGGACATGTCGACGGGACCGAGGTGGATCTTGGGGTTGAGGCGGTTGGCGACGCGGCTGAGGAGGGAGAGAAAGTCGAAGCCGGAGGCGGAGTAGACGGGGAGGCCGTGGGAGGGCGGGAGGGCGATGGGGAGCGGGGCGGGGTCGGGGTAGGGGCTGCGGGTGGCCGAGACGGGGGTCTGGACGAGGCGGGCGGGGGCGTAGGCCGAGTGGTCGGGCGCAGTGGGCGGCTGGTAGGAGGGCGGGTGCGTGGGCGGGTGGTGGTAGACGTGCTGGTGGTACTTTGGGAGGGCGGCATTGGACGCGCTGGACGACGGTCAAGGGGGGCTATGTGCGCGGGGCCGGTACTTACAAGTCGTGCGAATACCTATCGTACGGGGTGTTGGACCACCAGGAGGCGGTCATGGGGCTGGCGGACGCGGCGGGCGGGAGGTAGCCGGGCGGGAGGACCTCTGCGCCGCCGCCGGGGGCGAGGGTGGGTGCGCCGGAGATGGCGGCGGGGAACTGGAAGTGGACATTGGTGCTGAAGATGGGGTCGGGGTCGGGGAGGGGGTAGGGGTCGAGGTAGCGTTGGAAGGGCATGGGGGAGGAGGAGATGCAGGGACCCGCACACGGGCCACTTCTTGAATGCGCGCGCTCGCTCCAAATGCGGACCACCCTGTGGACGCTTATGGGACCTGTCAGGACCCCGCAACTCTCCCGCCCACGTCGCCCGATGGCCCTCGTCGCTGCACAGGCCCGTCGCCGGCTGTGCAGCACGTCGAGGGCGCGGCGGCGAGGCGAGCCTCAGGCGGTGAGGAGAGGGCGGGCGAGGCGGTGAGGAGAGGGCGGTTTCCGCTGGAGTCGGACTGGTGCCGCCGCGGCGATTCCGGGGCGATCAACTCCGGCAGCAGCAGGCCATCGTCCGTGCGCATCCCCAGAGGCTATGTGGCACGGCGTCCAAGGCAGGCATAAGCAGCGACGCCGCCGCCGACGCGCGCACATCACCCGCCCCGCCACTCCTCGCTTCCCCCGCCCGCGACGCGTCGGGGCGCCACCCGCGAACAATCACGACCGGTGCGCCTCCACGCTTCCCATCGGAGCAACCGCGGCTTGAACGCGCTGCAGATAGTGTCGAGGAAAGGCCGCGCCTGGGCGGACAAGACGCGGACAAGACGCGACCCGACGCTGGCCCGCCCACTGTGTGCACGTGACGTGCATCGATAGTCGCCTTCGCCCGGGTCTGCCTGTGTATATAGCCCTCCTCGCGCTCTCCTCCTCCTCCTCCTCTCGCAGAATGGGTATCCTCGACATCGTCCCCGTACGCCCCTCCCTCCGTCCCGTATCCGCGTCTACTCACCCGCAGCTGCAGGCCGGTGTCCTCACCGGCGACAACGTTCGCAAGCTCTTCGAGTACGCAAAGGAGCATCAGGTATGGCCCCCCTCCTCTCCCTGTGTCCCCCTGCTCACTTGGACCCCAGTTCGCCATCCCCGTAAGTCTTGCGCGTTTTCATCGTGAATCCCTCTCACCCGGTGCCATCGTGAATTAGGCCATTGTGAGTGCGCCTCCCCCGCGCCTCGCTTGCCGCCCTAATGTCCGCTCGCCCGCAGAACGTCACCTCTTCTTCCACCGCAAACGCCGTGCTCGAGGCCGCCCGGTGCGCTGCCCCGATGGCCCTATCGCCGCCCCCGCTGACCCCACCCCCGCAGCGACATCAAGAGCCCCATCATCATCCAAGTCTCCCAGGGCGGCGCCGCCTACTTCGCCGGCAAGGGCCTCGCCAACGACAAGCAGCAGGCCTCCATCGCCGGCGCCGTCGCCGCCGCCCACCACGTCCGTCTCGTCGCCAAGGCATACGGCGTGTACGTCGTTCATGCAATCACATGCGCACCCGCTGACCGTGGCCCGCAGCCCCGTCGTGATGCACTCGGACCACTGCGCCCACAAGCTCCTCCCCTGGTTCGACGGCATGCTCGCCGCCGACGAGGCCTACCACAAGCAGCACGGCGAGCCCCTCTTCTCCTCCCACATGCTCGACCTCTCCGAGGAGCCCAAGGACGACAACATCGCCACCTGCGTCAAGTACTTCTCCCGCATGGCCCCCCTCGGCATCTGGCTCGAGATGGAGATCGGCATCACCGGCGGCGAGGAGGACGGCGTCGACAACACCGGCGTAGACAACAACAAGCTCTACACCCAGCCCGAGGACATCTGGGACGTCTACTCCGCCCTCTCCAAGATCGGCCCCAACTTCTCCATCGCCGCCGCCTTTGGCAACGTCCACGGCGTCTACAAGCCCGGCAACGTCCACCTCCACCCCGAACTCCTCCAGAAGCACCAGCTCTACGCCGAGAACAAGATCGCCGACGGCAAGAAGAAGCCCCTGTGCGTACCCCTCCCCCCACCCCTCCCCGTACCCCGCGCTGACCTTCCCGCCCAGCTTCCTCGTCTTCCACGGCGGCTCCGGCTCCACCAAGGACGAGATCAAGACCGCCGTCCAGAACGGCGTCGTCAAGATGAACGTCGACACCGACACCCAGTTCGCCTACCTCGTCGGCATCCGCGACTTTGTCCAGAACAAGAGCGGCTACCTCCAGAGCCAGGTCGGCAACCCCGAGGGCCCCGACAAGCCCAACAAGAAGTACTACGACCCCCGTGTCTGGGTCCGCGAGGGCGAGAAGACCCTCACCGTCCGTGTCAAAGAGGCCTGCGCGGACCTCGGCAACGTCGACCGTCTGTGACGTGCTTGTGTACCGTAGGCAACGGAAGAAGTTCAAATCTGTATACCAAAGGCATTGTACTACAGAATATAGCATACAATCCACAGCCTAAAATGCGCATCACCATGACCCGGCGCATATTGAACAAATTGAATGTAAATATCGACGGACGCGCGACGTACAGCAGCAAGCAGTCAGTGAAAGAAGTCCTTCCGTAGTCCACTGCGAACACGTCCGTCCATCTACAATCACAGAACACATCCGCCCAATAAAGACTGTATGTTCTCCGCCAACTTCTCCGCGCTCACACCCACTGCGCCCGCTTGCCCAACCTCTCCCTCGTTGCCGCCTGAATCCACAGACATGAGCGGCTTCAAGGACTCCCAGAACGCCGCTACCTCTGCATCATCGAGGCAGCCGTTGACCGCTGGCTCCCCAACGCCGCCAGCCGGCAGGTCGCTGAGCAGAGCCTCAAGTTCACTCGAGGCCAGCGAGTCAGAGTCCGTGCCAAACCACTCGGCCGGGTTATAGTTCGGCTCTGAAAGGCCGCCCATCCAGTCGGCAAAGTCTGAGCTTAGCCCGCTGAACGCGTCGGTCGAGCCTTGGCCAAGTGTCGTCGAGTCGTCTTCGGTACCCTCGGAGCTCTGGGAGTGGACTATGAATGGATCAGCGTATGCGGTCCCGGCCTCGCACGGTGGCCGTTCCTCAGACGTTGCTGCGCTCTCCCCAGCATCGAGTCCAAGCTCTGATGTCGTCGGTGTGGGGAAGTCAGACTCCGTGGGGGTTGGTGCTGACGCTTCTGGCTTTGCGACGCCGTCTCCCGCACACACAGCCCTTGGCGTAAGCTGCGACGTAGGTTCCTCGTTGTCGGCATCCGGGTCGTCCGCCATCTCTGCAGCCTCCTCAGCTCCCCAGTCGTCCCCATCGACTGGAGACAGAATCGGGCTTGACGGAGGCAGAGGAGATGACGGTGGTAGCAACTCGCCCCAATTTCGCCTACCCGGCCGCTCTTCACGCCCACGAAGACCCACTGGGCCCCAGAACGGATCATCGAATCCATCGGCGTCACTGCTCGCGACTGGTAAGGTGCTGGACAGGGGATCATCTTCATCGGCGGCCTGGTCGTCTGCATGACTCGAGGCTTGCGAGCTGCTCGTGCGTAGCTCTCCACTTGACCGTCGGGCGGAGAACAGCGGGCCCCTACCTTTGTACAGGCTAGGCAGCTTTGGAGACCGCGACACCGAGCGTCGTCGCTTCGGCGTGAACAGAGGCGACCCGAAGAGGTCATCATCGTCTCCCGTGAGCGATCGCCTTGACCGTCTCGGGGTCTTTGGTGTTCTGGGCGTCTTTGGCGTAGAGGGCAGAGGTATTTGCTCTGGGGCGACCGCGAGCAAGCCTTGTAACGAGGCTGAAGATCCAGAGGCAGGCAGTGTTGATCGCGACCTGAGTGGAGATGAGAATATGGCAAAATCGGAGCTCTCTGCGACTAAAGGTCTTGGTGGTGTCCTCGGCCTTGTCCCAGAAGCCAAGGAGAGCTGGTTTGCCTTGCTCGCATTCCCCAAGACTACGGGCGAGCTCGGAGCACTTGTCCCCGCAGCACTAGGCATCTGCGCGGGCTCGGTTGAGGCCATCGACGCGGGATTCGATCTTGTTCGTGTTCGTTGTCTTTCCCTCTCTCTTCTGCGCTGTCGTCTGGCATCCTTTTCCGTTTCCTTCTTCACCTGCTCTGCCTCAAGCTGCGCCCGTACATGCTCCGCGAGGCGAGGTTGCGTCGCAGTTGTTGTTCGCGCCCATTCAGGAACAACGTATGGTCTCCGCTTCGCCCTCGGCGGAGAGGGTGGTTTTGAGCCAGCGCCGCGGTCGACTGCTTTACCTTTGTCCCTCGGCGAGTGTCCGGGAGATGAACTGCCAGGACTTCCCACAACATTCTCCGCGTCAGCAGTCTCCGCGCTGCTGGTCAGAGTCCGCTTTCGCTCGCGTTCCTTTTCCTCCATGATTTCGCTCAGCGTCCGCTTTCGCTTCATACCTCTACCTCCCAACCCTGCAGCCCCTTGGCTGGAAGACGACGATGGCGATGAAGAGTGCTCTAACTCGCGCAGCTTCGGAATGGGAATGACAGGATGGTAGATCGTGTGATCACGGTAGTGCGCATCGATAGAGATTGAACTCGAGGTGGTGCGGCTCCTATGATGGTCGTCCTGTCCTTCGGCTGCAGGTGGTTCCTTCGATGTGCGGGCACGCTGAGTGGGTGGTAGTTCGGTCGTACCAGCCGCAGGCGTTGGGGCTGGAGTTGGCAGTACACCCAATCCAGGCCCAGGTACGGTAGTGGACGCAGCTGGAGGCGGTTTGCATACTTCCTTCCCCTTCCCATCACGCTCTTTCTTCTTGAAGGCACTGGGGTTGACGTTCTCCTTGTCCAAGAAGACGATCTCGTCATCTTCGGGCGGCTGCTGCTTCACATTGACGTAGGCGGCGGCCAAGCGCGACGAGAAATACGAGGTGAATGCCTGAGGTAGGGCAAGTGGGCCAGGCGCAGTCAAGAATCTCAGCGTCGCAGGGGTTTGGGTCTGGGCGCCCGAAGCGTGCCCAGGTATACTTTGCGACTGCGTAGCCGCAGACGACGATGTAGGGTTTCGCGTGAGGTCGGCAGGAGAGACGGTACCTGGTGGAGCTACCGGAGCCTGCGGCGCACTCAGTAGCACGCGCAAAGCATCTACCAAGGCAGAATTGGGCTGCGAGGTACTCTCGGCAGACCCTGTGGTCGCGGATGCGTCGATAGAAGAAATGGCGCCAAGCAATCCGCTATTCTTCCCCGGCGTGGCGGCAAGGGCGCACAGTAGAGTGTGCAGCGCGCTTGGGTTGGATTCAGCAGGTGGCTGAGAGGCCGCCTTCGTAGAATGTGATGTCGCAGCCGTCTGCGCAGACGTCACTGAGGAAGAGACTTGGGAAGAACTGGATCGTTTCGCAGATGATGTCCCAGAAGTGGAGCGTGATGTGCTTGACGCGCTCTTGGCCTGTTTGTGGTCAGAAGACTTGCTTCGGGAGGTCGTGGATGTTGATTTGGATGTTGATGACGAAGCTCGCATGGGAAGTGGCGTTGTAGAGAGCAGACTCCTTCTCTCGTTAGCCCACTTGGGTTGTCCTGGCTTAACTGCGCACTAATGAGACAGTCAGGTCCACGCTCTAGCCCGCAATCAGCTACTATGTCACGTACTTCCTTGACTGTCAGCAGCACTTGGAGCGCATCCTCTCCTGAGCTATCGTTCATGAGGGTGCCCACGACCTTCTTGCTGCCAGAGTCACGCAGCCCCCGAGAAAGCAGGCCCAGACCGAGTGCGACGCCGAGCGAGTCTGGGGGATGGCCTTGGCTGCGATAGAGTAAAGGACTGACCAGAGTTAGAGACAATTGAGTACGAACCTGTATGATTCGAGCGGGTCGCGGACATATACGGAGAAGTCGCGATTTGGATCGAGCAATAACTCCGGACTGCGACGAGCAAAGATTTAGATCGGAAGTTCTACGGTGTACTAACTTACCTCGCGTCACATATGGCCTCCAGACACGGTCGTAGCGGGATCCTGCCGAACGCTACGGCGTCCGCATCGTCCGGGTCCCCCGCACGCGGCGCCGGGCGTATAATCTCGACGTCCATAGTCTCGTCGCATCTCGCTAGCATGTATTGCGGGGAGATATTGATGGTGTACAGGGCGCGCACTGCGGCACAGACGCGAGCACTCGTGAGGACTTCTGCAGGTCATGGCGGGTCATGGTTACTTACCTGGCAAACTACGCGTCTCCATGGCTTGCAATCCTGCTTAAGTAGTCTATATAGCAGCATGCACAGTTATGTTGGGTTCTACGCGTGAAGAAGGGCAGAAACGCGTTGTGCACGAGTCGGTGGATGGTGGCAGCAGCAATGACCAGCCCAATGCGCGTAAACGAACCTAGGCGCCTGGACGCGATTCGGTCACGTGTTGTGGCTTCGTTCGTCCCTGGGGATCGGCGGCCTCCCCAACATCCTTCCTTTTTGGGAAATCTCGATCGCTCACCTAATCACCCCTTATCCGGTATCGCTCGCTCGCGCATCGTCCGCCCAGATCTCTCCAGGCCACCTGGCGACTCAGACCATGGCAGCGCCGCTCAACTTCATGGTCCTACCGCCTCAACGACCACCAGACCATGGAATTCGTAGACAACAGTGTTACAAGACATAAGTGAGGCTACATAACCCGGACCATCAAAGATGCGCTCGTTCGAGTCCCTAGAAGACCCCATATGAATCCCGCCTCTTCTGCGACCTCTCGGGCGACGGAGGCAGCGGCCGCTTTTTTGTTGGGCGGCCTTCGGAAGGGATCTTTGGGTGCTCGGTGAGTGATTCTTGGTGTGTGTCTGGAACGTGCTTTGCGCTCGCGCTTGTCGCAGCAAGCTGCTGCGTGGGAACCTGGTCATTTTGGCCGTCTGAGGTCTCCCTGTCTGAGATCGGAAGTTGCTCCAAAGTGGCTGTGAATTGCTGCAACGACGCGAGAAAAATATTGGCCTTTGCTTTGTCCGTCTGTCTGATCGTCTTGCCGTCTAGCAACTCGCGTAATTGATCAAGTTTGGGTGCCATTCTAGACAATTCAAATAAGGTGCGCGAAACAGCTTGTTCGTCGAGGGCGGCTTTTGCGCTCGAACCGAGGAGTGCGCTCTGAAGTTGATTAGGTTGGTCCATAACAAAGATCGCAAAACAAAACATACGAAGTTGAAGTCGTCACGGGGCAGCTGTCCAATATCCGTGTCCGCCGAGTCCGCCCGAATTGCAGTGACTGTCTTCATGATTGGCGCACCATCTGAGTTAGGTAAGTGGTCCTTCGTGCTCTCGTCTTCTGATTCTAAGCATGTCTCGTCAGAATCCAGCATATCAATGATTGCGGATGCCGCCTGCGCCGTTGGAGATCGTGCAGGCATACCCACTGCATCTCCGCCACATTGGATTTCACGAGATTCAGTGTGACGTAGTTGCAGAGCGTACGCCTCAGCCAGAGACGTAGGAAGGGTGATTTCAGGAAGATTTGATGCAATCCCCAACAAACGGTATTGCTTTAACCGGATCATGACAGCTCGGATATGCTTGCATGCGCCGCCGCGGTTCAAGAAGTCGTGGCATGTGCAAGTTGCGGTACCGTCAAAGGTAACCTTGATGTTATACTTGTTTGACGTCTTCTCCACGGCTAATGCACGTTGTGACCAGCACTCGAAGTGAAGGGTGCGTGCATCATCTTCACTCAGAACAGCTTGACTGAGCTGGCCTTCCGTGATCAACCTCTCCGCTCGAGTATCCCGGTCCTCGTCCAGAACAAGGTATGCGATCCCGATTTTCGGTGCCATGCCTTGCTGACTCGGTGACTGTTGACCAAGTGCTACAGTACCTCCTGGAAGCTGTGCGATCATCTCCCGTAAACGTACGTTCTGCTCCACTTCCATGCGACGCTGGCGAAAAATAGCCGGGATGATCACCTCGATCATGAGCTTGATCATGACATCAGGCCGGAGGCGGCGGCCATTCTGTTCATGTTGACGGATGTGACCACGCTTGAGAACCCGGTTGAAGACCTCAAGATGGTTTGTTGTCGTGAGGACGCCCTCGACTTCGGTACGCAATAGGCATGCAGCCACAGATCGGCCATAATCTGACCAACTCTTCCACAGGTTGTCAGTCGTCCAGTACCCAAGGAGGTAGTCCACGTGGACAATTCCCTTCTCTGCAGCAATGTCATCGAGCTGTTCAAGCACAAGACGTTCTTCTTCAAGCAACTCTCGGGCTAGCTCGATCGTCCGGGTATGCAGCAAGTTTTCCTCGAGATGTCGCAGGCGGTCTTGAACGTCGTGTTGTACTGCAGTTGCATTACCAACTTCGCGATCACGATGGTTCTTCCATGATTGCCGGACGTGGAATTTGCAGAGAAGCAGCCATAGCTGGGGCCAAACTTGAAGTAAGGCCCCACGTTCCTTCATGTCCGTATCTGTAATGGCCACCAACGGCTGAAATTGCTCCCCAGAGTGTCCAAACCTGGACCCATGACTGTTCACTGCCACACGCCACTCTGCCAGCAACTTCGCGAGGATGTCGGTATTGTAACCGGCAGCGGTATGCTGGTTGCCGCTTGGGGCGGAGAACATCAGAAAAGCCAGAGGTATGCCTTTGCGATCCTTGTCGATAGCCATAGTGATGAAGAGTAAGATCCGGCTGTTGCAGATCCCAAAGGTGCCATCGAGCAAGAATTGATCCTGGTGCGCATAGGTCCATGCTGCCTCGTACATCTCAGTCGTTGCGATGCATACCTCCAGCCTTTCACCCTTGTCTTCACGTGCCTTGTAATGAAAGATAGCATCTTTGAGTGTGCGATTGAATGATGGCGAGCTTTCGTCCAGCCATTCGTCAATATTGATTTGCGCAGGTGTTTTTGTGTTGATTCCTCGTGACCGATTGAACTGGCGATAAAGTGCACGATTGTCACCACGAACGAGAACCCAGCGATACGGGCAGTTGTGCAGGCTTTCAGTGGGGAAGTTCGGGTAAGCGTGTGCCATAACAAGCTCCTGATTCTTCCGTCTGACAGCCGCCCATGTTGCCCCCTCCTGCAGCTGCTCCAACGCGGTCTTGTAGACATCGGGATGCACCGGAATAGCGGGACGCTGAGTTATGCCAGCCTGTTCGCAAGCATCATTGTGCTCGAGGTACCCTCGTATCCGTAAAACCTCCGAGGTTGGATGAACGTAGGTCACCTCAGAGTGTGCAAGGCAGCTTGTGAACGGGAATGGAACCTTCCGCTTCTTGCTATTTGTCTCTTGATGGTCGTACCCGCAGCGACTGTAGGATCTCGGGTCAGTCCAGACTTAGTGTGTCGCATCTTACTGCAGAAGCTCACCATTGGAACAGGACTCTTCGCGATTTCGACGTTTTCCGGCTCCACTGCTGTGCCCAACAAGTGCCGATGCTCTCGAGTGCGTCGGAATTGAGCTTCAATTTTCTGAGAAGGGATTGAGCTTGCTGTTGACTCTCGGCATCCGTAGCAAACAGTTGATCCGACAACGTGTTCATATTTCCCGTCAAATTGTTGTCGTAGAGGTCCTTTACTGCAGCGCGTTGCTCAGTTGACAAGACCAACTTCTCGACAGGTACCAAAGCCGCCGTGCTTCGGGCACTCATAGATCTCTTGCCGCCACTAGGTGCCTCGCAGGGTTCGTGTTCGGAGTCATGGCTTGGGCCACTGCTGGCAGTTGTGAAACGAACTCGGAAGGTTGGTGCTTTTGGAGGCATGGCAGGGGCGAGGGATTAGTGTAGCAAGTCATCTCAATTTATCTGTATTTATAGTACATGTTTTGGCCACACCGATGACAGTGTGGCCCTCCAGTCAAAGCGGAATCAAACACAGGTGGCCTGGAGAGATCTGGGCGGACGATGCGCGAGCGAGCGATACCGGATAAGGGGTGATTAGGTGAGCGATCGAGATTTCCCAAAAAGGAAGGATGTTGGGGAGGCCGCCGATCCCGTCCCTGGTCTCAAGCTCTCAAGACTCAGACATTGGCGACGATGACTTTGACCAGCTCAGCAATGATGTTCATTTGGGGGAACAAGAAGACGACCCCGGGGTTTGATATGTAGTACAGCAAAAGGCATGGGAGTGTACTGGTACATGCAGCACGGTTGTCTATGGGCAATAAAACACGGATCCGAGTCTATTCGTGAACGAGAAAGTACAACTACAGTAAGTGAACGAGGAGGAATCAAGAGCCGGGTATCAAGAAAGGCAGGACAAGACTAAACCTAGACAACTTATACGCTGAGGAGAGTAAGGAACTGATTCGAGGGTGCAAACTCGGGGTCGTCTTCTAAACACATTCAGTAACAACAGTCCGGTCTATAGGTAGGTGAACCGTCAGACTCCGAGAAGTGATGAGGTATGGCAAGGACTGACCCGCAACCGCAGCAAGAATCGCAGCACAGGTCGTCACAGCAAGCATCGCAGCAAATACCGCCGCAACAAGTGTCGCAACAGAGAACGGGTTGATTATAAGGGCGGTTCATTCGCGACAGGTAGTGTCGCTGCGGCGGAAGCTGAGGGCTGTAGATCATTTGCGGCTGCACGGCAGGCTGTGAATAGACCGTGCGCATCTCCGGTGCTGCATTCGCGCGACGACGAGCATGATCAGATATGCCCAGTCAGAGAGGGGGGATGCGCACCGGAAGGGTAATATCCACCGGCCCAGTACATGTCGTGCAAGCCATTGGAAGAGCGACGAACGTGATAGACAGCGGGCCCGGGACGTTGGGGGTACATGAAACGCATAAACGGCAGTGGGGGTCAAGTTGCGCAGAGCTGGGCGGAGTGGAGGGATGAGCAGACGTCACCAGTCCTCGATTCACAGTATTTCAGTGCCGGAGAGCGTCCGAGATCGGGAGAAGAGTGAAAATGACGAACGAGAGACATCGGTAAACAGTGTTCACAGGTAGCGCCCCCGGCGCCAGAAAAAGTGCGAAATGAAAAGCACGATGCACCCGGTGAGAGTCGTACCGCGCACGAAGAGGAAGGACGGGGCCCTCACTCTGTGACGGCTCGGACGAGAACACATCCACGTGTAGTTGGATGTGCGAGAATGAGTCCGCGGGCTATGCGATTGGTACATAAAGTTGTCGCGGAAGGCAGCGATATAGTCACAGGAGGCGGCGGAAGGCCCCCATATCACCAGCTGCTCAGGTGATGCTGCGTACAGAGAGCGTACCGAGGGCAACGGTTGTCCGGAGTGAGGATGCGCACTCGTCTGATTTGGCTTGTGAGACACTCTTTGACGCATAGACGTTCGGCGGGAGGGGTCTTAGCAACACGCCTCCCATCCGAAAGTATCTGTGTCCCGGCTAGACCGCTCGGAGAGGTGCGATATGAATCCTGTATTGTTGATGGGCAAGACGCCACCCTGGCTTCAATGAGATGGGGCTGTATGTAGGCGCGAGGGCGACGTATGGCCATACGACGTCGGCTTCTGCGTTGGATATTGGCACAAGCGATTGGTCAAGAAGGGGGCGTAGATAGGCCTGGCCGCGCGAGAGGAGGTCGAGGACGGCAACTGCGAGATAGAACACAGTTCAGAACATGACTCCAGGAGGTCGGATACCGCGGACTCCACGCCTACTTGTCATGGACCGCGGGGACTGCCGCGGGTCCCCTGCTTACTGCATATGGATAGCTGGGTCTGCGGAGTCAGCAAGCGCTGGCGGCAAGTGCCGAGGGTTACTCAGCGAGGGCTGTGCATGGTTTGTCATCTCGTTGGTCGGCTCAAAAGGCGGCCTCCGCGACGACAAGCCCCATCTCCCGCCCCCACGCCCACCAGAACCTCTGTGAGTATCGCTTTCTATCCCCCGGATGCCGTCGTGTGGCCTGTTGGTTGCGTTTATCGTCGATTGGAGGATGGATGCAGGCTGCAGACGATGGATGGGGTCGGTCTCGCCAGGATGACGTGAGTACTGATACTCGTCTCTCCCGCCTAGAATCAAGATGGGTCGCCGTCCCGCTCGCTGCTACCGTTACTGCAAGAACAAGCCCTACCCCAAGTCGCGCTACAACCGTGGTGTGCCCGACTCAAAGGTTCGTCTCGGAGCAGCATGCACCGTCGTCCAGTAGGCTCACCCGGCCACAGATCCGCATCTTTGACCTCGGCCGCAAGCGTGCCTCCGTCGACGAGTTCCCCTACTGCTGCCACCTCGTCTCCGATGAGTACGAGCAACTCTCCAGCGAGGCGCTAGAAGCCGCCCGTATCTGCGCCAACAAGTACGTCACCAAGACGTCCGGCAAGGATTCCTTCCATCTCCGTGTCCGTGTCCACCCCTTCCATGTCATCCGCATCAACAAGATGTTGTCCTGCGCGGGTGCCGATCGGTAAGTCGCATGCTGTCGCTGTTCTTACGTGTTGATCCTGACTTCTCTTGCGAAGTCTGCAAACCGGTATGCGTGGTGCCTGGGGCAAGCCGTACGGCACCGTCGCCCGTGTGAACATCGGCCAGATCATCCTCTCGGTCCGCACGAAGGACTCGAACGCTCCTGTCGTCCAGGAGGCCCTCCGCCGCGCACGGTACAAGTTCCCCGGTCGCCAGAAGATCATCGTCTCCCGCAAGTGGGGTTTCACGAACGTCAACCGTGAGGACTACCTCAAGCTCAAGGAGGAGAAGCGGGTCTTGCAGTAAGTCTGGGTTTTTCATCTTCGTCACGACGCAGCTCACATCACTCGTTAGGGACGGCGCTTACGTACAGTACATCCGCCCCAAGGGCAACCTCGAGAACAACCTCCGTGCCCAGCTCCGCGCGTAAGGTTAGTTGACATCGTGTCGCATTGTATGTACCTACCACATCCGCTGCATCGTCGTTACGACGACTGTTCTTGGCCCGACATGCATGTGCGCATGGTCTTTAGCTTGTGAGTCGTCTCGTTTTGCGTAGGTATGTATCCATGTTGGTCCTGGTCGCCGAGCAGTTCTCAATTCAGTGTGAGTGCGGTCAGTGTGTCATGTCCTGTTCTCGTCATACCCCCTGTTTTCTCCCCTTTTCTGCACTGCCCTATTATTCACTACGTCGCTCTTTATCCGTGGGCGACGGTTAGGGGAAACGGGGCAAAGATTGAAAGCTTCACGAATATCGTCCGAATCGGAAGAGCTTCGCGCTCGGCTGGGGATTTGGATTCTCGAAGATGCAGACATTACTTCATGTATTGTAGCTACGTTTAATATGATGCCTCTGCACTGGTATTTCGAGTGTCTTGTGTGCATGTCTGTCACCTTCACGAACACGAAGCTGCTGGACATGAGCGGATATGTTGGTTGAGTCGCACCACATCTTGCGCTACATCCTCGTGTGTACGCGTTGAGGTGAACACGAAGACTGGTCACCAGTCAAGTGCAGTCCGTGGATTGCTAGCAGATCAACTAGAACAACCGGACAATGCTTATCCGCGCTCTGGATGATCCTTCCTCAAACTGACCCAGCAACATGAGTCAAGCATGCGATGGAAGGTCGATTGTACTACAGGGAAGCTCATTTACAGAGGTCACGACGTCACCCGAAAACTGATCCACCCTTTCCGACATGCACCGAATATACGAAAGCACACAAAACGAGAGAGCTCCTTAAAAGTCCGAGTGAATTCGAGCACCGTCCAAAGAGTCTTTGCGCGTTATGCATAGGACGTCCATTTGTCTTTCCGAGTCTCGACACCTCTCACATTATAACGCAGTCCTTCTCCTCCAGCTTACCCGTCGAGATGCCCATCTCCTCGAACGTCTGCGGACCGGGCTTCTGCGGTGCCTGTGCCAGAGGGCTCGACACGTCTGGCTGCCCGCTGTTCTGCCGCTGTGGCACTGGTCGAGAGGGCAGCCCGCCGGCGCCGACGCCTGCACGGTTCCCGCCGGGAGCTGCAGGCGACGCCGAGCGCGATCCAGGGTCGACGAGGCTATAGCGCGTCGCGTTGGCAAAAGGACGCTGACCCCCCGGACCAGGCGACCCCGCGGGCGGCAGATGTGGCTGCGACGCGCTCGCCGGGAGCTGCGCCGGCGCACCATATCCTGGCGCGCCCACTTGAGGTGCAGACGCACTGGGCGGGAACGCACCGCCGTTGGGAGGTGGACCATGTCGTAGGGAGCTCTGCCTGACGTTATGGATAATCTGCGCGCCCTGCGCTGCTGGGCCTGGAGGCCGCCCGCCCGAGGGTCCGTGCCGAGCTTGCGAACGTTGTCGTGCAAGGGTGCGCTTGCGCACGATGGTCGTGTCTGCGAGAGACTCGTGTTGTTCACGAGATATCCGCCGGGCATCGGGCTGCGACAGCGCACGCAAACGTTCCGCCGCATCGGGGTTGCCATGTTGCGCGGCCTGGGAGAGAGTCAATTCTCACTCTCCTTCGAGTCGCAGCGACGAGACGCACCCTGCCATACCACTTCTTCGCCACCTCAGTATCCTTCGGGCTGCCGACACCGACTTCTGCATAGTACCCCATCGCAAACTCCGCGCTCGGCAAGCCCTTCCTCGCCGCCTTCTCCGCAAACGTCCACGCAAGGCCCTCGTCGCGCTCGAACGCGCCCTCCGCGCCACACAGGAACCACTTACTGAGCGCCATGTCCGCCTCGTCCTCGCCCTGCTGGCTCGCCAGCGAGTAGTACTGCACGCTCAGCAGCGCGTCGAACGGGAACGGCGGCTGCGCAAACTCGTAAGCATGCCCGAGTTTGTACTGCGCGGGGGCAAAGTTGAGGTAGGCCGCACGCTCGAGGTGCTTGCGAGCCTCCATGCCGGCGTTCGAGCCTGGTGGGATGTAGGGCGCGAAGAGATGGGGCGGGATCTCGACGTGCGAAAACTCGTTGAGGAGAAGGAGGCCGTAGACGTAGGCGGGCTGCGGTACGTCGACAGATGCGAGCGTCGCAGCGCGGTGGAGCAATGGTAATGCGACCTCGGGATTGGGAGGGAGACCGAGTTGGCCCATGAGATTCCCCATACCCATGCGCTATGATCGCGCGTGAACATCGCGAGACGTATCCGAGGCAATGAGCACTCACGTATATGCAACTCTCGACACCCCTCTTGACGCCCCGCTCAAAGCACTGCCGTGCGTGCTCCACGTCCTTGAAGTTCTCGTAATCCCTCCCCAGGCGGAACCACGCCGCATGGAAGCCCGCCTTGGCGGCCTGCTCGCAGTGGCGGAAGCTCGTGCGCGGGTCCTGGGAAACGTACGTTGGGAACGCGCCGCTGCTCTCTAGCGTCGCGAGCAGGTAGAGAGCCTCCGCGGCCCAGATGGGCTTCGGGGTCGCGGTGTTGTTCGCCATCTGCACGATCAGCGGGACCGCGACGTCGACGAGGCGCTGCAGCTCGGGGTCGTCTATGCGCGCGGGGCCCTGCGGCGGATCGCCGCCTGCTGCGGCATAATCAGGGTTCGTGAGTTGCTGCGCGCGGGTGACGAGGGAGAGGACATCGCGGCACCAAGCGATCTTGACGGCTGGATCGAAACCTGGCTGCTGGATGGGTGGTAGTTGAGCGACGAGTGCGGGGATGGTCGGCAGAGGGGCAGTGAGCGAAGCAGGGGCGGAGGTGCTGACGGGTTGTTGCGGGGGAGGTATGGGTGGGCCATACGTGGAGTAGACCGAGGTGGACCGCGGGTGGTACGCCTGAGTAGGTGGAGGCTCCTGGAAAGACATGTTCGCGAACTGGGCGGAGAGCCCGTCGGGGTTGTAGTGTCCATTTGGCTGCGGCTGAGACATTGGAGGGGCGGTCGGCGGGGCCCATGGACTCCATTCGGCTTGTGGGTGTTGGTGGGGACTCGGGCCGCGGCTGTGAGAGCGGCTGGTCGGTGCGGGCATGACGAAGCCGGGGGCGGGGTTGTAGTGGGCTGGGGAGCGACCGCGCTGGTACGGGCCGTTGGGGGGTGGTGGTGGCTGGGCGAGCTCGTCAAGCGTGCGTGCCATCTGCAGCGAAAGATGAGTATTTGGCAAGGGACAAGGAAGGCTATGCAGAAGGGGCGTTCAAGGCGCACGTTTGTCACCAGTCAGATCGCAGGTGCTGGGTTCGGACAACAAGCGACCGCCAGGTCTAGCACGACTCGTCTGGAGACGGGCAGGGATGCAGCGCGCAAAGACGTAGGTGGCGTGCGGTAGACACGCCTCTACGGAGTGGCATGTCGCCATGGGAAGTGCGGCAACGCGCACCGCTGAGTGGCGATGGCGGGCTGATGGGTGTGGCCGGGCGGCGGAAGGGAAGGGATGAAGACGAAGAATAAGAAACGCACGGTTGCTGGCAGATCGGGCTGCAGCTTGTGGGGGCGGGGTGCTACAAGGGGATCCTCAAAGTGCGGGCCCGACGCCTGTGCGGGGTCGAAGCCCGGCGGGAGGGGCGGGATGGGCGGGGGCGACGGCCGCTGGGATGTGTGGAAGTCGTCGTAGTTGCTGAACGGGCGCGGAGGGACAGGCGGCGCGGCCATCGCATACGCACTCGACGGCTGCTCTGGCGTGTTAAGTAGCGTCCAGGACGCGCTGACGCTAAGAATACCCATCGGCGCTTAGCTAGCCACGCCGTCCAGTGCCCCAGTGCCGTGGTTAGGGTTCCGTCCGCCGCCGTGTTCTCGACCGTCGCCGCCGTGTCCGCCCTCGTCGTCGTCGTCTGTCCGCTGTCCCCGCCGTGTCCGCCCTCGTCGTCGTCGCTGTCCCCGCCGCTTCCCTATTCGGCGGTGGCGCAGAGGCCCCCGCAGCGTCCACACCCGGGTCCGCCACCGCCTCCCTCCGAGGACACCGCTCGTCTCATCCGCAGCCCATCACCGGCCAGGCAGTGCTCCCCCCTCTGCACTGGCAGTAGTGCACCCAACTCACATCATCCGTACGGCCGCCTGCTCGCGCTACCCTCTCTGCCCGAAACCGTACGCTCCCGTAGCTGAAGTGCAACACTCATACGTGACGCCCGTGCCGTCCGCAGCGGACAAGGACACTGCCAATGACAGCACCGCCAAAGCCTGACGCGTTGCTTGTCCGCCGCGGCTTCGTACCCATTGCGCAGCAGGAGGTGCTGCCTCAAGAGCGGGTTCGTGCTCAGTACAGCGCCGCGGCGCCGTCCGCCAAGTATACCACAGGTCTCCTCGTACCCAACGGTACCCAAAGACAATGGACAATAATGTGCCCGGTCTACGTTGGCCGCGAACATCGCTCTACCCACGAGCCCCTTGCACCCTCTCTCGTACACATGCAACGCCCGGCCCGGTCCTCGAGACAACGCCATCCGTGCGATTCTCAGCCATGAAGCCATGTGTCTCCCGCCCTTGCACTCGCCCGCTCGAGTTTAACATCCCAGTCACAAGCATGCTCTCCTGATGCATCGCCGCTGCCTTCCTCCGCCCACGTCATTCGTGGTGCGCCCGTGCGCCCCAAGTCCGGACACTCCCAAGCAACCGTTGCAATCCACGAGCTCTCCCTATAGACTTCGCCCGGGCCGCCGGAACCCAGGTACTCTGTGAGCACCTCGTATTCCGAGTGTGCATGGCTGCAGTCTCTGCACATTCAAATACAGCACCCCTACGCCCTTCTCACTCGGAGCTCGCCCGGTCTTCGCTCGCTCACAAGCCGTTCACCATGCCCTCCTTTTCTCTAGCTCTCCTCCTAGGTGCACTCGCCCGCGCCGCCCCCACCCCGCGTTCCGCCCTCGTCGACACCTCCTCCCACTGCGGCCAGTACGATACCGTCACCGCCAGCCCGTACACTCTCAACCTCGACCAGTGGGGCATCTCGGGCGCGACTGGCTCCGACTGCGCCAACCTCATCAGCCTCAGCGGGACCACCGTCGCTTGGGAGAGCGAGTGGTCCTGGTCCGGCGGCAGCGGCGTCAAAACCTTCACCAACATCGAGCTCACCGACGGTATCAACGTTCAGCTGAGCGATATCGGCTCTATCGAGGTGCGTCCCGCGCCGCCGCGGTGTATGACCCCACGCCCACTCGTCTGCGCGCAGTCTTCGTGGTCCTGGAGTCAGTCTGGCTCGGGAACCATCGTCTCGGATGTGGCCTACGATCTCTTTACTTCGTATGCATCATTGCGCTCTCTTTTCCCCGCCGGAGTTGACCCTCCTTCCCAGCGCGACCTCTGGCGGCTCGTCGGAGAACTACTGGGAGATCATGGTCTGGCTCGCCAACTACAACTCTGGGCCCATCTCCTACAACTACAGCTCGGCCGGTAACGCCGTGCCCATCGAGTCCGGGCTCTCCATCGCCGGGCACACTTGGTGCGTAGCACCCCTCCCCGCCATGTGTTCACAGCCTCACGCGCGCGCCCCAGGGACCTGTACTACGGTTCAAACGGCTACAACTACGTCTACTCCTTCCTCCCGTCGAGCACCATCGCCAGCTTCTCCGGCGATGTCAACCTCTTCCTCAAGTACCTCACCTCTGAGCAGTCCCTCCCGAGCGACCAGTATCTCACCACGTTCGAGGCAGGCTCGGAGGCTACTAGCGGCAGTGATGTCACGTTCACGACGAGCGTGTACTCCGCTGTCATCTCGTCCTGAGAGACATTGCATCGCATGCGGATAGCCGCAATAGTAGCTACAGAATGTTGCGTGGATGCGCATGGTAGGGACTACGGCTCCTCAATGGGTATTGCGTTGTGGTCTTTTGGCGCACTGTGAGCTCTAGGTAGGTGCCAGGACTATCACGCGGCGTTCGCCGCTACGTCTGAGCTGTGGTCCGATGGAAGTGACTCTGGCGCGCGCGTAGGATCCGGCGATTTTGCCCCTCTTCTGCCACGATCGGTGCCGTGTTTGCCGGTATAATGTTAGGGGAGCGTTCAATAGGATCCGTATCTCCGATATTCCGATCTGCGATCATACGGTGCCTTAGTACCTGTACCCACTCCGCCATCCTCTGCGTTGAATCGCTCTGACTCCACCGCCACTTAGACCTCGACCAGGACCTCGACCATGGCTAACCATCCGCAGGGAACACAACGCGCTGTCAAGTGGTATCCGCCCGCTTATGACATCCGAGTGGAGACTATCCCCATTCCAGAGTAAGCGGCGCACTACAGCAATCGTACTAACCGCCAGTGCTCATATCATCATGTTGTGTTCAGGATCATTGAGCCTGATGATGCGCTCGTGAAGATCAAGGTCAGGTCTCTGTAGGCTCGTCCAACGGTGGAGATATTGACGAGTCCGCTGGTCCCAGTTGGCCGGACTGTGTGGAAGCGATCTCCACATATATAGGGGTCATGAGGACGTCGACGCCGAGTATATTGTTTCACCACCAGGCTGTTAACAGGTCAATAACCATAAATTTGTGCTAGGCTAATCTGTGGACATGAGCTCGTTGGCGAGATTGTCGCTCTCGGGTCGAGCTTCTACCCGGGAGCCACAGGAAGGCCGGAACTATACTCGACTCTGCAGATAGGCGACAAGGTCGTGTCTCCGTTTACGGTCTCGTGCGGTGAATGCCAGTAAGTAGCATCTACGTCCTGCGTCCAGGTAGCCGAAGCTGAATTTCGGGCCAGCTTCTGTAGGGTAGGCTTCACTTGCCGCTGCATTCATTCTGCGCTCCTCGGCACCCCTCTTCTCCCAGGCGGGCAAGCACAATACGCGCGGATTCCCAAAGCCGGAGGGACGCTGTTCAGCCTCACTGCACTAGCCAGGTCAAACGCGCGCGTCCTCGACATCGCCGATAGCTCATTACTCCTGCTCGCGGACATTCTGCCCACGGGCGTGTTTGTCGCCTTGCAGGCGCTACAGCATCCCAAGTTGTCACCGATGCTTACGGGCTCTGCTTATCCGTCGAGTTCATTCGTACCATGCGACGGGCTGGTTCTCTCAGGCACTGGGGTAATGAAGCCTCTGGAAACGGCAGACCGGACGTTGACGATTGCCATCGTGGGTCTTGGACCGGTTGGAGTGGTATGTGCTCCTGACTCGCAAGGCAGAGACGGACAACTGATCTGCCGATTATCTAGTGTGCCGCTGTCAGCTTGCTTCATATGATGGAGAACATACGGACCACGAAAGGCCTTGACTGCCGAATTGTGGCAATCGACCCCAACGAGGCCAGGAGAAAGAAGATGGAGGCGGTGTATGCGAAGATCAACAGCCATGACAAGCAATCCTGCGCGTTCGTAGTGGCGGCGATAGACGAGGCTCAGGATCTTGCCAAGTTGTGGACAGGAGGCGCGGGATGCAATGCCGTCCTAGAAGTGAGTAGTGCCTTCCACGGATGGGTGTTTAGCAGCTGAGCGTTGGCTAGGTTGTTGGGAACAACAGCGCACTCGACCTGGCGTACAGTCTCGTCCGCCCGTTCGGTATCATTAGCTCAGTCGGCGTTCATCAAGAGCCTCCAATCCCTTTCACTGGCCGAGACGTGTACAACAAGAACGTATCGCTCGATTTCGGGCGTTGCCCAGTCCGCGCCATGTTTCCGCTTGCCTTGGAAATACTGGTGAAGCGGCAGGATGTTTTCGGAGGCATTGGAGACGACGCAAGCCTCATTGAGAACACCGTGTCTTTTGATCAAGCTGCTCAGAGTTACGAGCTGTTCGACAAGGGCAAGTGCGGCAAGATTCTGTTCGATCCTTGGATGTAGTCGCATTCTCGTAGACAGAACGAATTTGGGTATAGCTAGGTGGCGCGGCAAGCATATGTTCGACTAGATCATTGACGGTCATTGTAGCACTGTAGAACGACGAACACGTATTGCATGCAGTAGACATAAAGGCCAATGATTAAAAAGATTCGGTGTACTGCGTAGAATAACGCAGCAGTGAAGGGGGAAACAGAAGAGATTATATAAAAGAGTGTCGATACAAATGCAAAGCCCGATCATGCAGGTACGAGAGCAATTGGCAAGTGTACAAGGTATGATCCCGAAATAATACGCAGAGTAGAGTACGCAGTAGCTTCATCATATAGTCGCATAGGTACACTGCAGGGTATCTCGCTGCCTGCGGCGACACTCCTCAGAGATCCGAACCGACAGCGTCGACAACGTACAGCACCTGCTGTGGCCTGACAAACAATCCTCTTGATTCCGAGTTGGAGACGTCAGATGCCACGGGGGATACGCTCCGCAACCTCTTTGCCCTGTCAATGCTCAGTTGATCTCCTTCCCGTTTCAGCGTTCCTTTGCCACTGCTGGCCCAGTCGAATTTGCGACGTCTTGCTGCTCTATCGTCATCGTAGTCCCAGTCATTCGAGGCACCGATGTCGAAGTATCGGATACCGCCCCATGTGCCGTCATGCCATGCACGACCCTCGAGCTTCTCGCCAGGCCACGTATCGTTCATTGGAACCTCCACACCAACCCACGGTCCTAGCTCGCCCTCCACTTCGCCGATATAACGTGCAAAGGCACGGAATCGTGCCTTTTTTGACGAGATGATGCACGGAATGCCAATGTCCAGCGTGGCACCGCGTGGTAGCTGCGGCGTTGATGCTTCCTTGATCGTGTCCGACGAACTCTTCCGTTTTAAGGATTCTTTCACGGTAGCGGCACTGCTCGTGGAGACGACGCTGGCCTGCTTCTCGTGTGTCGCGTTTGCGCCCAGCCTGCCTTTACCCTTGACTGTCCCAGAGCCGTCCTTGGCGACGATTGAACGAACAGAAGACGCCCCCGATGGCTGTCTCGATACGGTCCGGCGAGGTGCTGCCGGGGACGTGGATGCAGTCGAACGCACAGAGGTAGACGACGCCGTCCGTCTCGCAGCGGGGCTCGTCCTGGAGTCCACTGGGGAAGGCGGCGGTCGTTTCTTCAAAGGGGTACTGGGTTTCGACGCCGTAGACGGAGCGCGCGACCGTGGTAATCTCGGCGTCGAGGTTGCATTTGTCCGGGAGGTGCCAGTCGTTCGAACACTCAGGTTAGACACGGACGACGCAGTAGAACCACGACGGCTACGCGCAGTAACTGGCGTGATGTCAGTTTTCGCTGTTTCGAACGCTGTCGACCCATCGCTCGTGTTGTTGGACATGGTCGAAGATGGCCGACCTGAGAGAGCAGACGAGGGCCTGAGCGCTGATGATCCAGCAGGAGAGACTTTGCGGATCGTTGACGCTTGTGACTTCACCGAGGCGGCACTCGAGCGCACCTTGGAAGCACGATCACCAGGTGCCAAATGACTGGATACGTTGCGCCGTCCAGGCACTGGAGACAGACTTGCGCGGCTTGATAGCGACGGCGCTGGCCCATTCGACGTCAGGCCTGAACGAACAGAAGGTGGGCTCGTGACATGACTTGGTGTAAGCTTTGAATCCGGTCGACCCGTCGACAGCGCCAGACGACGCGTAGTTGTGACGGTGCTTGTCCTCGAAGTCATGGAAAGCGTGCTCCTCGCGACAGAGCGAGAAGATGCGTTAGAAGACTTGACAGCGTCCGTAGCTCTGGACGTCGTCGATTGACTGTGAAGCCCAGTACGCAGCGAATGCATGCTACCAGTTTCATCTTCCGCCTTTGCAACACTGACGCGTGGCCCCACTCTACCTGTCCCCCGAGGGGCGGCAGATGGTGACACGGGACTGAACATGTCGTCAACGGAAAGCTCTAATTCTATCAGGTGTATTGTGAGCCAAAGAGCAAACGCATAGAAGGTTGCAGCGTACCGGAAGCGATTTCCTTCGCAGCCCAAGGCTCGAGACAGTCGAAACCACCTTCTTGCTTGACATTCAGGTAACGTCTTCGGAGCCATCTGAGGATGTCTACGCGGGCTTGCTCTACAGACACACGGACGTGCGAGGTCGCCGATAGCATTGCTTGGTCGGGCTCAGTCGGATGCGGGCGTAGGAGTACAGCAGAGACAAGCGTCTGCGGGTGGGCTCAGAGTGTCATTCAGTACTGCAGGCATTCACACATACCTGATAGAGGGCCGCGGCATTCTTCTCGTTCAACCCTCTTCGGATGGAATCCATTGCCCACTCTACCCTCTCCCCATCTTCAAAGCGTACCCCGTCGGACTCCATGATGTCAAGCCATTCAGGTTGCTCAAAACACTGATCCGCTTGTGAGCACATCACTTCGTCGATCGTCTTGCGTGCAGTCAGGACCATGTCCTTGACGGTATCGGACCAGTTGTCAATGATGGTACCCAACCTAGCGAGGGCTGCATGCGACGCGAACAGAAGGGGGAATATGTTCATGGGTGTCGTCCTCTTGGCGAGACCCTTGACAATGGCATCGCGAGTCTTCTGGGGTAAGTGCGCGAACTCCGTGATGCACCAGCCTTCACCGAATAACCCTACAAGCGCACGTCGAGCACCCCGCTCCAAGTGTGGGTTCTTCACGTCTTCGGAGATTGCAAACTCGAGGACCCGCGGGGCCCGCCGTGCGCATTGTCGGCAGCGACAGCCGCCCGTACCCCACTTCCCTCCCGTTGCGGCCTCGTATTCGGAGAACTCGAGGAAGGCGTGGAAGAGTCCATGCATCATCTCCTGGACGATGCGTGCCTGTATCTCGTCATATAGCGTGTCAATAGAGAGGTAGGAGGCGGAGCGCATGATATGAAACGCCGTGTCAAGGTCAAACGTGCGGTTCGAGAAAGCGAGAGTCCCGGTATAGATGAAGCCTAAGGTGAAATGCAGAGAGGCAGGCGTGAAGGGAGGAGAGGGCAGAGTAACGGTAAGCGGCTCGCTGGAAGGTTTCAGCGAGTCAGCCCAGTCCTGCAGTTGCGTGCGGAAGTAATCAGAGCGCGAGACAAGCATGAAGCGATGAGACGAAAAGATGGCCGTGGTTGGTTCGTGGTTCGTCGACGAGAAGATTCCGGTCAGCGAGATGCGAATGTCCGAGTAGAGACGGGAACGCCACATGAAGACAAGGTCTTTGCGGAGCTTGTCTATGCGTGCCTCCTCCTCGTCGCCCTCCTCCCGAGATGCGGTGGAGTCGAAGAGGAATTCAAAGGCTTCGCCAAAGCCCTTGCCCGTGTAGAGATACTCGAGTTCATTGGAGAAAAGGATGGGGTTGATAGCGATCGGGATCCGGAGAACAGCACCAGTGCCGGTGGACGGAGAGGGCGAGGGTGCGCGGAAGGGAGACGGAGAGCGAGAGACTGAGGTGAAGTCGACACCGAGAGTGAGGGAAAGAGCAGACTGGGCGGGCAGGGTGCCTGTGGGCGACGAGGAATAGGGAAGCGGCGAGGAAGGGAGCGGGGCGGGCTTGAAGGAGAAATAGCGTGCTTGAAAGCTCGGAGGAGCGCGTGCGTAGACAACGGCTGCAAGTCGTGAGTCGGGCGGCACAGAGACTGGGATCGTGCGTACCTTTGTGGCCCCAGACCTCCTCTGCGCCGTTGAGGGCACTGCTGTCATGCTCGTTCAAGAGCTCCCAGACGACATCGGGGAAGCGGTCCTTGGCACGGTCGAAGAGAGCCTTGAGGTCGTCCTGCCAGGTGACGGTCGCATGGCGCGTGGCTTCCTGGAGGGCGGGCGGGGCGACGGCGGACGGGGGCATGACGGCGGCGACGGCGAGAGGAGGACGAGGAGAAGGTCAGAGCCCCGCGACGGGAGGCACTGGCGGACGGAGGAAGGGGTATCGGGTCAAGGCGCCAGAGCCGCCCGCCGCCTTCTCCTCCCCCACCACCCGTGCCCACGCCCCGTCGTCGTCGTCGTCGTCGTCCCCAGCGTCGCCGCCGTCGCCGCCGTCGCCCTCGCCAGCCCCAGCATGCCCCCAATGTGCCCCGCCCGTCCTGTGCCCAGTCCCCCACACTCTAACCTCCCCGTCCCAGCCGCGACAAGTTCACCATCCACTCAAAGGCCGTCGTCTGCCAGGACGTCGAGCTCAAGGGCGACATCACCGTCGGCGCAGGCACCATCGTCCATCCAAAGGCCACCATCTTTGCCATCGCCGGCCCCATAGTCATCGGCGCCGGCTGCATCGTCGAGGAGGGCGTCATCCTCGTCAACCGGCAAGTGCTCCCCTCCCCTCCCTCGCGACCGCTCACCGTCCCTGCAGTCGCAAAGAAGTCATGCGCATAGGCGATGACAATCTCTTTGAGATCGGCTGCCGTGAGTCGCTGCGCCGCCCTTCGTCCCGCGCATCGCTAACGCATCCCAGGTGTCGAATGCCCTAGCATCGGCAACTTCAACACCATCTCTGCCCGCGCAAGAGTCCACCACACCGTCCGCATCTCCTCGTATTGCGTGATCGGTGCCGCTTGCCTCGTCGTCCCCACCGAGGACGAGATCCTCGACGAGTACACCGTCATATACGGCCCTGCCGCGGAGCGACGCATATGGAGTGGGCGTGGCAAGGTACAAGAGGCGGATCTGAGAAGGAAACATGCAGAGTATCTCAAGGAGATGCTTCCGAAGTTCAATCGTCTCAGACGAGGTGACGGTACATGACCTCCTCGTTGTGTATGTCGTCCTTGGTCAATGCTATCGTCGGTGCTCTCAACCGCGTTCGTACATTTATATGAGCTGTTAGCTACAGCAGCTGTCGACGCGCACTTGCGGTAGAATGAGAGAAAGAATGCATTGAGTTTCAGTCAACTGTGGTCCAACAAGCGCGTGAAAGGGGCGGCGCGCTCTGAGTCTGCCCGTCGTTCCCGTCGACCGCCATCCTTGTCGACTTTGTCTGCCCAACTCTGCTGCCGCCTCGTCACCGCAGACGGCCGGCACACACACGATGGCGCCTCGCTCGTCCTCCAAGACTAGCGGTCGTGGTTTCCAGCCTGCTTACGACGCAGCGACATACCGCGATCTCCTGCTCTTCGAGGAGCGCCTCAAGACGAACGCCGCTTCCCTCAACCGCAGAAAGCATCGCTACCAGCGTGTGTATCAGCTGTATCGCCGGTCATTTGTTGCTGATACCTTGACATCTTTCAGTGTTCCTCGCACAGTTGCTTGTCATCATTACCTTCCTCGCGAGCGAAGTCTTACTCCAAACCAACGTCCTGTCAATCCCCTACGCGGTGCTCCTCCGCGCGGCGTTCTCGGATCTTTATACGGAGCGTACAGACATCAGCATTCACCCGTACTTCACTACGGGTCTGTTGTTTGTCAGTGTGACGACTCTGGTGCTCTTTTTCGCCTCCGGGATGTATAGCGAGAAGATCGGATATCCAAACCGGTACGTTCGTCCTTGTTCATGTCGCACAAATGTTCAATCTTGGCGATGCCGCCCTTGGTCGCGAGAAGGTATGTGCCGCATGCGAACCGCGCCCTCCGAAGTTTCAACATGTACTTGAACGTCCGCCAGCCTCCACTCCGTTCCAAACTGCCTGCCTTTCTCAACCCCTTTACTCTGCTCTTTCCTCGACCAACGCCGGCATCGGTCGCTCCTGCCGCTCCGCCTCGCCGCCGCTCCCCTTCGCCCCCTTCTAGCCGCACCAAACGCAGCTCCTCCGTCCCGATTCCGCCCATCCCACCGGCCTCCAATCCGCGTGGTGAGCTTATATTCTCATCCCGCGTCGATCGGGGTTTCCGCGAGAGCTACGAGCGTTATCGAGCAGTCTTCGAGCGGCGGCGAGAAGAGCGCGAACGTATGGAACGAGACAAGACGTGGACAGGTTGGATACTCTCCAGATTGCCTTGGGCAAGGCTACCACCGATCTCTCCTGCTATCCCTTCCGTAAGCAATGGGGGTTCTAGGCTGCGGACGGAGAGTGGGCAGAGCGACCGTGGAGAAGACAGCTTGCCTTCCTCCAGGAGGGTGAGTGTACAAGGATCTCTATCTGTTTTGGCACAGCCAAAGCAGGCCGGACAGATACATCCTTTGGCATCTGTGGCCATACCAAGTGATGGGCGTGGGCTTGAAGATACACCTTAGGTATAGATGGCTCAATTTTAAGAGAGAAGGTAGTCAGTAGTTTGTTCCTTGGATTGGATCTCTGTCACATTAATGATGATGTACATGTCACTGACAAGTGTCTTGTAAATACCATATGTGTAACCAGGTGATACCTATGTCTTGTATAAAAAGATGGTTCACATTGCACAGATGCAGAGCATGGTTAGTGAACTTCAAGTAACTTTGAAAAGTGGGGGCTCATCATACCTTGCCTAGGAAACATGAGACCCTCAGGCTTTGTGCCACATGTGGAGATGTCAGCCAATCATGATGCTGAACTTGAAGCACTAGGGATACTGCACCTTTCTTTGTGATGAAGGATACATCATGAGCATGATGAGTGTTCAGTGACCAACCAGCCATTATAATTAAAACTGTGTGTCAGTCCATGCACTTCCATGTCTTAGAAATTATAAATCTGATCTCTGTATTCTTCAGTACAAGTGTGCTAATTGATTGGGCTGCCGGCAAGAAGTGCCCATTAATGGAAAGGTAGCACTGCAGTGTACTAGTGTAGCAAAGTGGGCACAATATAGCATCCTACTCTGTTATGGTTCCAGTTTGATTTTTAGACAGCTGAATACTGAGTGTATTGCCAAGTTGAAAGGAATAGTAACCTTGGTGATAGAGATTTGTATTGCATATACAAAGTGGTAACAAACAGTAAAAACCTCGGTAATCTCCGGCAATGCAATTACCAAAACAGCACAAAGTTGTGCTGCAATGAGGATACCAGATCCACAACAGTTACAAAAGAGGGTAGGACTGTAGTCAGTGCTGCTATACAAGTATGCAGTATTGCCCTTGAACTGGGAAGAGTAGGCTAATGATGACCTTAAGTCAGCAATGAATGGGGATTTTGCTGAAATTAGTAGAGCCTTTTAGAATAGAGAATGAGGTCTGATCACACAGGATTAGTATTCAAAGGCCAACTCCAAGTAAAAGGCCTTTTTGGAGTTGAATCCACACAACAGATGTTCAATAGAAGTCTCAATGGCTGGCATTGACTTCAAAGTGACAAAGTGACAATGGCAAGTCACTGAACCCTAATGTAGCAGCACAAGGTGTATGCTCAAGAGGGGCTCACTAAGGCAATTCCCAGCATGTAGTTATGAGACTTGCTTGTTAGGCTAACTCCTTTAATCATAGTAATACTACTGAAACATGCTAGTCTGGGATGAGTTGATACAGAGACTAATTGACCACTACTACCAAAGTACAGGATGGGTTTATAGAGAAGCATCTTCTCTTACTGAATCCAACTCTCAAGGTCATTCAATGAGTTACTTCAACCTTCCTAGTAGCGCAAGGACTGTACTAAGTATTATTTCACTGTTGCAAGAATCAATCAATGAGTACTTTTGACAGTGGCCAGGTGGCTAGTATGGCTGACTTAGCACTCAGATCAAAGTAAATCTTTGAGTGGCTCACAAGGTGAGTTTTGGTGAAAAGAGCAGATGGATGATGGATATGGATGTCCTTGACTGTGCTTAGGGGCCTTTTATGCTATTACTGAGGACACAGTCCATGGAGCTGCATGGAAGGGTTTGGAAAATAAAGGAGTGTTATAGTACTTGTCCTTGACTCACTTACACTGCTTTCTGAGGCCATTCTAGGAGCACAATAGGAACATAGCCTTACACTTCATTGTTTTCAACAAGGCAAGCTTTTTTATGGAGTCATCCTAGCACAGCCACAGTACAGCCACAGTTTCAGGACTGATTCCCAAGGCATCAGCAAGGTATGCAAGAGATTTTTGGTGTACAGCCTAAGGATAGCACAGCCATTCCTTTGTATAGCAATACAAACCCATTGTAACTTGGTAATCAGCAATAACCACAATCTACCCAGCATACAATAGCTCTTGTATCAGTATTGAAAGCATCTCGTCATAGTGAGTAAGAACACACTAGAAACTTGGTAATAGTCCATTATGTATGTACAGTAACAAGTGCTTATAAAGCATTGGAACATTGGTAATCAATATCTTGGTAATAGTACATATGAGACGGGCCAATGCCTTCTTAATCCGGTCCAACCCCATAAATCCTATGACAATCCTATACACCCCTTATGTATCCCATTCTATCCTCCAAGAGTCCTGTATTTCATCCCTTATGTACCCAATCCAATCTCATAGACCCCTTATGTATCCTATCTTATTCTGTATCTCAGCCCTTGAATTTTCAATTCAATCCTGTGTTAATCATGTATCACCACCTTTATGCATCCCATCCTATCCTGTGTCAATCCTAGAGCCATTGCTATGTACTCAACACAATCCTGACTCCTCATTGGGATACTGCTGCTTCAGCAGCATCACACCATATAAGTAGATACTGTCTTAGATAGTGCCAAGACAGTGCTTCCTGAATTTTGTGGCAACTAACTGCTGTTCCACCTATCTTTGTAGTTTAGGGGTATGATGCAGGGTTAATTTCTAACCTGTTCTGACTTGCTGGGGAGTGGGCCATGCCTGGCATTACAATTCCTTCAGTTATAATCCTAAGAGCACGCCACCCCTATGTCCACTACTGTCACATCAGTACAATCAAGTCCTTCTTCTGGATACATTTCCCCTATTTGGAAATCTGACATGAGTGATTTAACTTACACAGCCAGACTTCCTTACAAAAATGGCATGAACAACAACTGAGCTCATGGTCTACATGTGTACAATTAACAAATCCTCTTCTTCATTGTTTAATTGAATGTGATTATGCCTTTCCTAAGGCTAGGACATTGATCTGGTTATTTTACACACTCCTTGAGGCATGTATAATTTTGATAAGATATGTGCAAATACTTTTTGTCATGACTAGTACAAACCTGGCATATCTAGTGGGACAAGCAGATTGACTTATTTTGCATTTCTTTGCCTCACTAATCATTACAATGCAATAACTGCAAGAGTATACTCAGCCAATTGATGGCTTTCATGTATGTATACTATATCTAGGATCATTCATGACTGAACAGATGCTATAAGTAAACTACAAAGGGTGAGTGATCATGTCAGAAAATGATTTTCCCTTGATCTTGCTTGATCTTCCTGTCATATTTGGGCTCTGTCCTGTTATGGTTCTTATATAAGTTGTAGACAGCTGAATAACGAATTAATTGCCGAGTTGATAGGTATAGCGATATTGGTCACGGTAACAAAGGTTTGTATTGCCTATTACGATCCCTGAGGTACGAAGGAATCATTCTTATGACTGGAGGGGATGAAACGCCTTACAGTGGCACCCGATTTGGAAGGAGTCCATGTGACTTTTTGAGGCCCAGATAAGCAAAGTTAAGTAACTGATACTAATGTCCTATTAGTGGGACCTAAAATTTGAAACTCCCAGACGACGCGACTTGCACCAACAGATACAAATAAATGCTGTGGCTGGCTGCTCTGTCCTGGGGTGAGGGCCCATGAAACACCTTCCAGTGGCGCCCAATATGGCAACTGGTGGCTTTCATCATGTGACTTACAGGCTGGCTGGCTGCTGTGGCCTGCCAGCGCTCACACTGTATACAGTCAATTAGTAAGTAATCATAGTAGACATAGTATGCCCATCTGATAGCCATCCGTTCAAAGAGTATACAGTAATATTCCTAAGCACTTACAGTGGCTGGTTGGGCTGGAAAGTGCAAAACAAAAAAATCTACATGTGCCTCTGCATAAGTCAAAGCACCTGTGTCTGCTCCAGATACTCACTGAATCATCAGGACAGTGACCTCATGCAGTTGAATGACTTTGTATGTGTCAGTTGCTTCTGTGATACAGCAAAGATGAGCAATATTGGGCAATTTGAACACTAGTGAGCATATTATTGCTTGTGTGTCATGTCTATCACTGACCTGTGTCATTGATGATGACCAACTGTACCTGTTTAGCTTCTTATCATATTATCAGGATTTTGCACATTTTTACAAGCTCATAACAAGCCCATTTGCCCTGTATCAGCTATGGTTTTCTTATTGGGCAGGTTGCCTACTACTTATGGCAATACACTTGTCTTATTCGCCGCTGCTGCGCCCGGCAGGGTCCGATATGCCAGTTGAGCATTTGTCTCAGTTGCAGCTGTCAGCCCTTACCATGTACGCCGTGTGTCCGCCATGTGTCGCCCCTAAACACCTTGATGAGGAACGTTGGGGGTTTTGTCCTAAGCTCTGAGTACAGAAACCACTCTCACTGCTCATAAACATTGGGTACTAATCCATAGACATCTCATACACGAGTGGGGAACAAGTTATCTACCTCTTTGTTGTAGTCAAATGTAGTGGTAGCTCCAGCCTTTGCTGCTTCCTTCAATGTCATATGTCCTGTCTCCAATGTTTGAAGCATGGTAGCCATGTTGAACCAGACCATTGATCCACGACCACATTCATCTCCTTCCATTGTCTCACAGTTCTCCCTTGTAGGCACACTACCATCAGTGTGTACAAACTTGAGATCTGCATAAGTTAGATCAGAACATGATAAGTATGGAGTTGTGAATGGTGTACTTACCATGGATATCAATATTGAAATGCAGAAAGAGGGAGGAAGGATATATGACAGGGGTCCAGGGGGGCAGCTCAACAACAATCCCAGCTTCCCATACCACAAGCCAGGAGCGGTGCTTTGAATTGAACTTGGCTAGATTAAAGTATTTCATTTGTAAGGGATGTGGAATGTGGCTGATAACTCACAGTTAGGAAGGACTTAAACCATCAGAACACATATCCCAACAGGATTCTTAGCATCTGTATGAGGCATGCAATGAACACGGGGCTCATTGGGAAAGCTTCCATTGAGACAGAAGTCCCAGAAACCACCAAAGAGTGGGGATAAGCCAGTGTGCAATGCATGCCACTCTGCAGACTTTTTGAACCTTTGATAAACAGCTGGAAAGACAGCCTCTACTGTGCTTTCAATGAACTGACTGGTGGAAAACATGAGGTTATGAGGTGTCAAGACAAGGTAGAACTCACTTTAGAAGTTTGAACAAAGGATCACACAAAACAGCCTGAACCTTCTGTTCATTGTTTCTGTGCCACCTGGTCTTGGTGATCTTCTGTGGAGAAGTCAATAATCATAGAAATTGGTATATATGAAGGAGAACATACAGGAGATGATTGGCGCCAATGACCTATAATACAGGCCATGTGTTTGCCTCTTGGGCCTTTGGCAGCTTGCTTCTGCTCAGTGGTATCATGAAGAGCTTCACCAATGAGCATATCAGGGATGTGAGCGAAAGCCTCTGGGTTGAGAAAGGATGCGGGGAAACCCCTGTAGAAAAAAAGGCAATTACAAATATCCACAACTCTGAGAGCAGATTGGGGGCTGCACTTTGTATGAGATTATACCCCCTTCACCTAAGTCCAGGGGGTCAGCGTGGTTAAGGGACTAGGTAGGGTCGGGTAGGGTCGCAGTAGGCGCCCACCCTAGCCCGTAAGCGCTGGCCCTAGCCCGTAAGCGCTGGCCCTGGCCCCTAAGCGCTGGCCCTAGGTGCGCCAACGGTGCACAGGGAGAACACTGCGCCGCCGGCGCACTCCAATGCACATGACTTGGCCGCGCCGGGGTGCGTCATTGGCGCACTCCAGCGCATGGCCTCAGCGCTCGCCCATGTGCACCAACGGGGCATGCCGCGGTGGGCGGCCAGTGTGCAGCCGACAAGCACGCGCGCGTGCGCCAATGACGCACATTTGCCCACAGAAAACCTTAGGTGATCGACGATCTGCGGGCTCACAAAAGGGTGGAAGCCTTCCAGTGGGCGAGCTGGGTCAATCAGCGGTACGCGTGGCGATCTGTCGCGCGTTCGATGATTGACCCAGCCGAACACGGTAGGCGGACACCCTTTGGGACAAAGCAGATGAGTGGATCATGAATGTGCTCATTGTGGCTTACGCCGTAGTGTTTGCTGTACATGAAGGTTACATGAAGGTTGAACAGACTGGGCCCCAAGTAGGGGGCTTGTGTAAGAACATGCTAGTAGAAATTGCCTTGGAACACACACGAGCCGATGCCACACGGCGGGCTGCCGTGGGAGAGGCAGTTAGGCGCATCAATGGCATGAGTAAGCGCGAGTGCGCCAATGACGCACCTGGGCGCGCAGGCACCCCGCTCGAGCGCGTTGCCGTTCTCGTGCATAAGTGCACCAATGGCGCATTTTTGAACGAGTGAGTGGAACAGTCGACTGCAAGTGGGATCTGCGCACAAGTGCACCATCGGCGCACTCTTTGCGCGTCCGAGTTGGGATGAAGTAAACCAATGGGCAGCTCGTGCACAAATGCACCAAAGGCACACTTTTTACGCGAGCAAATTGGGATTCACTAAATCAACGGGCGGCCTGTGTGAGAGTGCCCCAATGGCGCACTTTTCTTGAAAGAGGGTGAACATAGCCGTCCCAATGGAGGACGTGAGTTTTAAGTCATTCATAAATGCGGGTAATCCTAGCCTGATTGTTTGCATCTGGCAGTACAAAGGATAGTAATTCATCATAACGATTAAGCAATCATTTCATTGACACTTAACATTGTTGCGCAGTGTCATCCTTGATTACGTTCTGTGCACCCTTGATGATCTGAGATGGATTAGATCATCACAGGAGATCGAGATTGGAAGGTTAGACCGTGAAGACGGAGCTGTGCAATGTGTCACGAATGTTACGGAACAGTTAGTCCTTTCGCATCTCATCAGTATGATCTGCATCATTCGTATCATCCTCATCACCCCGTGCGGTGATTATCTATCTCGGGCGGCCACCTGTAGCCGTGGGCCGCCATCTGTACCATATGCTACCGGACACTGCCCCGGTGATCTGCTTACGTATCTCTCCGCGTTGATCGCATTGTCTCTTGTATTTAAACTCGTTGTACAGTAGCGGTCGAACTTCACGTTCGACCTGGTTAACTCTTGAATCCTATCTCCTTCGCTTGCCCACTTCCCCTACGCCCTAGCGGCAGGTGACGACCAAGCTCAGATAGGCCCGACCGACCAGGAGCCTTTGAGGAAGCCAGCACGGCTCGTCCTCTCGAACGCCACAACGGATCTAGACTCTAGACAAGAGTAAGCCCTTGTTAAAGGCAGCGTCTTCAGTAGAAGTTTGTTCTCGTATTGGCTATCGCCTTCATCATTGTCCCGCTCCTACCCGTCGCGTAACATTAGGTCGAACGTGCCCTCTGCCACCATTCCTCTGGTGTAGCTATCCCATCTCAAGACCTCGAACGTCATTCCGCTATCCAATTGCTTAGGGTGAACAACGCCGCTCGACGATAGGTCGATAGTTTCGCCAAGGTGGATACCTCGGACCTTCGCCAAATCGAACCCAGTATCTACGGACTGCCTGCGCTAAAAGGCACTCTCCTCTGGGATCCTACCCTCCGAGTATTCTACATCGACCACGAACCCTCTCCCCTTGGGATCCGCCCACGGCAGGACGAGAAGAACGAGTGGCACTGGTACCACTTCCACAAGGACGTCCCGCAGAAGGATTACCCATCCCTCACTGCAGCTGTCCTCGACGAACTCCGGTTTGCTAAAGCCAAAGCGAACCTTCCGAAGCCCGAACCGAAAGCGACCGCATTGCTCCTCCGATCAATCTCCCAACAGTCTAAGGAGATTGAAGCCGACGAGTCCGACGAATCCGACGAACCCGAGATCCCTGTGACCTCTGGATCAGCACCCCAGAACGTGTTTGAGCAGGCGCAGCATCAGACCCACACCGAAACCGACATCAGCCCCGAGATTGATCACTATCTAAACCCCGAGATGACGGAATCAACGACCCAAGCACAGCTTCAGCAGCTGTACAATCTGATTGCCGAGAAGGACCAGCGCATTGCGGCGCTGGAAGCCCATTCAGGTGGCAGCGACGCCCGCGCCGCCGTTACCGAGAAGGTCAAAGTGAAAGAGCCAGGGAGATTCAAAGGAGACCCGGCTAAGCTTGAGACCTTCCTCTATGACATCGACAACTACCTCATCGCCGCAGGATACGAGAAAGTCCCCGACTCGCAGAAGATCGCCCTCCTCCTCTCCTACCTCGATCGTGAATCGACACAGACAGCCAACTGGCTCCTCCTCCACCAGACTCTCGACACGCAGGCCACTGCTGAAGGGAAACGACGGTTTAACACCTATGACAAGTTGAAGAAGGAGCTTCGTAAAGCCTTCCCAATTCACCGTGCCCAGGACCAGGCCACGTCGACGTTGCGAGCCCTCAAACAAGGAAAGATGGGCACTAATGACTATCTTAACCTCCTAATCACTCTCCTCGCTCGTGCGGGTGTCACGGAAGAGCGCAACAAGATCTACGAGTTGAAGAACACCATTTGACCCGAGCTCTGGAGGTCGATTTCCAGCCACTACCCACCTCCCTCAGACTTCGATGGGTACGTCGAGATGGCTCGCAATCTCTCGGCGCAGCACCAGCCTGACCGCATCCTTGCCAACCCCTATGGACGCGTTGACGAGCCGATGGACATCGACCGGATGACACAAGAGGAACGGATGCGCCACATCTGCGATGGACTCTGTTTCATATGCCACAAACCCGGACACCGCGGGCGTGAGTGCACGGACAATCCACGCCGTGGAGGAGGCTTTGGCCGAGGTCGAGGCAGACCGCAACAGCAGCCACAGAAGACCACTCGAGTCCGAGTCGTCGAAGACTGGGGCTCGATGACGGAGGAAGAACGCGCGGAGGTGCTCCCAGAACTGTTGAAGGGTTTTCAGTAAGGTCCTCTGCCTTGACGTCAGAAGGACCCTTGTATGTCTCGCACGTATCCAACGACAGCAATCGATCACTATTTATTCCGATTACTGTGCGAGGCTCGAAAATCGTCAACACTAAAGCCCTCATCGACAGTGGAGCACAATCCACGTTCATCCACCCTCGCATGCTTGTGCGCTCAGGGATAGTCCCCGAGAAGCTGGACGCCCAGATACGAGTCTTCAATGTTGACGGCACTCCCAACAGAGAAGGAACGATCACGCATCGTGTCCAACTCATCTACGACTGGGCTGGAACACGACGCCATATCCCAGCCTACGTTTGTAGCATCGGCAAGCAGGACGTACTATTTGGGTGGAACTGGCTGCAGCAGCTGAACCCCACCATTGACTGGGTGAAGCGCGAAGTGTCAGAACCGATCCCCGAGACTAGAACCAAGCCTGGGTTTGCATCTCTACGAACCACTGTTGAGGAAGTAGCCGACGAGGAGATAGTCGAGCTGGACCGCCTCACGACCACGGACGAACCAATCCTAACACTACCCTTCTACCCCGGGGGCCCCGAGAGGCCGAAATCCTCGGAGATACCGCATTCGGTAACTTACTTACCGAATGCGGTAAGTCGTGACACGCGCGAGCGTCCAAGCGCCAGCCCGCGGACTTGTGGCTGCAGCCACCCAGCCCGCCGGGTTCAGCCATCCAGCCCGCCGACCTCTCGCTCTCAGCCACCCAGCCCGCCGACCCTCTCGCGTATCCGTCGCACGCCCGCCGCCCTCGACGCTCCACAAGATCGCCCGCGCAGTCACCGAGCGCACGCGCGTGCGCGTTGGCACGTGATGGGCCGCGCGTCGCGACACGCTCGGCCGCCCAGCTCCTCGTCCTCCCCTCGCCTTCCCCTCTCCCCCTCGCTTTGCTCGCACCCTCCAAAGACCACCGCATCACCCGCAACACGACGCACCGGCCCGTTCGCAAGAAACGGGCCGTGACGTGGCACTCGCGACGCGCAAGAGCCGCGTCGACGGACCGCGCCGACCCTCGGGATCGCGCCTCGGGCAGCCAGGGACGACTCCAGCAACGCGCCAAGGCCGTCGCTGGACTTGTAGGATGTGCACTGGCGCAGGAGAGGTCCGCCGCAGGACGCGGCTAGCCATGGTGAGTGGCCGCCGCTGCTGAGACTCACCCAGCCCTCCCTTCAGCCACCCAGCCCGCCCTTCAGCCACTCAGCCCACCCACCCCCAACCTGCCGTCGCACCAACGCCGCCCCTCAAGCCCCACAACATCGCCCGCGCCCTCAGCATCGGCGCGACTGGTCCCGTCAGCGCCCAGACGCCGCCGCTGTCCCTCCTGTCCCCACCATCCCTACCCCGCCGCTCCTCTTCTCCCCGAACCCCCGCCTCGCACCGTCCACCGCATGTCAGGCATACACCCCGCGAGCCCATCGTCAAGACGGGCCGCGCGACGCGCCGAGCAACAGCGCCCAGGTTGCGCGCGACCACGGACGGCTCCAGCGACGCCCGGGGCCTGCCGCAGTCCTCACGATCGCGCGACACGCGACCAAGCGAAGCTCCAGCGACGCGCCAAGAGCGGCGCTGGAGCTAGAGCGAGAATTCTGACGAGGAGAGGGCTGCAGGACATCGCCTGGTAAGTCCCAGCTCGCTGCCCTTCCCTCCTCCTCAACACCACAGCCCCGGCAGAACACCGCCCGCGATGTCCACAAGGGCATGCCCAGGCCCGTCTGCAACAGACGAGCTCAGGACGTGGCACGTGGGACGCGCTTCCGCGTCCCAACTCACCGTCCAGACGCGCGTGCGAAGACCGCGCGGCGAGTGTTCGCAAAGGGCTCCAGTGACGTAACAAGACCGTCGCTGGAGCCAAGGGGAGGGTAGTGTTGCAGCAAAGGGGGCATGTAGCCTCAGGGAGCGTCGTTGGTGCAGGTGAGTGCCCACTACCACACCCTCACCGAACACGACGCGCTGACAGGCTCGATGAGCAGCCACCCGCCCTTATCAGCCCAGGCACACCGCGACAAGCAGGGGCTCGACGAACACAAGCGCGCTTCGAGCGCTAACGCAACGACAGCAAGCCCGCCGACTGCACACGCGACGAGCACAAGCCCACGCCCGGCGTACGACGAGCCTACGCACAACTCGCGCAAGCCCACCGCGCAGCAGTTCGCCCCGCCGTCGAACACATGCAGCGCAGTGCACCCGCGTGCGCCCGATGCCCGCCCCACGAGCTACAACTCAACAAGCAAAGGCGAGACGCACGCGATGGCGGCCACACAACAACAGCGCGACGCCGAGCAACAGCCCACCACACGGGTGCAGCGAGCGACAGCCCGATGCTCCCAGGTGTGGCGAGCAAAAGCTCGACGAGCATGGACACGCAAACACCGGGCGAGCGGGCCTGTGGACACGCTCGCGGGGGTAAGCCCGAGCCCTATGTAGTACCGGTAGCCCGTAGTGTTAAGAAAAAAATACATATATATTGTCTTGAAGTCAGTCAGCCCCCCTGAAGCAGGTACCCGCCCCGCAAGCTCAGCCACGTTCAGCCACCCAGCCACCGGGCTCAGCCACAGCCCGCCAACCTCCACTTCGTCGCCACACCCATCCCTCCGCCTCTCTCGCCCTTCCGTTGCATGCCCACCGCCGCCGATCTTGCCAGACACCGCCCACGCCTTCAACAACCACGTGCGCGCCGTCGCCGGCAAGATGCGAGCCGTGCAACATGGCACGCGCGACCGCCCATATCACCCCCACCCTGCCTCCTCTCCTCTACCCTCGTCTCCCTCGCAGCCCCTGACGACTCACCCGACGCGCGCAACGCGCCGCACGCACCCGTTTGCACGAAACGGGCAGTGACGTGGCAGCCGCGACGCGCCAGAGCGTTCACGCCGCCGACCTCTGGCTGCCGCCACCCAGCGCACCACCTCGCCGGCCTCACCCCTCCCATCCCCACGCAGTCTGTCTCCCCTTCTGCCCGTTCGTCGCCTGCCCACGTCACGGGCTGCGCCAGTGGCGACACGCAAGCTCGATCCCCGCTGCCCACCGTCCCTCCCACCCTCACCCTCTTCATCGCACCTCCCGCGCACTCTCGCGCGACAGGTCCCACCTCGACAACGCGGCCTGCCAGCGGGTTGACGCGCGACGCGTCCGCGACGTGGCACGCGCGCAGCCCAGTCGCGGCGGCAGCGAGCAATCAACCGCGCTCCAAGACCGCGCGCCGCCCGTCCCCAACGTCTCCAGCGACGCCAGAAGAGCGTCGCTGGAGCTACGCGTACCGAACTCGGAAGGAGGGGAGGGTTAGAACCCACAGGAGGGCCGGAAAATCAGGTAAGTAACCGCCCCCTTCCTGTTTGGCATACCCACCCTCTCCACCAGCCCTCCTCGCCCTCCTGTCACCTCGCGCGTCACCCCGGACCCTGTCGAAGACGCGCCACGCCGTGCGCAAGAGCACACCCGGGCGCATCGGCAAAAGAGGGGCCACGCGAGGCGGCGAGCGCGAGTCGCCGCCGCCGTCTCTCATTATCCCCCCCCCCTCCGTCCTCCCGCCCTCGTACACCCAGCGCGCCCTCAACCGCCCTCCCCACGTGCCCGTCGTCACGAGACGGCTCCGGACGTTACACCCGGGACGCCCTATCGCGTCCCCGTCGGTTTCCCAGCCGCGCGTCCGAAGATCGCGCGTCGGGTGGCCACGAACGGCTCTAGCGACACAACAAGTGCGTCGCTGGAGCCATGGACAGGGGAGCTCGGCGGGAAGAAAGGGAAGGCGCGGCAGGGAGTGCCGTTAGTGCAGGTGAGTGCCACCACCCCCTCCCTCATCGAATAACACCGCCCGACGAGGAGTGACCCGCCGCGCACGAGTGCGACGAGCACCCACCCGCCCCACGAGCCCCGCTACGCCGCGAAGGGCGAGGGCGCGACGAACACCAGCCAGGGGAGCGCACACCTGACGATCGCTCCCCCCGCCAACGTCAGGCCGGTGAACGCGAATCGCAAGAACGCGAGCCCCAGCCCTGGGGGGCACGCTCGATCCGCGCGAATGCGCCGCGCACGCCCCGCCCGCCGCTGTGAGACCCCCCGCCCGTGCTGAGCGCAGAGCGGACGGGCTCCACGCGGACTCCCTGCCGTGCACGAACCCAGCGCGCACGAACGCGCCAAGCGCGCCCGCGCCAAGCCTCCGCTGGACGCGAACAAGCCCCGGCTGTCCGTCCGCTGCGACGACGGCTGGGGAGCGAGTCCTCCCTCTCGCCTGTCCAGCCCTCCCCGCGTCCCGCACGAGCCCCGCGCCGCCGTCTGCGAGGCCTGCGCCGCCTTCTGCGAGGCCTGCGCCGCCGTCTTCGTGGCTCGCGTCGCCGTCTGCGTGGCCCGGCGCTGTCGCCTGTGAGCCCCCGCCGTCATCTGCGCGGCCTGCACCGTCGTCTGCGAGGTGCGCGCCGTCGTGGAACGAAAGGTGCGCGCCGTCGTCTGCGAGTTCTGCGCTGCCGTCAGAGTGTGGCCACGATGTCTGCGGGTGCCACGGTGCTGTCTTTTTGTTGTCTGAAGGCTGTTCCTGTTATCTATGAGTCTGTGGGCCTTGCTATCATGTATATAGTTTGTCTTGTAGCACAGCCAATATATCTCTTACCCTTCTCATGATCTTGTGCATTCTCTCGTGGTCTGTCAGCACACAGGTGAGGTATTAGGAGTGTGTATAGCATTATAAGTGAGTATATCCAGGCACAGACATTAAAGATGAGCTAATGAGTGGGGAGCATAGGGAATGAGTGGGCATGTGTGTATGGTGCACGCTATGTACAGTATGAGGAGATTAGCAAGCCCTAATGTAACACAGACAGGGAATAAGGCTAGTCTTCATCAGAGGTTGGGAGTGAACTGAGATCTGAACCACTGAAATCCTCGGCCACTTCCTTACCCTTCCCCTTATCTGCAGCCTTCAAAGCAGCACGATCTGCACGCTTCACCTTCTTCTGAGCCTCCTTCTCAACCTTGCGCCTATGCTTCTTTGCTGCGCGTGCCTTCCGTTTCTCTTCATCAGTCCGCGCCGGTCCTTTCTCTCGAGTCGTCTCGCGCATCAGCCGGATGCTCTTCTCAATCTTCGTGATCTGCCAACCGGTCAGGCTGCGGTCAAGTGTGAGTCGATCCTTGTCGATAACGACTCCGCCACCCTCAGTCTTCTGATAGTGCTTGCGTGCTCCCATAGTCAGGCATTCCCAGTGAGTAAAGGTCTTTTTCTCTGGGACAGACCCCTGGTTGATCAATCAGTATATGGTACAGAAGGGACAAACAAGTAGGACTCACATCTTTCCGCCTGATTCCCGGGCGGGGACGCACAACAACGACGTCGTTGGCATCAAACGTTCTCCTCGCTTCGTACATAAGTACATAGCACACATGTCAAATTGAAGACTCACAACAATGGCACTGAACAGCCTCACACTTTTCAGTTGTAGGCCCTTCAGTAGTCCATGAGAGCACAGTCGAAGCCTGACTTGAGATCGCATGAGGCACCGCATTGTGGACATGGACTTTGCGGCGTGCTTCGAGATCGGCTAGGGACGACCCAGCCTTGTTAGACTCAGCTGCAGCAGCCATCCCCGCCGTATGGTCTCGAGCATGAGCCTCAGCATTCTTATTCTAAAGACAAATTCAGCTGATGTAGACCATGTACAAAAGCACACGTACAAAACGACCCTTCTTTCTCAGTCTTTCACGACTGAATTCTTCCGGCTGGTGCAACATGAGCTAAGCATGAACAGGGCTCAACAGAATAACACATACCGTGACAGACCGCTCTCGCCGCATCACCGCTGCTGGAAACGGTGCACGTTCCAGTTGAGGCGTCGGAGCAGGCGTCGGAACAGGCGTCGGAACAGGCGTGGGAGCAGGCGTCGGAACAGGCGTGGGAGCAGGCGTCGGAGTCCACTCAGGTGTTGCACGTCGTGTACGCTTCGATGCTCTTGGCGCAGGGTCGGGCAGTGGCGTCGAAGGGCCAGGCGGCTGCGTCAATGCGTCGGGCGGCAGCGTCGAAGCGTCGGGCGGCACCATTGAAGCGTCGGGCGGCGGTGTCGAAGTCCGTGGACGCTTGGACACTCGTGGTGGACCAACAGATCCAGCCTGCGGAACAGCCCGCTGGGTTGTTATCAAACCCGGTGACCCCTACAAAAATACGAGTCATTACGTCTCCATTCAACAGACGGAAACCAATGCTTACGTCCTCCTCCGGTAACGACGCCCCTGCAGCAAGCGGAGATCCATTGTTGTCGAATGCTCCTTGCCAAATGTCATCCTCACCTATGTTGACAGCCAAAGGCTGGCCCGACTTGTCCAGAACGGCACGCTTATGTCGAGGTTGTACTCGAAACGACGTGTCAGTTGGGACTTGGGACAGAGTAAGTAAATAGACGATGAACAGAACAAGGATCAACTCACCATTTGTAGGCTGATTATCCGTAGGCTGATCACCCGTAGGCTTAGGGTTTGATGGTACCGGGTTAGCAGTACTAGCCATGCTGTACCGGCTTGTGAGCCACGAAAAACCCGAAATTATCACAGATAATCACCTGGAATCGAAGCAGCAATTTTTTAAGCACCAAACGCCCGAAGAAAGCAGAGAACGCGTGCAAAAACGGCGCGCGAGAGGTGGGCGAAAGGTCGAGGAATAATCGCGCTGGCGCTGAGCGCGCGCGTCGGCACTTGCCGGGCGGGCGCTCAACCCCGAACGCGCGTCGCCTTCTGCCAAGTTCACTCCTCCTCCTACCCTCCCTCTCCACCGCCGCGCCGCCGCACTCTTGCCCGCCACTCCCGCGCGCTCTACACACCCCCTGCGACGTCGACAACACCGAGGCCGCCGCCACACGCGCCCCCGTCAGGAAGAGACGGGCCGCGCGTCGCCATCCGCGCGACCCGTCACGCCCCTCTCGCCTTCCTCCTTCCAGACTGCGCCTCCCTCGCACCAGCAGCCGCCGCTCCCACCTCTACAACACGCCCCGCGAGCGCGTCGACTGGCGACCGCCTCGTGACGTGGCAAGCACGACGCGCAAATGCGTCGTCGTCGGTCGGCCGGCCGCGCGTTCGAACGTCGCCCGTCAACCGGCGATCGACATGCTCCAGCGATGCACTAAGTGCGTCGCTGGAGCCTCGGAGGGGCGCATGGAGGGGAGCATGGTGGTTGGAGCCGCGAGCAAGGTACGCTGCCGCTTCCCGTCCGTTTCGGCTCACTCACCAGCCCCCACCGCCCGCCGTTCATCGCCCACCGCGTGCCCCCTCTGGCGTCTGTCCCGTGACCTCACCAATGCCCAACGCGGCCCCGTCGTCATGCCATGGCCCCGCACCCGAGAAACCCCGCCTCCCAGCGATCGAGGCGACGCGGGAAGTGCGACGGCGAGCCGCCACCCACCACTGCCCACCCCCATTGTGCCGCCGCCCTCGCGCCGTCGTACGACCACCCGGCCCTCAACCACCCGCCACACGAGCCCGTCGTCAAGCGACGGGCTCAGAACGTGGCCCATGGGATGCGCAATCGCGTCCCTTCTTCGCTGCTCGGACGTGCATGTGAAGATCGCGCGTCGGGCGCCCACGGGGAGGGAAGTGCAGCGGCAAGGGAAGGAAAGGGGTAGTAGCAGGGACGGCAGCACGGACGGCTGTCTACATAGGTAAGTCCACCGCCCCCTCTTCGAACACAGCCCTCTGGCACCTGCTGCCCGACGTGCACGAGCGAGACATGCACTCACCTGCCCCACCAGCCCAGCCACACCGCTACGGGCAGGGGCTCGACGAGCGTGGGCTCGACGCGCACGAGCTTGACGAACCCCAGCCCATGCCGACCCGCCCGACGCGCGCAAGCACGCGGAGCAGCAGCCCGCCGTACGGGCGCATCAGGCGAGAGCCCGACGCGCTCAGGTGAGATGCACAAGAGCTACACGCGCATACGCCCGCCGCACGGGCTGAGCCCCCCGTGAGCCATCGCAACGAGCCCAAGCGACGACCCGCCCAACGCGCTCAGGTACGGTGTGCAACGCCCGCCCCGAACGATCGCGACGTGCCCAGGACCCGCCCAAGCTCGCTGAGCAGCAGCCCGCCGTACGGGCGCAGCAGGCTAGAGCCCGCCGCGCACAGGTACGACTCGCAAGAGCTCGACGAGCACGTCCGACGACCGCGGCTCGACGCACACGGACGAGCGATCGCGACGAGCCCACGACGACGCGCGCAAGCACGTCGAGCAGTAGCCCGCCGTACGGGCGCGTCAGACGAGAGCCCGACGCGCTCAGGTACGACCTGCGAGGGCTCGACGGCCACGACCCGCCTGACGGACACCAGCCCGACCAGCATACGCACGACGGCCACCGGATGCGCCCCCAATCTGCCCAACCCCGACGAGTGCGCACAACGAGTGCAGGCTCGCCGGAGGCAAGCCCGCCGAGTGCAGGCCTGTCACGTCCCTGCACGACAATGCGTGCCGGACGAACGCACGGCGGCGAGTGCACGCACGGCGGCGAGTGCACGCACGACGGCGAGGGCACGCACGACGGCGAGTGCACGTACGACGGCGAGGGCACGCACGGCGGCGAGGGCACGCACGACGGTGAGCGCATGCTCAATGGCTGCGCATCCGACGCGTCCAGCCGCGGCGAACGCAAGCTGCGGCGCGTGCATTGTTGTGCACAGAGCCCACCGTGCACGAGCGAACGCAATGATGGGCGGGCGGTTTACAGGGCATACGGAGGGCTGTGCCTCCTAGTATACAATGTGACAGTAGTGTACAGATCAATATATATATTTGATGCTTGAGAGTAAACCACGCTCGCGATACAACAGCAATACAACGTTTGTGACGAGTACAGTAAGCTCCGTAAGGATGTAAGTCATGTACTTAAGTCATTTTGAACACTATCCTAGTGGCCGTAATGGTGTAGTGGTTGAATGCTCTTCGGAGCACATTAAGGCGGGGGTTCGAACCCGTCAGCTACCTTTGTTCCTTCGAGATCTATGGTCGGCCGTCGCTCACATCCAGGTATATTCTGATTGAACTCCTCTGCTAATGACGGTATACTGCCTCGGTGACCACGCTTCTAATAATTCCTTATCCCCTTTTGCTTTTTGCCCTTCGACAATATTGTAACCGCGCTTGGGGTGATTTCTTGCTACACTCATTGTAAGCTTGTACTGGCCCATACTACAGCTTAGTACAGCTCATCAGTACGACTTTTGTACGCTTTTTACTGATGTTTGTACTGGTCATTAGTACGACTTTTGTACGACTTTTACTGATGTTTGTACTGGTTATTAGTACGACTTTTGTACGACTTTTACTGATGTTTGTACTGATCATTAGTACAACTTTTGTACGCTTTTTACTGATGTTTGTACTGGTCATTAGTACGACTTTTGTACAACTTTTACTGATGTTTGTACTGATCATTAGTACAACTTTTGTACGCCTTTTACTGATGTTTGTACTGATCATTAGTACAACTTTTGTACGCCTTTTACTGATGTTTGTACTGATCATTAGTACAACTTTTGTACGCCTTTTACTGATGTTTGTACTGATCATTAGTACAACTTTTGTACACTTTTTACTGATGTTTGTACTGATGGTTAGTACAACATTGTAGGCACTGTTACTGATGTTTGTCATGATGAATAGCATGCCTTTGTACAACTGTTCATGTGCAGACTACATGTGCAGAATAAGCATAGGATTGTGATTTGGATATTAAGTAGAGCAGGCAGCTATAAATTGGGATATCTCTATATGAGCTCCCGATGTTCACAGAACCACAGGAATACATCTAGACCATTGGAGAACCTAGTTTGTGAGATCTCCTGTGAGCTCCAGACAGCAAAATTGTCCAAAGTGCTACAAGTAGATGGGATTACTGCCTTTGCAGCATGACGAAGCTTTTCATCATGGAAAATAATCCACAGTGTCACGCCCACCAAGTCATTCCATGGGCATTTCTTGCCTGGGCTTTGGCCCCTATGACTCTCTGGCATGTAGGCACCCATGGGTGAGCCACAGCCATAGCAGTACTGGACACTGCTTCCTTTTGGCTGGGTTTTCCTCTTGAAATCAAACAATGCCCTTGTGCTGGCAGTGTTTGAAATGCCCAGATGGTCTGCACAGTCAACAAACAGCTCCCCGTGGCGGTCAATGATCTGACCACCAAGGGCCCAGCAGACAGGACACTTGGAACAGAGCTGGTCAAGGCATTTGGACAGGTCTTTGATCTGGTCCATCCGCTCCGCCTTGTCTAGTCGTCCACTTGCAGCTTCGAGTTGCATTCCTGTTCTCGCAATGTTGTCCGACTGAATGAACTGTATGTACATCAATTACAGAACTGGCATAATGGAACATAGGGCTCACCGCTTGTCCAGTAGGCAAACTAGTCCCGTTTATGGCAGGCATCTCGACTTGTGCCAAGTCTGCATCATCAAAGTCGCCAAACATGTAGTCATCTTCATCGGCTTGGGCAATGGCAGGCTGGATACCTGGCAAGTTCTGGAGACATGCAGGATTGGGCAAAGGTCCTGAAGCACACTGAGCCATGAGCTCAGTGATAGGAGTGTTGGGTTGGCAAATGTCGCAGAGCTGGTCAAAGCTCTCCGTCATGCATTTCCTCGCCTCGCCATCCATTGCCTCTGTCAGAAGAAGCCGCCGACACTGTGTTGTGTTTGCTGTGACCTTGTTCATGATGTCTGCCAGGCTGTAGTCTTTTTGGGGTACAGTGAGTTTAGTCCCCATGTGAGCCAGAACAACCACACATGGACGACCACGACGACCTCCGCGGGCAGCTGCCTGGACAAAGTCGACAGCACCAAAGGGAGCATTGATGAAGATGATGAGGTCGACATATGGGGCATCAATTCCATGGACAAAGGCACTTGTCGCAGCGATACAGCGGTGGGCTGATGTGGCACCAGCCATCCATTTGGTCTGGGTCTCCGTGCGCTCGTCTTGTCCTAGTGAACCATAGTACTTGAGACATCCAAGGGACTTGGAGATTGTCTCTGCATCGGCGACTTGTCGACAGAAGATGATGACACGTGAGTCAGAGCGTACAATACCAGTCAGATATGACTGATAGGTGAACCGGTGGACAAAGGCAAGGATGTGGTCTGCCTTTTGGAACTTGTACTGGTGGTACTGCAGTTCCCTCCGCCCAGTGGGTGCACGGATGACCTTGACGGAACCAGCGTTCATCCCGATGCTCTCTATGAAGTCTTTCTGGTGGTGGTCGGGGCTGATTGTTGCAGAGAGGTAGATCTTGGGCAGCGAGACTGTGCGCAAGACATCAATCTGCTTTAACTTGGGTCGAAATTGGCCCCCTGCCGTGAGGATTTGATGAGCTTCATCAATCACGAGCCGGTGGATCCGCTGTTCATTGGACTGTATGAAACTGGAGGGTTGTCAAGCCATGTGTCATCAGACAAGTACAAATATGACACTTACTTTTGAAGCCGTCGATCAGCTGCATGCTCCCATGAGACAAACAGTATTTGGAGGTCCTTTGCTGGATCAGAGGATTGGCTGAACTTTGCCGCCTTGACCCCTCTCTCGCTGGCTCGGCGGATTTGATCCTGGATGAGGGATACAAATGGGACAAAGACGATGGAGAGCTGATCCTGGTAGAGAAGCGCAGGGAGTTCATAGCACATACTCTTTCCCCCTCCAGTTGGTAGGATCCCAATGACATTGCGGTCACGAGCCAGCGAGCATGCAACAAGCTCATACTGAGCGTGGGATATGAATGAGGCGTGTGGATTGTTCAATCCTTGGCGCAAGAGGTCCCGTGCAATGGACACTCCAACAAAGGCGGTGTCCTCAGCCGCAGAACCAGTCATGTAGGTAGGCCTGTGACTAGGATTAGGCGCATCATAGTGGACAGGCGTGGAATATTGGAGGTAGGATGGAGCACTGCTGAGAGGCTGGCTGTCAACCTCCATAGAGCCTTGGGTTTCCTGCTCCTCATCAGAGCTAGGCTTGAATGGATCCCGCTGGTCAACAGAGTATGTCAATTCTGAGGTGTTTGCTGGTTTAGAGGCTGAACTGTCTGGAAGTCCGGGGGAGTATGGGCGAGGACGAGGAGTGAATTGGGGTACAGGGGGTTGGCGAAGAGGGGGACCTTCCTGTGACAAGGATCGCATGGCTACCGAGACTCCATTGACGACCGCTTTCTGGATTAGGTCCTCAAGGTGGACCTTCAGAGCTTCAAAGCTGGTGTTCACTGAAGCTGATACAAGAGCTGTGAGTTGTGCAACATCAACTGCAGGTGCAGCCGGTGCAGCAGGATGGTTCCCAGTGAGATGCGCGTGTTGTTGGTAGTTGGTAGCACGGAGGGGAACAGGACAAGGGGATTTCCCGACTCCAAGGACATCATGCCACATCTCGCAAAACCGGCGACTCTCGAGCATAGCGTCAGTTGTCAGGGAGGGGAGGTGTCCAACTTCACGAGCATAGATACGGCGGGCCATGTTGGTGTTGTGGTTCATCGTTTTGTCACCGAAGTTGTCCTGGATCGATGTCGGAGGGATGAACTCGCGCATGAGGGATACCGCAATATGACGCCAGATATGAAGAGAGAGGCCAACACCCATATGCGCACTTGTGATGCGCTGGAGGATGTGGGAGAACTGCTCCGAGTCGTACTGTTTCCCGTTTGCCATCCAAACAAACTCCTCGTGCTTCGCCTGGCCAGATGGCCCATCAAGAGCATGTGCCACGACGCACTCAAGAGGGCGCACTGCAACAAGGAAGAAGTCAAGAAGCCCAGCAACAAGATCTGGACAAAGAGTTGGGACCCAGGATAATGATTCCGTGAGGGAGGATGTCTTGGTACGCTGGTGAATGAACCAGGTTCCAAAACTCTTGTGGACGTTCCGAGGAATCTGTGCGTTGCTGAGACGGGTGTCGACAAATTCAGTACCACGTGGAGGAGGGGCAGGTGTCATGAAACAAAGGACGGCAAGCTCTTCGGTGAGAGCAGCAATATCCCCACGCAACTTGCGCAGACCTTGATGTTTCCAGCGGAAAACACCGAACTGATCGACTGTTGCAAGGGAGTAGTCAGGATGGGTGAAGAGCACCTCAAGCAGCCCCAGCTTAGGCTCCATGAACGGGCCCTGCTTCAACCACGAAAATCCAGGCCGTATGTCCGTGAGGTCTTCGGTGAGGTCGGCAGGAACAGAGATGGGAAGAAGATTCCCATTGCAGAGCTTCTCCATGCGTGATTCCACACTGCTGCAGATCTTTTGGAGACCAGTGCGCAGACGTGATAACTCGAGGGTGGTGCCTAGGCAGGAGATTTTAGACATGTCGTCTGACCAATCGATTTTAGCGGGGGCAGCCTGGCGTAGGACAAGTGAGGATGCATAACGCTGGTGGTCACGTAATGAGTTCCATGGTGTCATAGATCCGTCCACCAGGTAAGTTGAGCACTGATGCCTCACCGAACTGCAAAGTTGTCAGATGGTGTGATTCTCAATGATTGTGAAACTCACCCGAGGAGATTATCTTCATATTCTGTTGCACGTTGGATTGCCTGATAGAGGTGAAGGTTCCGTAATTGATACTCCCACTTTGCAAGGACACGCGTGTAGTCGTATGCAGGCATGAAACGACCACCGTCACGCAGGCCTGAGACAGCAAGCCAACATACAAGTGGACACTTCCACTGGTTCAAATCACTTCCATCTGCAGGGATGGCGACAAGGTTGTAGAGGAGAGTGTGGATCATGATGGACGTGATTAATAGGGGTCAGTTAGGAATTAATTACAAAAGAGGGTACCGGAATTTCGGGCTGAAAGTTGGTATGTAGGACGTCTATATCATGTAGATGATGGGTGCAAAGTTTCAGGGAAATCGGCGGACCGGTTTTCGAGCAGTGGGCAATTCTTTTTGTTAATAGGCGCATTTTTGCTATGTGCAGAGCCACAACAACAGCACTTGGCAGGAAGCTTGTTTATAGCGAAATGCTTCATTTGTATGTGTGAACATTGGTGCCAAGCCGCTTGGCGATTGGAGGTCTGATGCCGGTGCTATGGGCGAAAAATGCGTACCATGGGCAGGAGGGCATATTCTAGGAGACCAAGGAAGGGGATTTGGGGGTAGCTTCTTTATAGCTCATATGATCCATTGGTATGTAGAACCATGGGTACGAAGTTTGGGAGCCATAGCTGCAGCCGTTCCTTCTGGGCTGGCGGGCATCCCAGCCAAGGGGGGAGGCCACAACCACTAGCATGTGAACCATTACGATTTTGGGGTAGGGTCTTTATAGTCAATATGGTCCATATATATGTAGGAGTATGGGTACCAAATTTGGGAGCCATAGCTGCAGCGGTTCTTGCTCGGCCGGCGGGCATCCCAGCCAAGGGGGGAGGCCACAACCACTAGCATGTGAACCATTACAATTTCGGGGTAGGTTCTTTATAGTCAATATGATTCATTCATATGTGGGATTATGGGTACCGAATTTGGGAGCAATAGCTGCAGCGGTTCTTGCTCGGCCGGCGGGCATCCCAGCCAAGGGGGGAGGCCACAACCACTAGCATGTGAACCATTACAATTTCGGGGTAGGTTCTTTATAGTCAATATGATTCATTCATATGTGGGATTATGGGTACCGAATTTGGGAGCAATAGCTGCAGCGGTTCTTGCTCGGCCGGCGGGCATCCCAGCACAGGGGGGGAGGCCATGACCACTAGCATGGGAACTACTACGATTTTGGGGTAGGTTCTTTATAGCCCATATGGTCCATATATATGTCGGAGTATGGGTACGAAGTTTGGGAGCCATAGCTGCAGCCGTTCTTGTTTGGTTGGCGGGCATCCCAGCCAAGGGGGGAGGTAATGACCACTTGAACCACTACGATCTCGGGGTAGATTCCTTATCGCCAATATGGTCCATTCCTATGTAGGAATACGGGTACCAAATCTGGGACCCATGTCTGCAGCCATTCTTAATCTGTTGGCGGCCTGTCAGCACAGGGGGTGTTATGGACTGGGATTGCTAACTTACCGAGTACTTACCTAGTAACAACTGTTGGTAGTTACTTAATCGTAGTCGCCTTAGTTAAGAAGTGAATTGAGGATTATCTCATTGTGTAGAGGATTAACACAATGATTTGCGTGATTGACTATGAGGATCAGTCGATCGAGAATCGATTTCGCTCAACGAGTTTCAACACTAAGTCCAGAGTGGCACAGTAGTGCCTACGTTCTTAGTGAAGCTAAGAAACTCAGTTGATCAAAGTAATCCAGTTACAACTATAGTGAATAGAGCGTTACAACAATAGTTGAGGATGCCACTAAGCATGAACCTGACTGTTAACCATATATCGGTGAAGCTTACTCTTACTGAACCCTTCAGAGTAGCGCGGAGCTATACTGTTGAAGGGGTCAAGGTAGATCAACTTAGCGCACAGCTATAAGTACAATCGACCTTAGTGTGTCCAGCGCAGGGCTATGGACAATCAAGTGGCTCATACCGATGGACTGAAGTTCAAGAGAGTGTTATTCATCCATACTCTACAACAGTGTTTATATATCTACAAAGAGTCCTAGAATATTCCATATGTGAACAATAATCCTATTGAAACCCTCGGTTGACTGCCCGTGTATTCATTGTTCAAAAGCCGAACCGATCGGCCTTGGTACGGTCACAACAGGTGAGTCTAGTCAAGTCAATCAGAGGTCTGGCACGATCTTCCTTAGTCACTTGACTTAAGTCTCAAGTAGGCAAGTTCTGACTTTTCTTAGAAAGGAAGGCTCGTGCCGTTAGTCACGTGTTGGCGCTAGCCACTTGACAGACTTCGTGACTTAGGGCCTGTTTGGTAACAAGTTCAAGTTCGAGTTACCGCTAACTCCCGTTAACTCCATCACATGCGAGAATTTCCGCGGTCATCGGTGGTGTGCGACAGTCGTCTCCCATCAGAACCAACACCGGGTGCCGCCCTGCCCACCAGCTGTTCCGCCCTCATGCTTGCTGTTCCCAACAGTGAGCGAAAATTTGTATGCTTCATTATTTTGTAGGCTTTGTGATGATAACAAAGGATTTGAGCATACGAGTACAACAAACCATATGTTATGTTGTACAACTATCCGAGATTTGAAGCAAAGTGGGGTGTACGTTGCCCACAATATTGAGGGAGACGTGCATGATGGCGATGAGCAACAGATGGCGACAGTGCAAAGCCCGGGCGCCAACTTTGCATCACTGAGGGGAGAATCTTGCACGTGATGGATTTAACAGGAGTTAGCGGTAACTTGAACTTGAACTCATTAGTGAACAGGCCCTTAGACACTTCAATTAGATATACCTAACAGTAGGCGCCAGCTGACACGTCATGCATGTGATGGCAGCCAACATGTTCTAGCACGCAGGGAGCGGGGGATTGGAGTGAGGGAGTGTGAGGGAGTGCACAGCAAGGTGTACGGCAGCATCAGTAACACACCAGATGGGGAGAGGGTAGAGGCATGTTGGAGCAAACAATCCATATGTCGTTACTCACTGACTCTCCGGCTTTTGCTATACCCACCGTTTATCCAACTTGCACTTACTTTTGTTACCTTTCATCACTTACGCGCTGATGTGCCTTTCCGTCTGGTCGTCCCGATGTGCCAGCCGTCTGTACCCGAATGTTCATTACTATATCTGTACATCAATGGTGCCTCTGTACCTATTGTCCTCTCGCTCACTTATACTCGTGCCCTTGCGTCCATCGCCCTCAGTCTTGCTTGTCCCGAGCACGCACTGAGAGTGAGTTGTTTGTCTTTGTTCTCTGCGTACACAGTACTTACGTACCTCGTAGTCATTGTCCGTCTTGTACAGGTATGCTGAAATGCTATAGTCTTGCTTGTCCCGAGCACGCACTGAGGTCATTGTCCGTCTTGTACAGCTTGCTTCCTCGCTGCTCCTCACCCCTCTTGCTCACTCCAGCTACACTTGTGCGTCGCCTCCACTTGAGGCGCAATGTTTGGGCATGCTGGCCACTGGCAGGCACTCGGAGCACGGTTGTGTGCCTTGTACGTGGCAGCGTAGGCCCACGTCTTGATGACGGGCTGGCGGGTTGTGTGCACGAGGTGCAGCGGCGGTTCCCGGGTGGCGGAGAAGGCGCGAGGGACGAGGGAGGACGAGGGGAGGGCAACGGCTACCCTACATCGCGTAGGCACCAGCTGACGCGTCGTGCATGCGACGGCAGCCGACGCATTCCAGCGCGCAGGGTGCAGGGGATCACAGCGAGGAAGGGCAAAGGGGTGCGCGGCAAGGTGAGCTGACGCATCGGTGTCGCGCGAGACGAAGGGGGAGAGGGCGAGGGGATGGCGGTCCTACGCTACATCGCGTAGGTGCCGGCTGACGCGTCTCGCACGCGACGGTAGCGGGCGCGGTGCAGCGCGCGTAGAGTGGGGCGGAGGGGCGAGGGAGGGCGACGGGGTGCAGGGCGAGGTGAGCCGACGCCTCGGCGACATGCAAGACGGACGGGGAGGGGGTAGAGGGGCTGACCGTGCTCGTGCATGGTCGGGATGGCAGACTGAACACGGGCGGCAGGTGGACTCACCTAGTACACGGCCCTGCTGGCCACATCCTCATTCCCTTGCCACTCACCAGCCTCCCCTAAGCTCCAGCGACGGCCTTGTCGCGTCGCTGGAGCTCGCCGTGCACGCGATGTTCGGGCGCGCGCCGGCCACATACTCGGGGCGCATTTGCGCGCCTTGTGTGTGGCCGGTCGGGCCCGCGTCTTGACGACAGGCGGGCGGGGTGCGTGTTTGAGGTGCGCCGTCGGTTACCGGGTGGCGCAGAAGGCGGGAAGGACGTGGGGAGGGCGAGAGGAGCGCGGCGGCTACGCTACATCGCGTAGGCGCCGGCTGACGTGTCGCGCGCGCACAACGGCAGCCTGCACGCTGCGGCGTCGGGGAAAGGGAGGGCGAAGGAGGGCGCGGCGAGGCGCGCAGACGCGTCACCGAGAGGGGAGGCCCGCCGCCACGCACCATCGCGTAAGCGCCTGGTGACGCGTCGCGCGCGCGAGCGCAGCCAGCGCGTTCCAGCGTGCCGAGGGCGGGGCGTTGGGGTAAGGGAGGGCGAGGGGGTGCGGGGCTACGAGGATGGACGCGTCGGCGACGCGCGAGACGTACGGGGAGAGGGTAGAGGGAGAGGATGGTGGGCAGAGGGCGAGGGCGGGTACTCACCTGTTCGACGGTCGTGCAGACCGTCCCCTCGCGGTCCAATACCCTCCGTCCCTCCATCTGCTCCAGCATCCCTCCTGCGGCGCCGCTGGAGCTCGTCGCCGCCGCTTGTGGCGCGATGTTCGGGCGTGCCGGGCAGACAGTGGGGGCGCGTTTGCGCGCCTCGTGCGTGGCTGTGCGGGCCCGCATTTTGACGACGGGTGAGGGGGGGTGTTGTGGACGTGCGGCGCCGGTCACCGGGTTGCGCAGACGGCGGGAGGGACGTGGGGAGGGCGAAAGGAGGGCGGCGGCTATGCACCATCGCGTAGGCGCCGGCTGACGCGTCGCGCGCACGACGGCAGCCTGCGCGTTGCAGCGTGCAGAGGGCAGGGCTGAGGAGCAAGGGAGGGCGACGGGGTGCGGGGCAAGGTCAGCCAACGCGTCGGCGACGTGCGAGACGGACGGGGAGACGGCGAGGGAAGAGGGCGAGGGCAGAGGGCGAGGGGAAGGCGGGCTGAGGTGGGGCGGCGTGTACTCACCGACTCGACGGCCCTGCTGGCCGTTCCCTAGCGTCTCTGCTCCTCGTGCATCCCCCACCGGCTCCAGCGACGCTTTTGCGGCGACGCTGGAGCTTTTCGTCGCCGCTTGTGGCGCGACGTTCGGGCGCGCCGGCTCGCAGACAGCGCGGACGCGCTTCTGCATCGCGCGTGCCACGTCACCGGCCTGCCTCTTGACAGCGGGCCAGCGGGGTGTGTTGCCGAGGGTGGGGGCGTCGCCAGTGGGCCAGGACGGGCGGGGGAGGCAAGGGAGGCGGTGGTGAGCGCACCATCGCACAAGCGCCGGCTGACGCGTCCACTCGCGACGCGTCAGCCGGCAGCCGGCGGGTTTAGAAGGCGCGTCCATGGGCGGCGGGCCGTGCGCGGTGTTGTCGACGGCGGGGGTGAGCGTGTAGGGCGTCGGCATGAGCGAGGGAGGCAGCAGGAGGTGGCGGCGAGGGCGGGTGGTGGATGCGCGCGCCACGTCAGCGCGCGCTTCGCCCCGACGGGCTCGCCGGCGCGGCCGTTGACGTCGAGGGCGGCGGTGCGTGCTGTTGAGGACGGCGGGCGTGCCGCAGCGGCGGGAGTTGGTCGGCGGGAGGGTTGTAGGGCGGGGGACTTGCAGCGGGGCGCGCGAGTGTGCGGGCGCTTGTGCGATCCTCACTTACCGAATGCGGCCGGGACCTCCCAATGCGGTATCGCCGAGCGCGTGAGCGCCTCGCGTGTGAGGTTGCCAGCTGGCACCTCTCTTGTCTCTTCCACCTACCTCCTGTACCCTCCTCTGTCCCAAACCGGCCGTCTGTCGTTCTAGGATTGCTCAGAAGGTGTGTAAACGTGTTCTAATGTATTCTTTATGTGTTTCTTGTGCACTCTGACCCTCCAGGCACTCAAACTCGCCTTTTTCGTGAGTTTGAGTGCCTAAGATGTGGCTGGATGTGTTTCCACATGTCTAGGCACATCTTTCGAGGTGTATGGCCGCATTCTTGCGTGTCTAACTGTGTTGTGGAGGTATTCAAGCCAGTGGACGATGTTCAGCATGCATTTGTGCTGTTCACTGTCCATTTGCAGGCTTGCTGTGTGCTCTAGGACGGTCTGCATTGCAGACCATTGGATTCTGGGGGATTAGCATGGTTCAGCATGCATTGTGCGCTCTACCAGGTGCCTCTGTGTGTCTGGTATTCCACAGTCTCGCCTGGGTGTGAATCTGCACCAACAGGTGGCTGTGTAGAGCCTGGGACATGTTTTATATGACATGTCCCGGGCTCAGCAACTCGCTGTACACCGATGCTGGGTCGGCAGACGTGTACAGATGAGGGTGATCAACTGTGTGTCGAGATGCGACCACGGAGCGTCCACAAGCGGCTCTGGGGGGTTTCATGTGCGGGCTAGCATCTGGCCTGCACTCTGTCAAATCCAGGAGCTTGTAACAGGCTTCAGGGATGCAATGGAAACGATCTGCAGTGCAGACCGTTTGATTCTGGGGGATTAGCACGGTTCAGCGTGCATTGTGCGCTCTACTAGATGCTTCTGTGCGTCTGGTATCCCACAGCCTCACCTGGGTGCGCACTTGCACAACAGGCGGCTGTGTAGAGCCTGGGAAATGTTGTATTATACCCCCTTCACCTAAGTCCAGGGGGGGTCAGCGTGCCCTCAGCTTGCCTTATATGGTAATTACTTTTTGGGCCATTACCATATAAGGCAAGTGCTGACTTCGGGCCGCACCTACATGTCTCAGGGGATCTCGCGCGGGCGCGCAAGATCCCCTGCGCACCTCTCAACACCAGTTATGCGGACTGCGTCAAGACCAACATCCAGTACTGAATGTCAGGGGTCTGTGCACTGGCGCAACATCCCCTGGGACATATGCCAGTCCCATGTGCCATGCACGCACCACGCACCATGTGTTAGGGGATCCTGCGCACCCGCGCGAGATCCCCTAGAAAGGGTACGCGCGCACGACACATCCATGTACTCAAACATTGTACACATACAGTCTCCCAGGGGATACTGCGCACCCGCGCAAGATCCCCTAGAAAGGGTATGCATGTATGATACCCCCATGTACCCACACAGCGTACGCACATGGGCTCCCAGGGGATCCTGCGCACCTGCGCGAGATCCCCTGGAAAGGGTATGCATGTATGATACCTCCATGTACCCGCACAGCGTACGCACATGGGCTCCAAGGGGATCCTGCGCACCCGCGTGAGATCCCCTAGAAAGGGTACGCACGTATGAAACCTTCATGTACTACTCACACCTCGTACGCACATGGGCTCCAAGGGGATCCTGCGCACCCGCGCAAGATCCCCTGGAAAGGGTACGCGCGCATGACACATCCATTTACTCAAACATAGTACACACAGTCCCCAGGGGTGCGCGAGATCCCCTACAAAGTATATGCATGTATGATACCTCCATGTACCTGCACAGCGTACGCACATGGGGTCTCAGGGGATCCTGCGCACCCGCGCGAGATCCCCTAGAAAGGGTACGCGCGCACGACGCGTCCGTGTACTCAAATGTAGTACACACAGTCTCCCAGGGGATCTCGCGCGCGTGCGCGAGATCCCCTCAAGCACATGTCAGCATCGCGAACCATGCCTTAGGTTCCTCAAAGTAACCTATTGTCTCCGGTACTGCGCGCACCATGTAACAGGGGATCCCACCCTCCCGCGCAAGATCCCCTTGGAGGAGTACTGCGTTTTGTAGCATGCGCACATACATTATTGGGATTCACGCGAGTGCGCAGCAACACCTCACTTCCCAATGCTCGAGAACATAATGCACGCACATGGTCTCAGTGTGCATGCACATTGCAGCCGCAGCATCTGAGACACGATAACAAGCTGTCAGATCAATCTGATCGATTGTGTGTGATGAAGTGATCGGTTCTGAGCACTACAGATGTCCGTACATAGACACACACAAGGCTATCGCTAATCTGGGAATTGCCGATCACACCCCGATGTCCCATGTACAAACGACAGATCCGCTCAAAATTAGACAGAGATACAGATACTAAGATGCCTAGGACATGAAACGATTCCAGTCCGCGTTCAATTCAATCTCTAACATGTCCGCAAGGGCGATCGCTTCTGCCTCCCTTTTGTACAAGCCCATGTACTGGTCCATCACTGGCCATAACGTATCCATGAGGTTCTGCTCACATACGATCGCGTCGAAGCGGGCGCGCCGCTCATCCAAGTAACGCTCCAGAGCCTTAGGGTCCCAAACTTGATCCACGCATATCACGAGTTGAGTGTCAGCCTCACAGGTATACGCCATGCGCTTGCCCATGAGCTCTAGTACCCTACCCGCGTACGGAGCCGCGAATTTGATGAATTTGGCCATGAACTCGGCCGACATGTACTCGTGCGGGTTATTGTCAAACGCGGCACTCATCCTGTGCGGCCACGATGACTGCCGGTGCAGGCACAGTTAGTCTGAGGGTTACCCAGATACCGACATGATGGACACTCACCGCTACCGTGCACATTATTCCCAATCCGCGCGTCAAGCACTGCTCGCATGTCTCCGAGTTTGGACGTACGTCGCAATTGGCACTGCGGTGGAAGATGCACATTGCACACCGGTCGGCGCCATGCATCTGTAGGTAGCGAGTCAGCCCTGGACGCCACTGAGTACCTACAACTAGCAGGGGTCCGTACTGATTTTGGCTGTTCACGGCGCGGGCACGCTAAGTATTCACCAGCTTGAGAATGGTCAGTCCGCTACTTGGAATATAAATGCTCGGTACTCACCGCTGGCTTCGCACGTCGTTCCACTACCACCGGCAGACACACTTTGGGGAGTGTTGGAGCTGGACATGGCAGCGACTTGAGAAGAGAAGACGGCACCTGACATACCGAGTGCTATGTTTTGCGTCATGTGAGTTGTGTGGCGGCGGGCGCTTCCTGCGGTACGAACCTCCGTTCGGCCACAGTGAGCAGTATTGCATTCACACGGTAATATCAGTGGTTGCACCCCGGTATCCGCATTGATGTCGCGACGTTGTATTGCGCATGCGCAGAGTCCTGCGCCAATGCGCCTATTTATACAAGTGGCAATATGCGCAGTAGTATGTACTATGCGGTGCGCATCCTTGGATTGTTGTTCCGAGCCTGAGGAACATTGATTGATATGGCAGATCCATGAATGCATGGACGCGCAAGCTCACCATGAACGAGCAGGGATCATCACCGGCATGATCAGTGCAACGTGCGCAGATCACCTCATGTGCGCGCACCGTGCAGTAGGTTGCGTTTGACGCCTGACATTGTATACATCGTTCGCTCGCACGACGCTATGCTAACCGTGAGTTTGGACGCGTCTGTCATGGGACATCACCACGCACCACGACCGTCACTTCCCGTCGCATGCGACTCTCTGCTGCGCATGTGGCGTGTCAATGCAACCGGTCAATATCATAGCTGACATCAAGTTACCGGTGTGTTGCGGCAGGTTTATCGCAGTCATCGGAGTCGAACAATGAGTACAAGTGCCGCCGGCCACTGCAGCATATCTGATAGATCAGATGCGGGAACGTGCGCGGGGCGCCACGCATATCCATACATAGACGCACATGATCTTGATTTGGATTCCACAAGAAGAAGTATGTACTCTACTAGTAAGACCATACGCGAAGTCTCGAACGTGCCTCCTGACGTGCGCGCTGCTCTCTGAGCCGTTGTAACAAGCGCCTGTAACTTCCATCGTATGCGTATAGCATGAGCGTCATTGTTTTGACCGCTCTCCAACTATAGTAAATCTCAAGATACTCCGTCTTATCGCTCTCGTAGAGCGGCGAGAGCGGATTGGAAAGACGCGGGTATACTGTGTGGTGAAAGTGTTCATAAGCGTGCGCATGGCGCGCGCGCTGGGCTTCCCATGCGTGTAAAACCAATTGCAGATTGGCCATGAAGTGGTGGCTGAGGTAGTAGGCTGGTTCACTCTTGACGCGCTGCCACATGCGTGCCCTCGATGGTTGCTGCCCAAGCACACCTGGTCGGTGCTATGTTCATTGAGAAATGCGATGCTCACCACGGTCACGGTACACAGTATCTGGACGCCCAAGTCAACGCATTGGGAGCAGCTCATAGAGCCCGGAAGCACATCACAGCGAGCATGCTGAAGACATGTGCAAACTGAGCATTTCTCGTGAGCCGTAATGTACTGCCACCAAACATATGTCAGTAGGCACAGCGGCGGAAACAGTTATGTAGAGAGGACGAGTTCGCACGCTGGAAATCGACACCGGTTCCGGTGCCTGTTTTGTATCTCCTTCTGAGCTTGGATGAGTGCGAGGCGCGGACGTTTGGGGAATGTCTTACCTCGGTTGCGTTGCAGTCCTGATTCGGCACTGCCCCACCCATATATGAACGGTGATGCATACATGGTGAAGTTGGTACAGTTGAAACCGACGAT